AAAATAAGAAACTAAAAAGATAATAACGAGTGACTAACTACGAGGCTCTCTAAACGTAACTAACCTCACCGCGTTCTAAAATACCGCTGATAATTCAGCAGTCTCTGAATACCACGTTGAAAGATTAACAATTTGCCGAGGCAAGCACACAAGCCGAAACGCGTGGTTATTCAATTTCTAACTAGCCACCTTCACACTCGTGAAGCAAGAAAGCAGACCTTCGAACTCGTTTCCTTTCTATTTAACTCAGAATACTTCTGCTGATAATTTGAATCCTTGCGCGTTCTACTAAAATTTACATACTCTGGCATTGGCAGTTTCAGGGGAAAGTAAGGCTTGACAGGAGAGATAGTTTAAACTTAAAATAAATGTTAGTTAAAATAAATATAAACCCTACAACATGAAGGGAAACAAGATGCAGACTCTAATGAAGCCGATAATTGGATAGAAAAGAATTTAGCCGGATTTTTGCAAGGGTACAAACCGCATCAAATTTCTAATTCTGAGGAGACTGGTTTTTGTTAGCGAGCCTTACCTCAGCACACTTTAGTGTTTAAAAGTGTGTCGTCAACTTGTTGTACAAAAATGAAACAACGTATTACTGTGTTATTACAGTGCAATATAGACGGAACAGTTAGACTCCATTAGTAATCGGCGCAAGCAAAAACCTTCGTTATCTGAAACGTGTCAGGCATTTGCCTGTGACTGATTGCAACAATAAAAATGCTTGGATGAGAAGCTATATATTTAGCGGTATTCTTACGAAGTGGGATAAAGAACTTCAGAAAGAAAAGGTGGCGCTCTTGTTAGATATCCAACTGATTTCTCATTGAAGAACATAAAATTAGTTTTCTCCCTTCTAATACAAGTTCCATCTTTAACCATTAGATCATGGTGTTATAAAAGCATGCAACTGTAACGGCATTCAACTGTAGGAAGTAATTTTGCAAACGATTTCGAATTGTTTTAAAAAAGTCGGCTTCCATCCAAAGCAGATTTCTGAACACTCTCAAGATGTGCCAGAAGACAAGGGTGACGATGAAGAAATGCATGACAAACCTTCCTTAAATATTTGGGAATCGATGAAAATGTCCAGAATTGCTTCGAAAAGAGTGATGTAGATATCATCGAAATCATCAGAGATAGCAAAGAATTTAGTGAAAATGAAAGTGAGTTCTAAGATGAGAATCCCGATCCTGTACCAACCAAAATAGTATCTAATAGATATAACTCTGAATGCGATTTACAAAAATGCCTACCAGGAATTTAGAAAAAGGGAGGAAAGGATTTCTTGGTCAAAAGGCGCCAACAGATATTTTGCCGAGTATCGGCGAGTATTTGACAACCAAGAAGTACCTTACATTCTGTCTCAAATATTCCCAAGGATAAATCGGAAGTTAATCTGGATTTTAATGCTGAACAGGAGGCTTCTTCTTAAAACTTTTTCAGAGATTCAAGATTCTTCAAAATCATTCGAAAGCTCAAAATTCTTCGGAATTTTAAGCTTTCTTGCTTCTTCATGTCTTCTGTCTAAACCATTTTTAGTAATTTATATCGTATGTAAAAGAATACTCAGTATCTGCCTTCTATAGTTGGTTTAGCCAGCGAAAACGGCCTTGGTGCGCTTCGAGCTTAAGAAAACCAGAAAACATTAATAGTCCGAGCATGTAGAAATATGTTAGAAAAATCTATTTATCATTAAATGTGCAGTAAATTAGTATATTTATCATTTTATTTAATGCGATAATGTTAGCAATTTATTAAAAAATAAGTAGCATACAGGGAAGTCCGTTCTTACTCATGTCTTCTTGTGGCTACAGCTCAGCAATTGCTGCTAATAATGCCGCTAGCAAATTATCAAGGCCGGCATGATGGCTGAACATGAAAGTTACGTAATAAGTCTCCAGGAGATTATCAAGTCGTATCGTCGTATCGCTATGGTTTTTATTTCGTCGTTTCGCTAGTCCCTACAAGCTTTCTTTTTTTGAGCTCCAATTGCAGGATTCACAAAGTTGTAAGTATGGTTTACTGCAAAATAATAGAAAGCAGGTTCCATTGCCATATGGCTTATTTTCAAATACACAATTGCTTATTATGTCTATTTCCACAAATTCTCTCGCTTAGGAAAAAAAAAAAAAAAAAAAAAAAAAAAAAAAAAAATTGGTGGGGGGGGAAAAGGTATAGAAACCTTTTCTGTCAATGGAAAAATGCTTCCAGAAAAGCGCCTATTGCACTTTCTCGCCAAGTCAGTTTAAAAGAAGGCAAACACAGAATAGTCTGTATGACAAATGTGCAGGTCATAATTTACAAAATTAAAGTATCGAAACCATATGGAAGGCAGTCCAGAAAGATGAATAAAAATAAAGAAATAAAATAATTAATGATTAAAGTTAAAAGAAATGTAAAGATATTTTAAAAAATCAATAAATTAAATTAATGAAAAATAGTGAAGTAATTAAAATATGGATCGCATCTGATTTGAAGCTTTAGCTGGAATTACAATTTCACTCAAAAGCTGAAAAGTACCGGAGACATGTTCTGGTGGACTTTCCTGAATGTACAGCATAATTTTCAATTTTAAGAGTTTGGTGGAAAAGCAAATCATTTCTTTTCCAACACACAAATGAAGTAAACAAAAAAAAAAAAAAAAAAAAAAAAAAAAAAAAAAAAAATTAAAGCATTGCTAATGTGACTAAATTTTGTCCCAAAATTTGGCGAGAAATTGTCAAAATTCGGAAAGTTTGGCGACATTTGGGTCCGATGCCTTTGCAGGTGTAACTGAATCGATCCCCACGTACTGTGTTTGATCTTATGCAGCTGTAACTATGTATGCCTTCCAGAAATTTCAAGACATCAAGGGTACTGGAAATTTCCCGGCGAATGTGGGAAAACAGGACCGGAGACCGGAGAGACCATCAGGCTGCAGTTTTCCTGGATCGCGTCTGGCATGAGGGGTAAATTACAAACTTATATATATCGGGTTGCACAGAGATTTGGTTTTACTCCTTTTTTCCCCTTCTCAAAAATCGCATCTATATTGTTGCAAAGGGTAATATTAACTCAAAAGTGCATCAAATCAAATCTGGTGTGCCCCAAAGGTTGGTTTCAGAACCTTTGATCTACTTATTTTATATATGCTACTTCCCCAAAGCCAAGTTTGATAATTATTCACTACTAGCACGCTATGCCGGCAATACGGTCATTGCCATTCAGTAAATGCTAATTATGCTATTCTAAAACTGCAAAACAAATTTAAGATATAAAAAATTGGTGTAAGACCTTGAAGAGTCAAGATTAATGCAGATAAATCACATTCGCTTATAATAAGAAAGACTAGAAAATCGAAAGTGATTCATAGAACTTTAACCCATTTCAATGAATCTGTCCTACTAATGGATTAAACCAAATATCTGGGAATCATTTTAACCAACACTCCTACCTAGAATGACCATATTGATAGTACGAGAAGTAAAACATTAGGAACTTTAAATCATTGTCTGCCAGTTTCAGGCTGATTTTCAAAGTTCAACCTATATATACCACGGACATCTCGAATACACGCCGAGTGTCTGACCACTTCACCACGAAAGCATGCTAAAAAGGAGGGAGAAATACTTTATATACTGCCCTTTTAAAGGGCGACTGGAGATTAGGCACCCAATCGCCAAATCCTGGTGGTGGAGAATAATCGTTTTAGCCACTGTGAAGACATTAGGATTCTTTTTGAAGCAGGAATCTTGAAAATGTATCTTGTGTTATACCTTCACCGGAACTCGAACACGGACCTCTCAAATACGCGCCGAGCGTGTCCCTTTCTCAGGGCGTACAGAAAAGCCTCCACTTGGGCTTAAATTCAAAAGTGAAAGAAATAAGAACTTAACTAAAGAGATGTAGCCGAAGCTAACCTTTCTAGCCTAGCTATATATTTTACCTTTCTCCCTAGCTGCTATTCCTTATACTATAATACTTGCGTTGGCATGATAAAATTGTTGCCCACATTCTTAAAGGAGAACCAAATGGTCTCTATCAAGGCTGTTTTTGGAACATTGCCCAAGTTCTGACGCGTCCATCTACACAGAAGACCAAAATTGTGCAGAGATATCACCCCCAGTACAGTAAAATGTTTCCTACATTTAATATATAATTTCAAACTGAAATTTAAAAAAGTATGGAATGCAATTCATTTTACTTGCTTAAAACCAATCAGTTACGAAGGCAAGTACTTCCTGTAATTCGAATCCAAACAAGCAGCACATTAAATTCAGCTGATGGCTAGAGTTTTAATAATCGATTTTTTGACAGTGTGTTATATTGGTTTTGATATGTTACATTTCTAAACTTTATAGCTTCCTTTAATATGTGAAATTTAGATGTCCACAATAGGTCAATACATAAAACAATGACCTAGTAATGGCGTAGTATATAATGCGTTTACTTTTTAGAGCCATGTTCGAAATCCTGTTTAAGATAGGGAGATATAGCAACTTCATTGCTTTTAAAACTAACATAGTTTATACAGTGGGGGAGAGGGGTTTGTAAAGCAGACGTTGTCACTTCACCTGAACTTTCGAGGGCCTAACTTTTTTTTTTTTTTCAACTAATGTTTTGAGGACTGCTTTGGAATGTGTAATTGCGAAACTCCATTAATTCTTCCCTAAGTTTAAACGATCTCAGTAATTAGATTTAAGTTTGTGATAATGCCAAGATATTTAGATTTATTTAAATATAGGTTATCTTCGTTTTTGTATTTCAAAGCAGCTTTAATATTATCTTTGATTGAGCTGCAAGAAGTCAGATTTATTGCATGATTAACAATTAACTTTTACTCGTAGTAAACTATAGCTAAGAACAAACATCTATTTAACAAAGCCATACTTAAGAATAATTGCTTCTTTTGTACGATTTAAAACTAACTTTGAAATTTATACGCAATATTTTTTATCTCGTGTTTAATATTTCTCTCTAATCAGGCAGCACGCCACGTCATTTTCAGTTTGCACATGCGCAAATGTCTTTTCGTGTGATTACAGTCGGTCGTGTTGGCTGCTCTGAAAGTTTCTAAACGTCATCAATTAAATGTTCAAGGTTCAGGAAAAATATGAATTTTGGATGGAGAAAATAGCTAGTATCCCTGAATAATCGCCGTCTAGTAAGTGCATTTTTGTCCTCTATAAAGGCTTTCTAAAAATTCTATCTCTGATTTTATTTTAGGTAAGGATGAAAATCTAATGAATTCAGAAATTTATCAACTAGTTGAACATTTAAAGACCATTTACATTTAAAAATGTCCCATAAAAGTTGACATTTTGATTAATGTCCAATTTGTAAGATTATTAGGGTTAGTTACTGGTGTATACGTATAATCTGAAGTATTAAGATAGGGCATTTAAATGTATCATCTCTACTTGGTTTAGTTATACGGGAGTAAATATAAATTTTGTGTTAAATTTATGTTTTTAAACTGTCTAAATATGCACATTCGTGATTTACAAGTAAAAATTATTTTGTTTGATGTGTAGTATTGCATTGTTATCAGATCATCTGTATATTAAATTAATCCGGGTATCTGTGTGTGTATCTTTAAGTTAATTTCGCTCAGTTTTTAAACAGTTCTGTAGAGAAAATGTTGCCTTGTCAGTATCCAAAACTAGAACCGATTTTCAAAGGGAAATATCTTTAATATGTTGTATGATATTTTGGTATGTTTTTCAATCTTGTATTTTTCATATACATTATTCATCTTAATAGGTATTTTTTATATAGTCATGTTTGTCCTAGGTACACTTTTAGATGTCGTTAAGTAGGTAGTACTGTTAGTAAAATTTATATTTGTTTATCTGTCACCCTTCAGCTATGTAATAAACTGGCAAATCCAATAGATTTTTCAATCTACATTATCACCAAAAAACACTGAACACTGTGTTGTTATTCATCCAGGATGATTCATTTGTTGCTTAATTATATTGAGACAAGCCTTTTGATTTACTGCATATGTCTATCAACAGATCAGTGACAAATATACAGAGAAAATATTGCTTTGAATGAATTTAAGTTCAATTTCCGAATCTCGTTTTTTTTTTCCTTTTTGTATTTCCATCTAAAATTTAAAAATTCTTCTTAAACATTCATGTATTATTATCTGATAAATATGACATTACTTTCACTTACAAAACAATTAACTACACATTTCATATCTGCTAACACTTCTGATTTTTGCTGGAAAACTTGCAATTTTTCATTACATTTCCCAGTCTCCGGTAGATTGCTGAATCTCCAGTTTTTTATCTTTAGCCTTTACTAAGGAAAATATTTCTGATGAATAAATGATATTTATTGAATTAATGAAACTTAAATTGTGCAGATTCTATTCTCCTAGCCCTAGTTATTTCCAGTATGATTTTTCCTATTAATTTTACTTGATATGAATAGTCTTAAATCTTATAGGCATTTGTAGAACATTTTATGAAGATTCGACTAATGTTTACTCGGTTAATATTTGTATTTAGTTTTTACATCAGTAAATGGTATTTTACTAAATTTATCCACATGTAGATTAATTTGCTTTCATCATTTTTGAATTTACTTTGCTAAATAAAAGTTTTCTTTTAATATTGAGGATTTTATCAATGAAGTAAAAATTGCAAAATGAAATTACCTAAAGAACATGAAATTTAGAATATCTAATTAAATGTTAATATATTTTAAATTTGAATCATATTATAAATAGTTCAGTAGTCCTGAAATACACAATATAAAGTTAATGTAAGTCAGTTTGAAATTCTTTTGAAATGAAGTCGCCGTGCAGTGCAAGAAACCTCCCTGACTGCTGTGATTTTTGTTCGAGAAAATCCCAGTTTTTCACTTTTCAAGGTCTTCAGCTTTGATATTTCATTAATGACATTAGCAACTATGTTTTTACGTATAATTAATTATCCATTTCTATTTATCAGTGTGGAGATTTGATAGCTTATTAAGTTTCAGATGCAAATTTAAACTTGATGTAACATGGAACTTAACTAAAAAAAGAAATTGTATCTACGTAGATACATATTTATACTGCGTAATATATTACTGAAATCTTCCATAATTATTTGAGGTATGTAAAGGTAGGAAATTCATCGGATTGTTTTAAAAAAGTTGAATACGTATAAATATGCAGAAAACTCAATTTTAATATTTTTAATGTTAGTGGACCAGAGCAGACTGCGTAAAATTATTCTACTAATGCTTGTAAATATATTTAAAAATTATTTTGTAAAATTATTTTTATAATCATTTTACGTTAGTTTCCTGGTACTTATTTGTGTATGGGGCACAGCACCGAACAGAAATTTTGATGCGAAAATGTAACTAGATGGTAGGAACCATAATGGAGCTCTAAACTTGATGAAAAAAAAATAACTACAGTAATGTATCGTGTAATATTTATGCAATGGTCAATGTGTGAAATGGCAAAGCTGAATGTAGTGCAATTCTCTCATCTTTTTTTTTTAAGTGAAAACATAAGAAAATTGCAGAAATTTGACACTGTTCACGGACTTGGCACACTGCACATTAAACATTGCACAGCGAGTCGTTATGCAATATAAGCAGACAATAAAATTTGGTGCTTTAGCACACAACATATTTTCTTCCTTTCCACATGCCTTTGTTGTGTAACTGGAAGCATATTTGACATGTATTTAGAAGTTCAAATCCCAGCCAGGGCATTGCACATTTTTTACGTCTCCAGCATGAAAAAAGAGGTACTCGGTTTCGAGGGCCGTAAAAATTCGCCAAATTATTGTTGATGCCAATACTGCCAAAAAGAATTGTGGCAACCCTAATAATTGAGGCAAGAAAGGAAGTATAATAGTAAATAACTATCTAAGATTGATGTTTTAATTTAGATGAAAGGTTAATTTCATATAATACTTTTCTATTATAACTTATATGAAAAAGGTTAAACATGACTGAGTGAAAGCAGAAGAGTAAATAACTATTTCAAATCATTATTATAATTTATATAAAAATTGCTAAACATAACTGAATGGATGCCTGCATCGCTATTTGCTACCGACTTATCGCTAACGCATAATTTCATCCCGTTGGTTGTTCAAACGTAATTTTCTGTAATGAATGATGCCGTTTCTTTGAAAATATTCTCGGTAAAGTGCTAAATTGCTCACTTATTTGTTTGCTGCATTTTACAAGGGTAAAAACAATTGGATTTTTGTCAACTTTCTTTTATTTTTTAAGTGAAAATAGGTCGATGTGTACATAGATAAAGTCAAGGGTGTGCACAGTGCCATTTTTGTGCAATTCTAGGATTTTTTTTTTAAGTGAAAGTAGGTCGATGTGCACATGGATACCGAGTACGTGCAATTCTTAAAAACGCGTGAAGCAGTGGGTGATTCTGCAATTTACCCAAAATTCTATTGCCGACTTTCCATCATGAGCAATTCTCAAATTGTTAAATCCATAGGATATCAAAAAAGGATTTAAAATCAAAAAAGGATTTAAAAATTAAACTAGTATTTCAATGGCATCTTAAGAAATGTAGAACTATAGAGACTTACGCAATCTGAAATCAACGCATACACTAGATTTGGCGCACGGTTAAATGGGCGCGTTTGCTAGATTTGGCGCTTTTGCGCATACATTTTCACTGCAATTTTCTTACGGCCCTCAAAACAGAATAGTACCAAAAAAACTTAATACTCTACAGTGGTAGTCAAGTGAAAAAAGGTGGTAGATGATAAATCGTCATCACCAGGATTTGGCAATTCAGTTCTGTCATCCCCAGTCACCCTTTGAAAGGGGGAGCATATAAGGTATTTTCTCTTTCATTTCTGCATGCTTTTGTGGTTTAACTGGAAGCTCACTGGATGCTCATTCAGGAGGTCCATAGTTTGAATCCTAGGAAAGGCATTGCATATTTTTCATGTATCTACTATATTAGAAAAAATAATAATGACTAGGCAAGGGCATATTCGGCAACTGCCACCTTGTTAACAGAAAAGGCTTCTTTAAATGAAAAATTTATGTTATTGTTTTTATTCTTTGAACTATATGCATTATTTGCCATTTAGATTTCCTGTGCAAATATGTCATAAATTTATTAATTAATTTTTTTTTTTTTTTTTTAGGTTTGGAAAATGTCTGCTCCGAATCCTAATCTATCCCAGCCACTTATGTATTCGAGTAACCAAAATGCCTATTTACCGAATGCAGGTACAGGAAGCCAATTATCTATGTCTGGAAATGTGGTGAGTGGGCAACAACAGTGCTCTCCCTTGAATCCCGGAGTGCCACCACCAAATATGTCTCAGCCTTTTCCGCATCCAGGTTTATCTCCTAATGTTGCTCAAAACTACAGTTATCCTGTCAGTCCGTTAGAATCCTCAATGAAATCTCCTGCACAAAACTTTACCAGTGGGATTAATACTAATTTGCATTCTGCTAGTCCAAAGAATCCGGTTTCTTCGTTTAGTACAGAGAAACAACCACATAGTCAGCAGAATGGACCTGTATCTAATCCTGTATTCAGTAGTGCAAATGCTGGACCAAGCATTAATGGTACAGATTCATTTCAGTTAAATGGTATTAGTGGGACAAATCATCCTGTATTATCCAACCAGAACAGCCCGGCTTCTCCGTGGACACTACAATCAAGAATGCCTCCTCCACCAGGTCAACTAAATCAAAAATTGCCACCATCTGGCACAGGTGTATCTCCATTGTCTCATCAGTTTCCTGGTGTATCGTCCCAATCTATAGCTGCTGATGGCAAGACAGTGCCTAAGCAAATGCAGGTGCCTTCTCCAGGTATAACTTTGTTTGCTAAATTTAATCCATTTATAAGTTTATATAGAAATGTTAAAAAAAACCCTTAAAATTCAACACAATAAGGAAATTTTTTTTTTGTAAAATGTTAGTTGCATTAATGTTCAGTTATCAGGTTTGGCAAATTTCTTTTGTAAAAAAAGACATGGAAATAAACTGCAGGAAGAAGTTTTTTAGCATATTTCGTTTTTATATAATTTTATCTACAATTTGTTCATATATTAATGCTTATATTACTAATTTAAATATTTTAATTTTCTGTGCAATTTAAGAAATCTCATTTGTATGCTTGCAATAACCCTCTTTTTAATGTTATATATAATCAAAGGATAATAATTAAATCATGAAAGTAGATATATGTATATATTATTTATATGTGATGTCGTAGTTTTTGTGAAAGATGAAACCAGTTCACTCTTTGAGCAAAACTGCTGCACAGTTGACTGGAGGGAAAATCACAATTGGCTTGATTGTTAAAACATTTTTATTTTGAACAAGAAAATTTTTTTAGAAAGACATTTTTGTATTAACTAGTACCATAGTAGGAATGCTAAATTTTCTCCATAATTTCTCAAGGCTTGCTGCATAATTTCTATGTATGCATTTTACATGCCAGATAATAAAGAAAAGAGCTGAGTTGAGAAACAAGGTTTATTCAAGCAGCTTCAGGCGAGAAAACATGATGCATACTAACTATAGTTGTATTTATAAGCTGGAAAGTCTCAGCAATTGGGCTAAAAGTTTCGAAGTGCGGGGAAAAAGTGACTTGCTGGTGACTGATGTTTAAAATGGTGGAAAGCATATCTTTGAAGCAGGGATGTATTTAAATTTATGAATTTAAAGGTCTATTGCCATTTGATTCCAGATGATTTCAAAACAGATGAAGACCACCCTTTTGGGAATTGGAGTGGGTGAAGTGTAAATGTATGCCTACTCTCATTTCCCAGTAAGCTTTGGAATTCTGATAAGGTTTAAGGACATCTAGATCTGTCTGGTCACCTTGTCACAGAACAAGTGCCCTTTGTTAGAGGAACAGGGGAAGATGGAGGCGGGGTGTTGTTAAGTGACGTACTAAAAAGTGAGTTCAAAGGTTGTTTTATAGTCTTTAACGATTTTGAGTTCTATGCGAAACATTTGGTTTAAACTTTTCTTTCTTTCGCGCGATATTGTTTCCTAAGATGGCAGGGCGAAAGCAACTATCTTTTCGAGATAAACTGAACGTTATCAATGATATTGATGAGGAATGAAACAGATTGATGCGGCTAAGAAACATGGATTATCGCAACGTTCCTAAAGAAGAGAAAGCAAATCGAAGATGCTGTAACTTCAAATGAAATTAACCCAGAGCAAAAACGACTGAAAGTTGCGACAAATGAAAACATTGATGCTGCTTTTTTAAAATGGTTTCAAGAGATGAGAGCAACAAATGTCCCAATAAATGGACCTTTATTATGTGCAAAAGCACGGAAATTTGCAGCAATGCTAGGGAACGAAACTTTCAAAGCTAGCAATGGTTGGTTAATGCGTTTTCGAGATCGTCATGGAATAACTTTCCAAGAAGTTCACGGAGAGAAAAAAGTCAGCCCCGATAAACGACGCAAATGAATGACGACAAAACAAGATTAAAGAAATCTTAGAAAAGTATGCTCCAGAAGACATTTATAATGCAGATGAAGCTGGGCTGTTTTTCCAACTCCTACCCGATCGAACATTGGCATTCAAGGGTGAAAAGTGTTATGGAGGGAAGAAATCAAAGCAGAGACTGTTCTTCTGTGTACAAATAGCACAGGAACGCATAGAATACAACCTCTCGTCATTGTTAAATCATTGAAGCCAAGGTGCTTTAAGAACATGAAAAGTCTTCCCGTGGAGTATAAAGCAAATAAGAAGGCTTGGAGGACGTCTAAATTTTTTTCCGAATGGTTACAGAAGTTAGACAATGAAATGAAGAAGAGAAAGAAAAAAATCGTTTTGTTGATAGATAACTGCGGTGCTCAAATTCCAAATTAAGTACCAGAATCCTACCTAGTTACTTCATTGATTTATACTTAGAAAGTATGTCTATTGATTGTTCGATCATAATGTGAATTATACAGAAACAAATTAATATATAAAATAAGTATTTTATAATAAATAGTTACAATTAATTTTGACTTCCACCCCTTTTTGATTTGGGATTACAAAAGGAGGAACCTTTCCTTTAGAGGGTCGCCTTTAATAATTTTCAGGTTAGAGTCTAAGGAATACAAAGAAACTTTTCCTATTTTCTGCTGACTGCTATCCCTAAACTGAGGTAGGTCATGAAGTTACTATTTCATAGTCGAATGATGGAATATTAACTTTTGCAAACACTGAATTTAGCTGTTTCATGTGCTTTCAAGAGCATCCTAACTGCATCATATAGAGAATTGCATCACTGTACCATATAGGTAGGGGGCCCTTAAAAGAAAACGAATTCTATTATGTACATATACTTAAAGATTCTAAAGTTAAAAGTAAATTGGAATCAAAGCAAGGCTATTCATCAACTATATTAATATTAGCAATCGTGTAAAAGGGTTTTAACACAAAATCCAAACATATCAAAATTAAAATAAGAATTCATAGTAGTACAAATTCTAAAAATAAAAATTAAAAGCAAAAGGTTTCCTCTTTTGCTTTTAATACAAGATAAAAAATATAAAAATAATAATCTTCTTTTATTGAAACTCCAATTCCGAACTCATCAGAAGAAAATGAATTAAAGCTTCGGTACTTTTCCGTTTTGCCGGCGCAAACGATAAAGTCGCCAATATTGGTACAACTGATGCCAAATGGAATATCTTAGCTGGTAACCTTTAACGACTCATTTTCAAAACAAGTAAGTCGCAGCCATTTCTTTTCAGATTTATTGTTTCTTTCAATACTGACATACAATTACGTAGAATTTTTACTAGATAGTTAAATTTTATGCCCTAAGACTATTCGCGGTAATTAAGTCAATTAGAATGCAATCACAGCTCACCCGAAGGCGAAAATACAAAAAAGACAAAATCAAGGGTTAAATTCATCCATTCTAATGAGAATGCACTAGCGAAGTAAAGCACTGCGGTTTTACATACTTTCTGAGTAAGCTATTCGTAGGAATTGAAATAATTCTTGCATTTAAACTTGTATTCCAAATTAAGATTTAACTTGAAATGAATGTAGATAATGACTGAGAGAATTAGATTTTTGTAGTGTAGTTTACGTGAGATGAGATCACTTGGGATCACGTGATACGAACCGGAAAAATTAGGATGTTAAACCATGAAAGCATAGTAAATTCTTAATTTAATGTCTTTTTACAAACTTATTGTCTTTATTTATTGGCTTTCTACAAAATTTTAAACCATATTAAAATGTTTATGCCTTCAAAATAAAAAATTCTTAGAATTAACATTTGTTAACATTTTATATGTGTATATTTTATGTTGTCGCCAACAAAGTATGCTTGGCGAGATTTGCGCCGGCGAAATGGAAAAGTACCAAAGCTTCTATATATATGTAATAGAATTCCTCTTTTAAGTTTAAACATGTAAATGTAGTTCAGCAGGACATTTAAGGGCCCCCTAAGCCTTCGGCATTCCTTGCATACCCTTATTTATGCCACTGATTGTATGAAAAGATCTATTTACTGAGTCTGTTATATCTTTTGAATATTCAAATATGTTATGCAGAAAATAGACAATTTTATCGGCCTCATGCATGAAATAGTGTTATGACATTTCCTAGCATTTTTTATGTTTATTTCAGATGTGTCATTTTACTTTCTGATGACTTTTTTGGGGGGAGGGGGTTGAACATTGTGGAAGTAAAAATTTGATAAATATCTTTAAAAAAAATCACCTAAACTTGAGACTGATGCTAATTATCTGTAAAATCTTATTTTTTTTTATATATTTCTGAATATTATCTTTTTGAATTTTTTTTTTTTTTTTTAAATTTTATTTTTGTTTTCCTTCTGTTCTGTAAATCTTCTGTTTTGAAAACTTTTACTTGGGCTTCAGTGCAAACAGGAGTGAAGATGAATGTATCTTTCAGTTGTGAATAATTTATTCATCAAAGATATGTAACAGATCATTCAGATTTTTGATAACTTGATTAAAGTTTTATGCTTTTTTTTTTTTTTTTTTTTTTTTTTTTTTAACTTTTGGAAGCAGGTAATAGAATTGAAAATAATCTCCAAATCATCTTCCTTTGATTATTCTTTATGTTTTAATGAAAAGTGTTTTAATATTTTTATTAGTTTTTCATGTATTTTAATAAGGAGTATTTTAGCTCTGAACCAGGAGCTTTAAAGTACTAATAACTTGCCAAATGCCTGCCTTTCTTGTACAGTTACAGACTTAACCTTTACCAAATTCTTTTAAGGAAATTTTTAATTTATGTATTAGCTGTGATGAATCAATCCATTGATATATCTATTCATTTTATTATTTTGTTCACAAGTTTGGCATCTTCTGAATAGTGAAATGAAAACTCTGAAATTTGTTGAAAAAAGTATGGGAAAAATGCGGAAAAGCAGATAATGTTCTAAATTCCCATACCAGGGGGGCAGTTTCATAGTTCAGGGAGGGGGAATACAGTCAGTTTTTCATTTAGCTATTAATGTTTATGAATATAAAAAACTACTTTTGTTGAAATTGTGGCATTTACCAATGTTTTCTTTATTTTTTGTTTAGTTTATAAAACATGTTAGGAAATAATCTAAATCTAAGTAAATGTATATATGTATTTTTCATGTTTTGGAATGAGGGGGTTGATCTAGCAATGGCAAAAGAGGTGAGTGGGGGCAAAAATGGTTTAGAACCCCTGTCCTATACAAAAGAAATTATACTTTAGTGTTAAAAAAAAAAAGTGAAAGTGCAGAGATTGAGAAATAGAAATCATTTTGAATGAAGCAGTATTTCATTTACTACTGTGGTATAAAATTCTTACTACAGTCAAAAGTCATTAATTCGGACACCCATAATCCGGAATGATCTATAATCCGGACCTCAAAGTTACAAACTTTCTGCGCATGCGTCTCATTGACGCATGTGCATACGCGTGACGCATGCGCATAGGCGTTTGTTTACATGTGTGCGTAAGACCTTTACAGCTGAGAATATGCATGTACGTGTGCGCATAAAACGTTTACACATGCGCGTTTAATGTATAACGGATAGTATGAGCTAAGAAAATTATCTAATTCAGTTAATGTTGTAGATTGCGTTGTTCTTAATCTTCGAATTGGATCCAGCTTATTATTTTTTGCAGACTGTTAGAGCAATTTTATAAAAGTAAGCTTGAACTTTCAATTATATCAAATAGAATTTCCGATACATATTTGCTAATATGTAAAGGATCTAAAGCGGAAGTATGTTTCGAAATCCGAAATCTGTTTATCAATTTCACGCTGCTCAGCGGGGGGAACGCTGCAGCGCGCAATGAATTGGAAGTTGATCTGTCAGAACTATCCTTATCTTCACGGCAGATGTTTTTATTTTATTTGGCTTATAATTCCTTACTAAATGTAGTATTTCATCTCAATGTACATCTTTGATATGATTTAAAACAAGGTCCTCGTCATTATAATTCGCTTCCGATAGTGAGAAAAGTGACAGAGGTTATTGAAAACGAAAAAATTTCGATTGATAAATTAGTCGGTATAGATAAATTAGTCGGTTATTTCTCGACACAGTAATTATAGGACTTGAACAGCAGAACTTTGTAACTAAACAAGAAATTATGTCTGTTTAATAGAATTAAAGAGAAAGTATTATCACATGAAACGAAGCAACTTAAATAATTTACATTGAAAGAAATGTTTAATAAAGTAAACAAATAAATATTAAGCTTTTTCTTTTTGTAAATTTTGATACCCTTTAGATCATAATTGTTCTCTATTTCATAAATTATGGTTTCATATTTTTAATTTTGTAATTTCTGCATGCCATGTTACCAGATTTAAACTGATGATCTATAATCTGGAAAAATCGATAATCCGGAATCGCTGAAGTCCCGACGAGTCCGGATTAACGACTTTTGACTGTAGTATTATCCAGACTACTGCCATAGATACCTCTCCTAACAATTGAATCTAGCATCTATCTCCATCCTCTCTGTGGATAGCTTAGTTCTCTCTAGCATTTGTGTCTGTGAATTTCTGTGGTTCTGGATTCTCTTTCCTAATATATGCTCATCGTAAATAAGATGCATGTACTTCATTTTTTAATTATTTCATATTTCCTTCCTAATTCTTTGATATATTTACCCTTTTAATATTAAATCCTGGTTTTCATCAGTAATAAATAAATGATAAATTGTCATGATAATGGTCTTTTAGTTAAGACTCAGATAAAAATATTCATCATTACAAAGCAAACAGAAAAAAATGATTTAGATATTTTACATTGTAGTGCTGTTATCCACGATTAAAATATTAAGTAACTTATTTCACTGGAAAACAATATTAAACATTAAATATTTTTATTTGATTGGGCTAAAGACATTCCAAAAGGCTTTTTTAACCATAGTTTAATGCTATGTCTTTTTCTGTCACAAATTCAGTTTGGTGCGCTGAAATATATTTACTTATTTTTTACATTATTTATTACAGCTAAAGCTGTTATGTTTTCTACTGTTTAATTATTAAGTAATTTTTGTATTTCCTTTTAAAAATTTAGCATACACTGTAATTCCAATAAAGTATTTTTCATCTATTGTATCATTCTTTCTTACACTTATTGATTTATTGAAGTTATTTTTTCTGTTGTGAATTGTTTAAAGAATTTTTTAATATGATAATGATTCGCAATTTAAAATTTTATATTATCTTAGTTTAACTCTGATATATTGATCTTCTTTTAAACTTTGCTTGTGAGACTATTTGCAAATAGTACTTTGCAATCAATCTATTATGAACTGGTAATTCAATTTCCAATTTTTTTAGGTTTACCAATGCCTTATGGTAATCAGAATACCAGTTCATGTAGCCCACAAGTAACACCAGGAACATCTCGTAAGTAGAAAATTTGTAATTTACAGTTTTGCTTAGTTGTGCTGCTTCACTTACAATTTAAGAGTAATTTAATTTTTGTTGTTGAAAATGTCTATTTAATTTTTGTCGTTAGAAATGTCTATAGTATGTTCCCCCTTCTCGAATGTTTTACTGCTATTGCATTTATTATCAAAGCTTGTCATTTGTATGGTGTAGTAAATGTTACCAAAAAGTAAGATATATTTTTCAATCACATTGCCTGTGCCACTAATGTAACATGTTTCATTGCGGCTGATTATTTTTCAATCACATTGCCTGTGCCACTAATGTAACATGTTTCATTGCGGCTGATTATTTTTCAATCACATTGCCTGTGCCACTAATGTAACATGTTTCATTGCGGCTGATTCACTAAATAAATCATATTACACATGAACTGTATTTCCTTCACTTTTATTTAATTACACTAATTCTGAATAGGAAATACGCAATACGAAATGAGTGATACAAAATAGTGTGCCATTTTACATAGCTGTCACAAACACAGGAATCAACCAACCACTAATCTTATTGCCACATGCAAAAAGTGGGAACAGAGAAACTTACACACATTATATAATGATAAATCATATATGAATTATTTTAACTTCTTGTGGGAGTGGACTGATGATTTAGTCATCAAAGGAGCAAGTTAAGCAATCTTGGGTTATATATGCTGCTCGTAGTACTCACACTGGCCTCTGTTAAAATTCCAGGAGATTTCCAACAATTGGAGTATTTTGCAACTTCTTATTCTGTAATGAAAATCTTATTAATAAAACATGAATAAAATTAACAAAATGCAAAAATATTAGATGCAAGATAGTTCACAGTTTTTAGTTTGTATAGGAAAAGGAAACAATATCACAATAGGTTGTTTTATGACACCATGACCAGTTTTAGTGCTAACAACTCCGACTTTCCGGTCTGAGCTTGGATGAACAGCAGTTATCTGCCTAACCTCCATTTAAGAGGGGAAGATTATCTTCTTTGATGAGATGATGATGATTTACATATACTGGCTTAGTTGTCTGTGACTCGGATTTGCAGTGTCTGAAATTATCCATCCCATCCTTCAATGTATCGCGAATGAAAGATTTGAGCCATGTTTGACAATTTCTCCCATCATTAAATGCAGAAATGCATTTATGCCGGGACTCGTCGGGACTTCAGCGATTCCGGATTTGGGATTTTCCCGGATAATAGATCATCTGTTTAAATCTAGTAAGGTGGCATGCAGAAATTATAAAATTAAAAATATGAAATTGTGATGTATGAAATAATGAAGTATTTATGATTTAAATGTAATCTTTGAGTCTGTGAGTATCATCAACAAAAATCTATTTTTTAGCACGTGGAAAGATTTTTTTTGTAAATTTTTCAAAATTTTTTAGCGCAATTGAAAACTGTAATCATTGCCAATCATAATGTCAATATAAAAGGTTACCACACTCCTTTATTATTAAAATACTAACATGAAAAAATTGTTTGGGTTTAGCTACATAAGTCGTTACTCAAGTTGCCATGTTTTGATAAACATGCGGTAATGAAAGGAAAGTATAATAAATAATGATTCGCCAGGTTGGCGTAAGATCAACAATGTATCTGTGGAATGTGTCGGCATGCTAAGTAAATACGCAGCAACGGAGCCAAATTTATTATGCAGCAATGGAGCCAAAATTACAAATTTATACTAAAAGGATTGTTTCTTATATAGTTTTGAAGTGAAATTAAGAATCGGGACTCCCCAGATGCTTTATTATGTGCGGAGGGGGAAATTAAATGTGCATGCATAAAGCCTACTAGAGAAATTTTGTTGGTGGTTTTGAGGTCCGGATTTTAGATCATTCCGGATGATGGATGTCCGGATTTTGGACTTTGTACTGTATTACCTCCTAAGGTCAGTAATGTTAACTTTAGGAGTTTAATATTGTCAAGAACCTGTTCTAAAATTACACTATCAGATTTATTTTTACTACTTTAATTTTTTAATTCTTTTTATGTTTAAATTTCCATAAGTAATTTTTCTCTGCATACTCCTTAACATTATCTATTTTATTTTCTAATTCCTTAGTGTTTTTAATTAAACCTTCAATTTCAACATCAAGCTTCCTCGGCTCTGTTTCTTTTTGTTTCAGTAATTAAACATATTCTTCTAGTTCTATTAAATTAATTTATCAGCTGTTATAATAATTTCTATTTTCTTAATATTATTAGTGATATTCCTATCTAAAGTAGTTCTTTTTGTTTTGAAAATTATAAGTGCACTCATAATTGCTCAATGCAAAAAAAAAAAAAAAAAAAAAAAAAAAAAACTCAAATTATACACCAATATTAAGACGAAATCAAAACACTTTTATGCTCCATTATAACAGTGTTAAAAATCACTTATGTTCAGTATCCACATACCTAACAAACTCAAGTAATTTTTCATGGCCAACATGCATAGTTGCGTAGCTATAATGCGTTTCAAGCAGTTAGTCGCTGTCTTCACTGGCACTCAGGCTAGGACTTAACTAAAAAAATGGCACTAAATATGCTTCACTGTGGTTGGTTCACTAAATAAATCATTTGACATATAGACTTTATTTCCTTCACTTTTATTAAATTGCACTAATTCTAAATATGAAATAAGCGATGTAAAATAGTTAATACGAAATGGCGAGCCATTCTACGTGGCTATCACAAACACTATAATCTGCCAACACTAGTCTTACTGCCAATCATGGTTCCATATGATTTTGGGCATTTCTCATAGTATTTTCAGAAATAATGGTCTCTGACAGAGGTGATCATCTATGAGAAATGGTTAGATTTCATGCATTATAAATAATATTTTGTAAATTAAATAAACTAGCTATAAATTATATAAACTAGCTCATATAATTACAACATGTAAAATATAAATTGCTCAGTTAAGTAAGCCATCGTTTTAATTTGGAAGATTAGGAAGTTATGAAATTCTCTGATGTCCATTCTGAATAATAACAAAACTGGAAATGGTCTATGTGAATGATAAATTAAAAAGTTAATGCTTTACAGAACGTAGCTTTTTGCTAGCTATCATATCATATTGCAATGGTGATAAAAAATTTAGACTAAGCTATAGATATTTCTAACTCCAAAACCATCATAATAGAATATTTTATTATGCATTGCTATATTATTAAAATATATCTGAAATTGCTTTATGTTTGCATGTAAAAATAGTAGCGTGGGAGAATATATTTTCCCTGTCTATCTGCTTTCTTGTCTGTCATTATTATTATTATTATTATTTTTGCATGTGGATGTTAAAAACTGAATTAGAGTAATTTAGCTGTAATTAAATATATTCTTATCTGCATAAAAAAAGTGCATTATAAGAAATTATGCACTTATAAGTTCAGTACTAAAAATCTAATTATCAAATGGCATCATGCATTACAAGTCCTTTATAGCCTGAAGCAAAACTAAGCACCAATATTGTTGTACATTTGATAGATATCAGAAAGAAGATTAGTTAGTGTTTGTTGAAGATGCATTTTTTTCGCACCTCGATGTAAATTAGTGTTGTATGATATTGGCAATATATCTTTTTATATATGTAAATTCTTGACTGATTTTTGCCCAAGTGTAAATTTATTTTTTTCTCAGTTGCTAAAATTTTGCATCAGAAAATGTAGTTAAAATCTATCTTTTTAAATACATAAAAGCATTCTTATGGGAGGAAACATTTCCAGTAAGTTTCAAGTTTAATATATTTATACAAGATGAATGTCTAGAATTACTTCCTTGATTTTTTACACATTTTTACTTGACTTCAGTATCTTTAGCACAGTAATCCATTACAGATCAAATTCCAGTGGCAGAAAAGATGTCACATCCTTCAGACATTTGAGAATGGCAAGTCATTTTTTGAAACTATTCAAATCATTATCTCTGTAGTGTGAACCATGCAAATACTGTGTCAGTTTTTGAGATGAGACACTTTGAGCCAAGTAAACCTTATGTGCTGGGACATTATTTGTGTGAAAACACTTTCCTGCTGAATTTTCGTTGGTGTTTTAGCTGAATTTGTATGGTTGAGGAGATCTATTATGTTTCTAGTCCGTACTCTCTCTTTTATTTCTTGAGTCTCAGCTATGTTTCATCTCCTGTCACTAGCTGCAAATTAAAATTTTTATGTGTTTATCAATGATAAATTTTTTAGAACATTCAACCCATTGTTTTTCATTTTTTACATTTGCATTTTGGGTCTTATTTGGTTATATTTGATGACATCATCATAAGTGCTATTATCATAGACCGAAGATATGCTTTCAAAAATATTTGTTGGTGTTTATGCCTTTTTTTTAAATCAAGATCTCAGTTATTGAGTAGTGTTAGATATTTTCAGTATTAACAGTCTTGACTGATAATATTTAATAGCTTCTGAAAAAGCGAATAACACTAGCTGTGTATGTATGTCCTTTTATATTTTCAATGTCTAGGGTTTGAACATATTGTATACTCTTTGTATATATGAAATAAGCCTATGAGTAATATTTTTACTTTGGTGTGTTATATTTACAGTTTAGCATTTTGATTGTGTATAAGCTTATGCATCTTGAAATATCCTGGTTTTTATAAATTAGCAAAAATTAGGAAACTTACTATGAAATAGGGAAAAGTATCTGAAAGATTTTGATTACATTTAATAGAAACATCAGTTATATTATCACTTTCAGATTGGGCATAAAATAGATTTTCATTAGAATTAGCATGTATGTAAGGAATTATTGCTTTTCCTATTTGTGTTCCTCTTGTTTGATTGATGTTATATCCAGCTAGCATTCTAAAAGAACCATGGTTTAAATCCCAGTTAGAGTATAGCTGATTTTTTAAGTTTCCTCCTACAAATAATAACTTAATAGCTGTTGTGACACTCAAACTGAAATATTGATATTAAATTTGACATAAACATTGACAGGATTAAGTCTGGATATGGCCAACTTGCTCCTGTTGCTCTCTTTCCATTTGTCCTTTAAGTGGGAGACAAAATATGGAAATATTCTCATGGTGTAATTGGTAACTTGTCTGGTGGGAATTGGATGTAGTAAATTTGGCCAGATGTGGGACTTTAGAATGCTTCAGTGTAGACTGCAGTTGCCTTTTTTCAGTAGTGGTGCAGAAATAATCTGTTAACCGTTTTTCATGAGATCAATATGCTGACTAAAAGGTAAGGATTTCTCACTTGACAGAAGACAAGAATTATTTTAACTGAGGAGCTGAATTGGCATTAGATTAAGAGCTTGATTTGGGCAAGCCATTTAAGCATAATGCTTAAATGTGTTGCTATGCTAGCTGTGAACAACATGAAAAAGGAATATTCTGTAATACAAAATTTAATCTCTTGCACTTTAATAATGTATACATTTATGAATATTTAAGCTCCCACATGCCAACACATACATATTCTGAATTTATGTGTAAAGAGAGATCTCTTATTTACTTTTAAGGCTAGTGTATTTGTGCATATATTTGTTTTATCCTGTGACATGGTAATTTAACTCTTTTATCTTGAGAGTATAACTCTTTCTTTTCTGAAGCTTTGTATGCTCAATAAAAGATGTATTGCTTCCAGTATATCCCTTTGTATGCTTCCAGTAACTGACAGATTGACAATTAATTTGAAGTTTTTTTTTGTTTTTTTGTTTGCAGCTATTTGTCTTTTACAGTGGCCATAAATTTGTCTTTCTTTCCAAACTTTTTCTAGGCAGAAGCTCATATTCACTTATAATGTTATACCTGAATAATTAGTGTACTTCCTTTTCATTTTGCAAATAATGTTTCAAGATACAATGGTATACTGGAAAATATCTGTATATGTGCTGTTCTCAGGCAGTGGACATTAATGCTAGTCTAACATATTTTTAAAGAACATATTAATTTGATATTATTGGTAGTTAAATTTGTTAGGTTTAGTGATACATATATTTGAAGAAAAATTGTTCTATTAAGGTAGTTATCAATTTTCTTTTTAATTTGTGGAAGTCAACATGTACAGACTACTATAAATGGCAATGTATTTTTTTACTTTTGAGTAATAATGAGTATAAATTAAATATTTAGTAATCTGTTTCTCTTATTACATTAAATTCTGTAATACTGGCCATAGACCAAGTATTTAATTTCTAGTTTTTATGTTATTAGTATGACGTGTTTTAACCTTATGCATATATGATTCTTTTGCTTGCTTTAATAAATTAGTGCTGTAGTGTATGTAGCATGCATTTTTATTTTTTTTTTCTGCTTTATACCAGCAAATAATGTCAATTTCTGCTTTATAACCTTTTTGGCATGTTCTAATCTTTTAGAACCTCCCTCTGCCCGCTCCTCACGAAACCCTTCTCCAATTTCTACTCAGCGGTATGACTACATGGAAGGGCAGTTTTCAAATAAACCTAGTAGGTGATATTTACCTTAAATACCTATTTGAATATTTTTACTAGTATTAATCAGGGAGTTGTACACAAAAAATGTTTTTTGTTTATAAATATGTATTGAGGGCCTGCAGAGTATAAATGTTTCTATTCATTTTTATTTTTATGTATGAAAACAGTTTAGGTATTTATTTGCATAAAATGTAACTTTTGTTGCTAGACATTTTAACATATCAGTTAATGTTTGTTGCATAGAGAATGTTATGAGGCGTATTCAGAAAATAAGTCCTATACAGTAGCAGGTGTCGCATAAAATTTTTGTCCTCTATATTATGGACATACAATGCTTTTTGTAGACTTTCCAGACTCAGATAATATCCCCTTTATTCCCATGAAATTGAGGATTATTTTCCTGACTGAAATGTTTGACAGAATTAAGAATTTTCCAAATATAAAACGTGTTCTGATATTAATTTTTCAAATGTGGAAAGTGTGCTACCAGCAGATGTTTATTGTCAGATTTGCAAAATGTATGGATTGTGATGTCTGATTCAGTGATAAAAGGATAGGTTAAAGAATTTAATAAAAGCTACAATGTGATTCACAGTGAATAGCACAGTAGCAGACAGTCTTTTTGAAAGATGTTTTATTGTTTATTATCATCAGAATAATTCATAAGAATTTGCATTCCAGATTTCATCATTCTTCATTAAATGTTCCAAAAGTGTCTTTTGTATTGAACTGTCAAAAATTAGTCTTTATTGTTTATTACCAGCTAGAAGTAATGGATACTCAAACCATATTGCAAATGATAGAACATACTGTAATACCAGTATTTAAATATCAGTCCATGGAATAAATGTATTTTATCTCCTTTCAAAGTAAAAAATTCAAGCAAATAATCAAGAAATGTGCATGACATTTTGAGTCGTAAGTTATAAATTCAAAAAGCAAGAAATTTTAACCAAGAGGATTATATACATGGCAATTAGAGACCAAAATAGAATTTTAATTATGAAGCTTTTGCCTCTGGCAAAATATGAAGTCAATCATGCCAAGATGAAATTCGCTCACTTTTCTGTTATTGGATGGTGCTTAATTTCTGAGTATGCTATATACCTTCTGTGTCTTTAAAGAAAGTAATAATTTAAAGTTCCCATTTTAATATAATCTAAAACACCATCTAAAACTTTTTTCTGACATATTGATTGTGATAATTAGGAATTTAAAAATATTTTTCAAAGTGTTAAATCTGAATTATAATGGTAATGTTAAATCAGAATTGAAATTTTGTAATTCATAAAATGTATGTTTGGTGATAGTATTTTGTGTATTAAATGCATGCTGAATTGCTAATTGACAACAAAATTTTATGTTTTGATCAGAATTTGTTATGCATATACTTATTGCAATAATTATACCTTCTTATCATGCCAATACCTGAGTAATTAATAACACATCCATATCTTCTTGTTGTACTGTTATTCATGTTAATGCTGATCTTGTATCTTCTCAAAGTCTGGTGCAGTAGAAATGGAATTAATCTAATTATACAACTAGGTGCCACTCAGCAGAAATCTAGTCTAATGTTTTCAATGCCAGACAAGTCAGTGTTTGTTAATGTGCAGTAAACTTTGTTCATACAGTAAACTTTGTTACTGTAAACTGTAACAAATGATAAGCTAGAAAGGTCAAGATTTCATAGTTTGTTTTGCACCATCTATTTGCAGTATTCTTTTGAGCTCAGATACTGAATCTGGAGATAATCAATGGCACCCTTTAATTGTTACTGATCTGGAGAGTGTATATTACTCTTTCATGTGTATGGCTCTAGCTATTGTTTCCTCACTATTTGTTGATGTGATTGATATTGAATCATGAAATAAATCCAGAAGACTATCAATCGAGCGGCCTTTCAAAAACTTAAAAGTTGTTGCCACTTCAGAGACTGCTGTGTGTCTGGGGTAAGTAATATGCTCACGATTAATGCTGTTAAGGTCACCACATTTATCAGTTTTAATTGATTGCAATATATCGGGTTTTAACAAAAGTTTCTTGCTACCGCAAATATCGTCTGTATAAACAGTTCACGTTGGTGTGTTTAATCATAATTTGTCAAATGATTTTTGGCATTTGAAAGAAAGAGACTTGCTTTAGAACACAGTGTTGTGAAATTTGTAAAAAAATATCATTAGGTACAAGGTGTCTAAAATGGAACTATCATGCTAGCTGATTAGAACCGTATTTACTTCCAATTCTGTTGCAAAAAGTCAGCTACAGAATGTATCACCAAATCATTTGTACAGATTTACAAAATGTATCAAATGACATTGGGAAGGTTTGTTACTGAAAGTTCAAAAACGAGGACCATGACATTCAAAAAGCAGAGTGCTCTGGCCAACCTACTGATGTTGATGAGGCCCGCCTGTGAAAACTTATGGAAGAAGATCAGTGTGCAATAACGCGACATTAGTGCCATGTCCATTAATCGTGCTATGTATTGCATAAGCTTGATGTACCAATCGCTGGGTACCACATAAGCTGACTCGAGCAGATAAGGTTAGATGTGTTCGGGCCTGCACTAATCTGCTCAAACATCAATACAAGTACAAAATTATGGATGGATTGTTATTTGTGATGAAAAATGGATTTACTTCACAGGTCAAGTGGGATGGTCTGCACCCAATGAGCTTGTCAGCAGTGTCAAAAAGCACAATTTGACTAACAAACACATCATGCTATCTATCTGGTGGGATAGCTGTGGTGTTATTCACAAAGTGTATCTTTATAAAGGTAATACTTTTGACAGTTAGGTGTACAGCAAGATGCTAGTCCCTATTGACACTGCTATTAAGGAAAAATATCGAACTGAGTTCCAATGCAAAAAGGTAATGTTCCATCAAGTTAATGCAAGATGACGTGCATTCGCTAGCTAGAATCTGTATGGACACAAATGGGATCTTTTTCCACACCTACCGTATAGCTTCGACATTGCTCCTTTGAAGTTCTACCTTTTTTCACACTTGCAGCTACATTTTGGTGGTGCTATCTTCCATTTTGCACAAGATGTCCAAAGTGATCTGTTTTGGACTAGTGGCCACCTGAAGTTTCTGGACTGAAGGCTTTGAAAAACTACCAAACTGTTTTCAGAAAATCATAGATTTGTGTGATGATTTCTACCTAAACTAAAAATACTGCTTTCATCTTTTTTTCCTAACTTGGCAGAAAACTTTCATTACAACCAGATACTACGAGAAGCCTCGATAGCTCTCAGTTTATTAAGTTTTTTTTGCATATCATTTTTAGTGGTGCTAATATACGTATGTTTTGTTTTTAATATCACAGTTATTCGTCAGATATAAAATGAGGGTATTTAATTGATCATGTAACAGAAACTTGCCTATAGAATTATCTGTAGATTTCTGTAGCTGAATGACTATTAAGCTTTAGGTTAGGCATACTTTGTAATCTAATTTGCTATTGGAATTTTCTGATAATGATTTATTATTCAGAATCCAGTTAACTATGGCCAGAAATCTGAATTTGGTTATTTTACTGATGCTTGCATAATTTGACAACTATTCCATTTGTTCACTTGCATAGGTTTTTTTGATGCCAATATCTTAATGAGAATAAACTTTAATAAACCAATATTGAGTGACTTATTTGAATCTGAGCTTTTTGTTTATTCATAGTGTTTTCTGTGTTTTAATGTCCAAAAGAGACCTTCAGCCAGAGATTGCATAACCCTTTTATTGATTTTTCTCATGTAATGTAAATGTGGATCAGTTTCACATAAATAAACCTTTTTGAAAGCGTCCCTTTCATGAGGGATATAAGCCTGTTTAATTATTATTCAAATTGTAGATGTGTGATTGTAGATTGTGGATTGACTGTGATTGTAGATGTGTTTCAATCTATTAAGGAGCTAGAAACAGGGAACTTACCATCTTTGGTTAATGAAAAATTGTTTCTAGGAAGCTAATAATTATTCGAAAAAATGAATAAATATTTTGTTTCAGGTAGTAGCAACACATTACTTTTAAATAGCTTAGTTTGTTGATTATATCTGAAAAACAAATATTTTATGCTTTGCTGATACATTACTTTAAAATCGCTAATTCAGTGGTAATAAATTCAAAACATAAATATCTTATGTTCTGATGAGTGGCAACACATTGTTTTTAAATTGCTAAGTTTGTTCTTAACAATTCATTAAATTTGCACAAAATGTGAACTAAATACGAACTCGGAATTCAAAATTCGGGCTTCAAGGTGCACATACTTGATGACTTGGACATGCAGTTGCACATTAGAGGACTTAGTGGCTGTAGATGCTATCATTTTTCTGTAATGCAAGAAACATATATTGGGATTCTTTATTATTTAACAATAAAGATTGCATGAATGGATTAGCCAGCTAGCTGTCTGGACAAATATGCGGGATGCCTTAGGCTGCTAAATTGTTGTTTATTGTATGCTCCTTCAGACCTCCAAGGATCTAAAAAGTGCACCTTCAGGAAAATGGCATGCAAACCACAAAATTTGATGAACAGCTTGATACATTCTATGAAATCGAAGCGTGAGATTTGCATTTCTGTCAGAGGTGAACATGCACCATATTAAAGAGAGATTTGTTGCAAAGGAAGGATAATCATTTCTCCATTTTAAATTTCCATAATTTCATTCTCCTTTTTAAATTTCCATATTTTGAAATTAAATCAACTGGCATATATGGTAATTTATGTTAAATGATACTTTTTTGCAAATTGTTTTAATCATTTAGAAATTAACAGTTAAGTTTTATTTTGGATGTTAACTTTTAGTTTTAATTAGCAGTGTATTTTAATATTTTGTTCAATAATATTTTACGATCTGATCGTTATAAAATGACATTTGTGTGTGCAATGCAGGTCCATCAAATTCTTCTCTTAGTCTTCAAAATATGGGCATGAGTCCAAGTATGGGTTCTGGTCCACCAAATTTTAAAAATGCCGGTGACACTGGCCAGACTATGTCACCTCACACTCCAAATATGTATCCTGGACCCGGCATGTCTTATCCGCCCACAAGCTCCCATATAACTTCCCAGGCAGGTACTACACCTGGACCACCACCTGTCACACCACAGACTGGACCAATTAGGCCTCGTTATCCTCAGCAGGTATGTTCAATTGTTTAATAGCATTTTTTAATTGTATAGTAACTTTTTGAATGATATGTCTACTTTTTAGATATCTTCCCATCACTTCAGTTTCTTTGAGATATATTTTATTCTGTTTCATGATTTGGAGTTAATTCATATATCAGTAGAATGGAGATAAGCAATATTTTGCGACCACCTTACAATAAATATAATGCAAATATGGCATTTGATAACAATATTGGAATTAATTCTGTTCAAAATATTATGTACAATTATGAATATTAATTTTCTTAAAAAAATTGGAAAATTGCCAACCGCAAATTCTATAACTTGGATAAAGCTTCAAGTAGAAAACTCAAGGAAATTAAAAAAAGCAGAGAAAAATTAAATACTGTGTATAAGCTCACAATTTTTGGAACTTTTCCTAGGGCTAAATTATTACATTGTTGGCTTTTTTATATGGATCTGCTAACCTCACAAAAAATGTAGGTATTTTTCCATTAGCCATGTGCAAGCTATAAATCTCCAGACATCACATTTCCCCTCTTTAATTTATGAAAAAATAATAAAAAATAAAATGCTGTTTTATTTCCAAAATTGTTTATAATGTTGGTTTGTTGCGTTGTCATCAAAATGGAAAACTTGATGTTGGCGAAATTTGTGTCTGCCTTCCTCAACACTTGAATTTGTTTTTCGTTTGTGGAGAAATGCAAGCAGCTATACTGTTGTAGAATTTTCAGCAAGTGCAAGCACTTTTAGTTTAAAATATGCCATTTAAGAATTTCTCTACCCAGTTATCTTTCAAATAATAATAATTAAAAAAGGTGCAGAAGATAACATAGATCATGTGCCAGAAAACAAATGAAAAAATATGCTTTCTTCAGAGAGATTACTGGAAAGTCATTTTACTTGCTGAATCAAATTCAGCTGTCACTTCATTCTTTGTTAATGTTATTCGTAGTGCAATCTTTTACATAATCAAAATTATTTATTTGAAAAATTTTTAATGTCATAATTTATAGTTGATTTTATTTGATTAAGGATAAGAGAAATCATCAGTGAGGTGAGTAAGTAATGCGTAACATTATTTATAAATAATATTGTATGTATTGAAAATCATTTGCTTGAACACTTTTAGTTTGATCCAGAGCTTGAGTCCTGGTAGAGGGGCTGCCTACATGGGCATTTTATGTGTAACATAGATACAATCCAGTTTTCCCTAAAAGGTCCTCCGCCTCCTTTAGGCAGATACTGTTGTGTGTGTTGCCATAATAACAGTTAAAAAAAAAGGAATTTGTAAAATGGTCAGGATGTACTGAAAAAAAATCTGGTAGAATTAAAGTAATCTAAATTTGGAAGGAGCTCCATATTGATAAAGAGAATTCATCTGCTTTTGCGTCATAGCTAATAGAAGCAGTGGAGACCATCTAGATCAGTGTTGGCTGTAGCCAGCTCTCGGACCGAATGCAACCTGCTTATTGCTTAATCCAGCTTATTAAGAAATCCTGTGCAGTGACATTTTCATCCCTTCCCTATTTTGTACTCAAACTACTGAAATCAACAGCATAATAACATTTTATTTCTAAATTTTTATTTAAAAATGGTACTTCAATTCAAATTCAGTTCAAATTGACTAATTTTAAGTTGTTTCATTCAAGTAAAAGAATAGTTTTCTATGGTTCCTTAAATGCAGATAAATTCAAAAATTTTTCAGATTATGTAAAAAAGCATTTAGTTTTATTTGGGTTGATATATTTATCTGAAAGAACATTTTCATTAATGAAGTACACGAAAACTAAATGTTGATCGCTAATTACTGAAAAAGATTGCAGAATAAATTGGAACCTGATTTGGATAAAACATCTGCAAATGAACGCAAATGAGAGATTTCAATTCTCACATTAAATATATATTAATATTTGTTCTTACAAGGTGGTGTTTGTCATAAAGATAAAAATATATGCAAAGCTATAAATTTATAAAAATGTTTTATTTGTTACTCATGCCTTTTCTTGTAATTTAAGTGTGCATTTTATTTTTGGTTAGTTGATCCGCATGCAGGTCCTTTGCTCTTGTGTTCATCATCTGGGAGTTATTTAAAAGTAAAAATAATGAATAAAATGCTATTGTAAATTTTAATATAAAAAAGTTACTGATGAGAGTTGTTCTCCCCATCACATCCTGGCAAACAATAGAAACACCACAAAGAATCATCATACAAGCACCATTGAACCTTGCAACGGCCCTGCCAGCATGATGCTCTAAAAAAGACCTTTTTGACTTGTGGTTAAAAATATTTGCCCACCTCTGATTTGGAGCACTCCTTTGGATAAAAAATGACCAGAAAAATAAAAACAAATCGGTAAAATAAAAAAGGATTGATGATAGTGGTTGGCTTTTGAGACAGTTTTTCTGTCAGATTATAGTTTCTTCCAAAATTTAAAGCATATCTGCCAATTTTTATGAATTTTTCTTAATTTTTAGAAAACTATTTTTAAGATCTTATGCTGGAAATTAATTTTTTTATGAATTTTCCATTCTTTTTTTGTAAAGGGCGCTAAAAATGTAGCCAATTTGGTGATTTGTCGTTAGATTTTTATTTAAAGTAGGTACTTACACCCAAAATTTCGGGTTAGTTCTAATTAATTACCCATTTAGTTGTTTATTGTGTTAAAAACGATCTTTTTTCCTTTTCCCTGCATGTTGTGCATTAATAGATTTGATGATTAATCAAGATTTTTTTAAATTTTAAGATCAGTTTGCTCATGAAAACCGTTATTTCATGACATTTATCTGATTATTTGTGAATTTCATGATTATTTTAATGAATGTAACAATGTAATTTTGTCATATAAACAACAGCATATTAAAATTTGTGTTTACATCCATCATGCTTTGAAATGTAAAATTGTGTTTCATTTTTGTGGCTTTGAATATCTTGATTCTGAAATTTAAACAAGGTAATAAATATCATAATTTGCTAGTTTCCACACCAAGAAGGCTCTTGATACGATTGTAATAATGGGGCTGTAATAATAAGGAAGTACCTTTTCTACTTTTGATCCCTTATGTCTGATACATTTCCTGCATTCTTTTATTTTAAGATTTTCATTGTCAAAAGTACAAAAATTGTTAAAATGATTCTATTATTGTCAATTGCTCTGGCATCTGTGAAAAGGAATTCTGTTATAAAGGTACTGAAAATCAAAAATTTAAAATGTTCAACAGAATTTTTGAAGTGAAATTCAGAGATGAAGCAAACTAATTGTTGAGAAGGAAATTAGTTGCAAAACCCAAAAGAAATTTTTTTTTCCAGATGAATACTGTTAAAACATTAACAGATTAACACATACTGTAGCAGATGATGGAGAGATTGATAGAAACATCGATTTGTTTGGTAAAGCAAATGAACTCAAGAAATGTAGGGAAAGAGAAAGAAATAGATCCAAATAAGTTCAAATATTTGAAAATTTTTCAGATTAAAAAGATGAAAATATTTTTTAATATTATGGACTGTATCTTCTAACATGATTGTTTAAATATCTTTTTTAAATCAGCATAATAAATTGAGCTTTGTTATTTTTCATATTACTAATTATTATGGTTTCTTACTCCGTGCTCTCAAGCCTCTTATGATTTTGCTTGTGCTTGCCTGCCTTGTGACGCATGGTCACCCCCTCCCTACCACCTTCTTCAAACTCTTATGGGCCTATTATTATTTTATATCCTTATCTTCTAACTAATTAATCAAGGTAAAACAAAACTGCTTACCTTGTTCCAATGGGTTCTGCCAGGGCCACCGGGTTGATCTCCTTCGTGCATCTCCCTGCAAATCTTGAGAGGGGATAATCCATAAATGATAAACTTTCTTAACACAAACATATTTAATGAAGACACAAATGGTTACAGAATATTTACATAATGAAAAGGTTTAAATGTCTGCACGACGCAGCGTGCGACTTCTCAGTTCCGAGTTCTCGTGATCTCTGAGCGAGAGTTCATAGTTCGAGATAACGTCACTCAGCCATCGGATCTCAGCAAGAGTTGAGTTGCAACAGGGCCGAACTACTTCATGTTATGTGCCTTATGGCTTTATTTTTAAAGAGCTGGAAACATCGTGCTTCTGCGTGATATAGCAGCAATATTTGTCCCGAATGAACATAGTAAATTTTATATGTAAATTGTCTATTATTTCAAATTGCAAACTTTTCTTACATAATGTTGCTTAGGTGTTGACTGTTACATCTGCAAGGAAGGTGAAGTTCTTTCTTAGTTTGGATGAAGAACATTGTGCGGGGATGGATTCAGGCATCTCCCACCCACTTTTCCTTGCCACCAAACCTCTTGAAAAGACTTTCAACTGAACAGTATTTTAAGTACTTGCATTGCAGAATGATACTAATAAAATAACTTTGAATGCCCTGTCCCAAGACTATGGCAGTTGACTCTATCAAGCCATAATGGCATTTTTAAATATGATTTTATAGTTGTCAAATATTTTTGTTCAATATTAAAGCATTCTGCATGTTTTTCTTAGACTGATATTGCAAGAGTAAAATCACTTGTGTATGTGATTTTGATAATTTTCTTCAGATCTGTTTGCTGTGAAGTCCTTAATTTGTTTCTTTGATAATTCTTAAAAATCCTTAAAATTAATTTGCATTTAAAGAAATGTGTACAGTTCACATCAACTGAACAGAAAATTTACTAACACACCTGTGGGCTCATTATCTTCTTAGTTTAAATAATGAGCCCACAAGTGAACACAAAGTTCTGTGAAGTTCATTAAATGAAATTTTTGAAAAATTTGTCTTTTTATTTTGGAAATCTTTTTTTTTTTTTTTTTTTAAGGGACGGGGATTTAATTAGAATTCAAAGTAAACTTAGTAAAACTTAGTAAGTAAGTCAGAGAGAAAAATATTTACTTTGTTGTGCAGTAATTTATAACAAAAAAATTCTATTTTAGGTTGGGTATAACCAGTCACCTTCTCAGTATACTAGTCCAGTAGTTAGTCAGCCTAGTAATTTACAGCCACCTAGTTCAATGTATAACAATTCACCACAAACTCCCTACCAGCCACAGCAACAACAGTCACCACAGGTGTCCTATCAGCAACAACAGCAACAAACATTGCCGGTATCCTATCAACAGCAGCAACAGCAGCCATATCAACAGAAATACTTTGGTGGTCTACCTGATGGTCCAGTTGGTGGAGTTGCTGGATATGATCCTCAGTTGCATGCAAAAATGGCTGGTCTGAGTGTTAACAGTAGTTTCTCTAGGCTTTGGGTGTGTAATTTTTTATAATTTATATTAAACTTGTATTTTTGTTCTGGTAAAATGTGTTACATCAAAATTTTTGAAACTAAAATGCCTTTCTTAAAAATCTTTACAAAATGAGTTGATAATTAAGGTTAATAAGATGCTAACAAGTCATTAGAAATAAAACATAATCTATGAAAGTACTAAGCACCAACTGTTTGCATATTCTGTTTAAGTGAATGTTTTATTATTTTTTTTTTTTATAACTAGAATTACTGTTTGCCCGTCTTTTAATTTTATTTGAACAGATAGATATTTTGATACAGGGATCTTGCATTTCTTGTTGTGATGTGATACTGTAAGGTGACTTAGAAATTGTTTTAATATAAAAAACCTTGAAATAATCAAGCTTATAACTGGGCGTACTTTTCCATAATGTACCTGCTATACATTTTGAAGGTACTGCTGTAATAATATGAATGTGTTTAATTATTCTTGTTTACATACACACACAGTCCCCACATAATGCTATAGTTGTCTCTTGGCATATGTTTGGCTTCTCTTGAAAGGGGCCAAAAAATATGGCAGATGCATGACAGACCAGGCAACCTGTTATTTTTTAAATGACATGCTTGTCCTGAGCTGTAAACACAATTGTGACATAATTTCTTTTTTGAATTTAGAGGTGTGTAATACTTTAAAAAGTTTATTTCAGAAATTAGCAGGTATATTTTCTAAGGTATATTTTTCAGGTATATTTTCTCAAGTGGGTTTAAATCTTGGAGAATGGGCTGGCTATATAAGAGTTAAACTAGTTTCCATGTATATATCTTTTCCCTTCATGCACTGCTATACTGTATGGATTAAAGTCATTTTAATGTATATTATTTTAAATGCTTATAGATCAGATGAAGTATTTTAACAGCTACCTACATATTAATTGCTAATGAAAAAAAAAAAAAAAATAAGTTGATTGCAATAGCTTAAAAGTCCTTTTGGAAACCACATCTTCAGCCTTTGCAATTTTTTTTTTTTCTTTTAAAGCTTGGAAGAGCTATTAGTCTCAAACCTGACTCCTCAAATTGTTGTGTTGTAACACTTTTAATGTCTATCACTTTTCAAATAAAGAGATGCCGTGACATTGATTAACCAAGTAGAAGCTTTAATCATCTGAAGAATGGTGCTCTCCGGGTTGCCAGACTTGAAGTGGTTTTCAGAATATCACATGGTTGGAAGTTTTGCAGCTATCTTGAAGCAACTGATGGAAATTTTTATTTCCCAACTTGTGAGAGAATTAAATATTAAAAGAAGCCAACAGGAGTGAATACAAGAACAAATTAATCATGTAAAATTAATGAAAGCATATAAAAAGTGCTCTTTTGGGTGACGTTAAAATCTAATTTAAATAGGTGACTTTTAAATCTTATTTTTGTATATTTTTAGCAATTGTAAAATAGCATTCTCAGACTTGTTCCATTATCTTTAGCATATTCCATATATATTTTTATTGGGTCTCTGAAATGTGTATAAAAAGGAAGTGCATTTTTTTTTAAAGAATTAAAACCTGTTGCTGATCACTGAGAGTGTTCTGATTCCTGTATAGTGCAATTATTCATCACTAAAGAAAATGTTGTAGAATTGTTATGTTAAAAACTGCAGATTGAAAAGAATCAGACTAAGAAACTTATTTGATTGATGTTGGACCATATTTCTGACAGCTGTATAATTGACCATTGGTGCCAAGAACTAGCATTACTTAAATTTTACCTTGAAGATCTAGATATATCAGACAACATGGAAACAGTTATATGAAAGAAAGTTGCATTACTGGAATACACAAAAATACATTTCTGGCATTCAGAGCAACAACTACAGTTTCTAGATCTCCACTAAAGTGTGTTACAAATTAAAGCTTTTGATTGTAAGGGTTTTGTTAAACTTGTAAAAATCTTTTAAAATTTCAGAATATATTTTGAAATTTATGTTGGAAATTTCATAAATCAATACTTTTAGAGTTATATGGTATACATTTAAGTATTAACTTAATATTAAAATTTTAGGGCAATGACAACATAAATCTCCTTCAAGATCGTAATATACTCCCTGCAGTTCCCCTAGAAGCACCCAAACCAGTTTTAACACCAGACCGACCAAACTGTAGTCCAGAGTAAGTTCATACTTTTTTAGTTATCTTGTTTTATTTCTTCGTTTTTATCTTGTTTTATTTCTTCGTTTTCGTTATTCATTGTCTTGTATATTTTCATATTTTTAATCATGGAAATAAGTATATGTTTTGTGTTTTAGTATTTTTAGATGTACTCTGACGAAAGTACCTGATACTAGCTCTCTTCTTCAGAAATCTAGATTGCCATTTGGTATTTTAATACATCCGTTTCGAGATGCCTCAGTAAGTGATGAATATAGTTATAATATTTTATTCAAATTTATTCATGTATAAATAAATGGATGTATTATTTCAAATACTTTTATTTTTCATTTAGAGTCTCTCTGTAATTCAATGCAATACAATTGTGAGATGCAGGAATTGTCGAACATATATTAATCCATTTGTATCATTCATTGATCAGCGTAGATGGAAATGTAACTTATGTTTTAGAGTCAATGATTGTAAGTAATATTTCTAATTTTTAGCAATTATGTATATATACTTTAAAATTTTTGTCTGAATCTTGGGTAAAAATTTTTATCTGCTCCTTGGGTAAAAATGAATAAAACAGGTAATTTAATGCCTCAAAGATTAATAAACATATAAAGACAATACTATTAAGTTAATTATGATTAATATGATAGAATAGCATATTGATCACTGCACATCCATGTTAAATCTGTGAATCATGTTAGATGCAGCATCTGCTTACCAGTAGCCAAGCAGATAAGATTGCTGAACCATATTAGTTCAACCCGCTTTCAGATCCTGGCTTTGGATTTTTGCATTTTTTTTCATGTGTAATGCGAGTTATCAACCAATTTCCTGATAAAGCCTTCCGCAAAGGCATTCCTTCTTGTACACATGTAGCATTTAATATTCTTTGTGATAATGTAATAAATCTATAATCCAATGGATTTTCTTTTCCATATGAATATTTTTAGGTAATTGAATTTTATAAAAACTACCAAACGCCCAGATCACTTAAGCAGAATATTAAGAAAGGAATAAAAGTCTTCAAGTTTTATTATTTGCAAGAGAATATTCATCTTTTATTGAAATTTAAAATTCTCTCAGTTTCATAATATTAAAAATTGCATTTTCATAGTCATAATACGATAGAATTCTCTCGAGGAAGCAAACTCAGATAGAATACTATCATTAAATCGATGTGGCAGACTTCTTGATATTATCATTTTGAAATTATATTTAAAGTTGGACAATAAGCTGTGTTCTTCAAAGATTTTATACTTTGATAGAAACTTGACTGCATTGGAGGTAAAGAACTTTTACTGATAAAAGGAAACAATTTTTGTTCATTCATTTTTATTTTTTGAAGTTACTATTTAAGAAATGCTGAAATTCTCTGATTCACTTTGAAAAGGTGGATGTTTGCTGTTTGAAGGGCTTCATTCAAAATATTCAGTTCTTATAAAAATCATGTAAGAAAGCTAATTTTTCCAAAGTATCTTTATTAACAAACTTTTTGGCATCTTTGTGTTTGAGAAAAATGTATTTAATATCTCAATTCAAATTTAAGTGACAAAAGCATTGCAGTGAGGGAGTATTTTGTATTGTAGCCAAGCAAAGTTCTGTGCTTGGTCTCCATATCCTTACAAATTTTTACTTTTGGTTGAAAAATTTTATTTTTAGTGAAAGTTAATTACATTCACTACACATTCTAAGATTGGATTCAATGCAAGAGGTGTAAATAATAATAAAATGGATTCATAGAAAATGGCTTTGCTTTCAGTAAGTGTCTGTAATCTTTCATAAGAACCCAACATAGAATAACTAACATAAATCCAGACATTATTATACTTAGCCCAACTGAAATTGTTTTCAGATATAAAAATTCCAAGGATTTTGAACAAGTCAGATATTGTTATAAAAGAGTATTATTACTTCTATGTATTGCATATTATCAAGGATTATTAACAAGTTTTTAGCATTTACACCAGCACAGATATTTCTGCAAACATCTACAGTATTTTTACTTTCTTTGAACTAATTAAATGAGAATTTTTATTATTATCCATGATTTCATCATAAGTCAATGTTAATTCCTTTCTGTCATTTTTTTCAGTCAGCTAGTCATTGAGAGCTTGCACTATACAAGTAACTGTGTTATTGGATAAAGCTGCTTTTAAAAGCACCTTTCCCAGCTGATTTCGCTGATAATGATGCTCACTATATCTGCAATTAACAGTAGTGTGACTTTTGTTATTATATGGGGATCTTATATTTATGACTTAATGGCACCTTGTAAAATGCCATTAAAGAAAATATATCTTGATATTGATGCCTGCTAAAGAAAAGTTTTTTCTTTTGTTATTTCAGTACTTTTGATTTTTCTGAAATTTTTTTTTTTTTTTTTTTTTTTTTTTTAGATTTGCTAGTCATATTGCTGTGATTGATTTCTAAGTAATGTTCCATTTTACTTTATGGCACACTGTTGCTGAAACGTTCAAACTTAATAGACACTGTTGTCTGCCCGTGCCATTTGTTTTTATCCGTGTAAACCAAAGTAAAAATAATTGCAACATATGGTATCTGCACTTTTTTGCGTTACTGGTGAATGGTACATGTTTTTTATGTTTATTTTCACACTGATTACTAATGTTCAATAAAATACTACATTTTTAAAAGTTCAAAAAGGAATATTTTTTAAAGAAATCTTTTTTTTTTTTTTGTAATCTTGATTTATCAGCATGCTTGATCACTGTGTAATTCGGTTATTACCGTCTAAGGAAATTAATTTTACACTGTAAAAAACTGGAACTTGCTTATTATAAATGCAGAATACAAAGAAGATCTGGCAAGCTGTTGAAATAATTTAGAAACATGTATTTTAGATTGCCATCTGCTTTAGCTACCAATTGTTCATGTACACCAGCTCTTTTACATGTTGCATTTTATCACACTGAACTTGAATCAGAAGTACAGTTACGGAAATTTTATGAATATGATGCACATTTTGAGAACCACTGGTTTATACTGTTATAAATGATCTATGTAAATTATAATGTTTAATGTAACTATTGTTATATTGTATGTTTTTGTGTGCATTAATGTACACACTTAATTACTTATTCCTAATAAAAAAATTAAACATATTTTTAATGAAAATATAAAGAATAATGTCTTATTTATACTTTGAAATTTTGTATATGGATGTATCAAAATATTTGTTTTTGTAGTACCTGAAGAATTTCTTTATGATCCTGCTACAAGATCATATGGGGATCCTGCCCGTAGACCTGAAATAAAGAATGCTACCATTGAATTTATAGCTCCTTCAGACTATATGGTAAGTGCTTATAATACTGGAATTTATTATTAAGTTTAAAATGATTCTCATTTTAAAAACAAATTCACTAAATTTATGAAACTGGAAAGCATAATTTGGGTTTTGCATTATTCATATGAATAATCACTTCTGGTGTACTTCAAATAACTGTGAGGATGTCTCAAAATTTTATAAAATTTCAGCTTTTTTGTAACTTATGTTAAAATAAGATTGCAAAGTGTTTTACTTGATTATTCCCTTAACTTTTTGTTTTAATTTATAAATTTCAGTTTATCTGAGTGATATTTTTCTTTGAATTTTAGCTCAGGCCACCCCAGCCCGCAGTTTATCTTTTCTTGCTTGATGTTTCTCATGGTGCTGTAGAAACAGGTAAAATATTAATATAATAAATTATTTGAAATTGTTGCTGAAAATCATTATGATTTCTCTCTCATGCTAATCATCATAAGGCTGATGAGATATGATTTGTGTCGGATTGCTAGTATTGTATTTTAGTATAAAAGGATACACTTTATTTGATGCTTTATAATAATTTATATCAAAACTTCCCAAAGGTAAAATTTGCTCAATATTTTTTCAATTTAGAGATGATTAAAAATATATAAAGCTGCGATTGCTTGGGAAATTTTTTTTTTTTTTTTTTGCATTTTTATATTTTTACTTATAAGTAATAATAAGGCTGAGTAATAATTAAAATTTATAATTCTCAGAAAAGTGTACTCTGAAATTCTCCAAGCTAAAACATTGACAGTTGAAACAACATTCTATATCTTTTCCATTTAAAAATTCCCCCTCCTCCACATGTGGGGAAGAATTTTATTCAGATATTTTTTGTGTAATATTTATCTTATGTCCTCAGGATTATTCTGTATTTAAACTGTATTTTTAATAGGGGGACTGGAAAGTTGAAGAAAAAATGTTGTTTCTGCTCATGTCGACAACAACGTGCTAGGGCAGAAGTGGAAGCAAATCCATGTCAAACACTCTTAACCAACTTTGGTCGACCATCCAAGAACATTTAAAGCAGAATGGGAAAATAAGCAAAACAGGTGTTTGAGTCCCCCATAATCTGTCCGAGGAGAACAAAGCCAACCGATCCATCACATGCAAAGTATTGCTTCAACGGCACCATACAGTACCGTTTTTTGATCGTTTGAATACTGGAGACGAAAAATGGGTCCTATATGATAATCCAAAATGCAAAAAGCAGTTTTAATAGGGGTTACAAAGGGTTTACATTCCAAAAAGGCAATTCTGTGTGTTTGGTGAAGTATTCGCAGAATTGTTCATTTTGAATTGCTGAAACCTGGACAAACTGTTAATGCAGATCTTTCTTGTGAACAATTGGATCGAGTTAACCAATCTTTAATCGAAAAATATCCAGCGATTGTCAATAAAAAAGGCATCATTCTGCAACACAACATTGCAAGACCGCATTGTGCAAGACAGGACTCTTAAAAAAATGAATGAATTGGGATTGGGAGGTGCTGCATCACCCACCATACTTGCCCGATATCGTTCACTCGGATTTCCATTTATTCCGATCCCTACAACATTTTCTTAGTGCCAAAAAATTTGAAAATTTGAATGATGTCCAAAATGCCATCTTGAGGTATTTAACTCAAAAACCAATTGATTTATATCGGTCCAGGGATTGAAAATCTGCACACTAGATGGCAAAAGGTTGTTGATAACGAGGTGATTACATTATTGATTAAAAATAAAAACGTGTTAAAAATTTATTCGTGTGAATTTAACGTAAGAAAGCAACATTACTTTCCAATCCCCCTATTATATGTTTTTCGTGAGATTCTGGTTTGTAAATGCCCTTGTAGTTTTTCTTTATTAGAAATATTCAAATAATTTTTAATGTGTTTATTATGTAATTTTATGAGGTTTGAAATTATTTTGAAATTTTTAAAACTTTTAATTATGTGTATTTGAAGATTGAGGAAGTAAAAAAAATATTGGAATCTAAAAAATGAGAAGATAATCATAAAATTGATCTGTTTTAAAAACTCAAAAGCATATTTAACATCTGTTTTCTGGGCAAGTATAAATGAAATCAAATATAGTTATATTAAATTATCTGCTGTGAAGATCATTTAAGATCTTCTGGTACTCTTCTCAGATTGGGAGCATCTTGAGAAATGTATGTAGCTATGCATGTGTGTCTGTACGTATGTGTGTGTGTGTTTACACGTATATATGCATATATTCTTGTATACATGCATACATGAACACATACATCCATGCACACAGCATATATTTCTGAATCTGGTCTGAATAACAGAAGAGTGACGATCTTTTATTCGTTTTTCAATTTCTACTATTTCTACTACAACGTGATTATGAATGCAATGAAATAAGTCATTTAGAAACACTTTTACAACATTTTCATGTTTTTATATGACAAAAAAGGTATTTATGAACAGCACGTTTGTCGTTTGAATTCTGGCCATTATCATAAAAGTGCATAAAAGCAGTTATTCTGCTGATGTTTATACATATTGGATCAGAGAAATTTTGGAACTAACTGCATATCTAAAAAGCAGAAAGCTTACATGTTTACAGGTATATTTAATGTAGCTAATTTTAAAGAAAAAGGGGAAATATATACAAATCCAAAGCACTAGTTTTCTGAACTGGTTACTTAATTCAAGAGTGACTTTTGTTGACTAGTTTAGAAAATAGATCCCTTAGACCAACATATTTCATATTCTATTTAACCTAAGTACACCTATTACATTGAGCATAAAACAGTTTATGTTATGTAGCCAAGACCATGGAATTCTTGATGGCATAATTGAAAGAGTAGATATAAGTTGTGATATTTGTGGAAATATATACAATTATAGTTGGCTTATGTGTAGCAAAATATTGAAAATAGAGAGGGTGTAAAACATTTAGTTTATTGTGCTATAAATAGAGCAAATGATCTAAGTTGCCTGTCTTTGAATTAGACTATATTTCGGACATAAGCAAGAAAAGAAAAGAAGAAATATAAAATGAATTGCTTTGCTGTGACATTTTTGTAGATATTTTGTGTATCATATCAGCTGCATAGTTTGTAATAATTAAGCATGTTCAAGTAGTAATAATGCATTTTCTTTTCAGGCTATCTTCATGCTTTTTGTAAGATTTTACTAGAAAACCTTGGTGACTTGCCTGGAGATTCTAGAACTAAAGTGGGCTTTATAACATTTGATGGCAGTATTCATTTTTATAATCTTGGTGAAGGTCTGAACCAACCTCATATGTTGGTTGTATCTGATGTGGAAGGTTAGATTTTTATTAATTTTCGTTATTTTAATGAAACTATTTCTAGCCTTTTAATTTTGTTGGATTTGTTTTAGTAGATGAAGTATTAAATTACCAAAAGCAAGAGAAATGCTTGCTGCAGATGCAAATTGTCAAAAATATAAACCTGTATAATACAGAGTTCCCTCAGAGAACATGTAGACCAGGTGTTCTCAACTAGGGAAGAATTTCATAGTTTCAGCGAGGAATATGGTCAGCATTTTTATTTACTTTTTAAGTATTTAGATTTAGTTTGTGAATATAAAGAATTCTTATACTCAAGTTTTGGTATTTATTAATATTTTCTACAGTTCTTGTTTAATTTATAAAACACATTATAAAATCTAAATTTAAATAGATGCGTATATATTTTTCAAGGTTTTAAAGGAGCAGTGAATCTAACAGTGGTGAACTGAACTCATGGGGCAAAAAAGGTTGAGAACCACTGGTATAGACATTTTGCCAAGTGAACGTTTTGTGTTGTGTATGTTAAATTTATTCATGTCTTATGAGATGAGCACAAGTTACCTTTAATCTATAGAACTGCAGCATGTGTTGAAAGTGGTGGTCGGTAGTAGCGATACAATTACAATAATGAACCATTGTTCCAATAATTTCAACCTTTGGCTATTGCCATGCATGCCATTTAATTTCTTCAGTAAGGTCTGCTAGTGTAACCAGTTTTCTGCAGTACATATCTTTTAGGCCCATATCACACGGCGTTTGTTTCACACGAACAACTATTTCGGACAATTTTTCTGCCTGGTTTACTATTGAGAGAAAGACGTGTGACTTTTTCCTTCCTTTCCAAAAGAATTGCAAGTTGTTCGTTTTCAACCAATCAGCTACCAGTTTCGAATGCTATCAGCTTGTTTGTAATGGGGAACCAAGTAATTATTGTATAGGAGAAGCTATAAATACAAGACAAACTGCTGGTTGTATAATGTAGTCTGAACATCACAGCGAAATTATTTCAGGCTATTTACGATGCTTATAGTAATAATACAATATCTCTAGTGCATTTGAGCCCTTATTTATTCTTGCTTAGGACCATGACTCATGCCTGTATGTCTGGTCATTGTATTGTTGTACATTGTTGAGAATGTACATGGGTCTTTTTAAATGGTAATTTTGTTTTTGCTAGCTGTTGTATAGGTATGATCTGGGTCAGCAGTCCTGCAACAGACACACTGGTTACTGTCTCCGACACCAGGTAAATATAAATAGAAGGTAATTGGCCATGTTGTATCAGGTATGAAGAGCCACCATTTAAATTCTAGTTAACTTTGGATAAAAATTTTGCAGTCTTTTCCCTTGGTGCCTGACTCCCAGTAGTTTTGTCATTGCTTCAATAGTTTACCTCTAAGGACAATATGCGTCCCATTTCTCAGTTCCTGTAATTTGAACAGCTTGCTGTGCACTGGATAGGTGTTTCTGCAGAGACAGACACAGGGAACATATTATGCAAATGCAGTTTAAGTTCTTATAATTTGGTAGTTTTGGCCAAGATGTTAATTCAAAGTAGTGTACGGCCCACCAGCGGCCGAGTGGTAAAATCGCTAAACACTGGTAGTTCGGTCCAAGGTTTGAATCCCACAAACAGGCTGGCTGCATGGGCGTTTTCATGTTTTCCCCATGTGTAGCATGTATATGAGCCAGTTTCCTTTAGAAAGTCTTCCACGAAGGCATCCCTATCCTTAAGCAGATAGCCCTAGTGTGCTTTGCTGTATTCACGATACACCAAAGTAGTGTATAGCTGCATCCTTAATGGTGAAAAAGGAAACAAGTATAGAAAAAGATCACATTGTGGAAAAATTAAAAGATTCTCAAGTGTTGCCGAAAAGTTTTGTTTAACTTTTCTATTTCTTTTGAAATTTGTGTCATATGTCAGAATTTAGTTGGGTACTATTCAACTGAATTCCGTTTTTAAAATATATTTGTATTTTGTTTCTCTACAAAACGTGCCATTTCGAGATCAGTTTGCTGCTCATGCAGTTTATCAGAAATATTTTTTTTGGGGGGGGAAATCTGAATTATATTCAAAAATGTCTTTTTTTTTTAAAGAATTTCTCTGACTAGAATAAGGTTGAATGACATATTTTTGAGTTTTTTTTTTGTAATCTTGTTAAAATATTATGTAATAAAATATGGGTATAGTCTTACCATGTATATATTTATAATTCAAATTTTATTGAAACATACTTTTTAAAAAGTGCTTTCATTTTAAATCTGAGATTAAAAATTGTCTGTATGGAAGTATTGGTTCTTTTCTCTTAATGGTGTTGTAATTGAGCTCCAAAGTACCAAATGTGGTAGGTAGCCTTGTTTTACTTTTTGCTTTGTGAATGGCTATGTAGTGGTGTTGTTGCAAATAAGCTATAAAAAGTAATAACATCAGTAACATCATCCAACATTTGTCTTCTAGATTTTCAGCTGCCACCCCCCTTTTTTTTTGTTAAAATGTGGATCTTGCATGAGAAACGATTCAGAATGTTGAAAGGTTGTGATACGCTGTATAAAATAGTGAAATAAATGCTGCTTCAGCACAGTTCACCACCAGCTAGTCCTATACAAATTCCTATTCATGTGGCATCGATTGCATGATAAGACACAGACGTTTTTGGCAGTCTTAAAATGAAATCTTAATTAATCTTATGTCTCTTGTATAATGTGAAATTTATCTAGTAAAATCTATTTCATATTTATTCTGAATTTAATAAAATAGTCACTCTTTTCATGAAGCTGTTAGCATTGTTAGAGTTAACATCTAGTTAGATTTTGCATCAATGTTTATATTTTGCACTTTTTATATAAATGTGCTTGACAGAGCATGCCTAATTTATGTAAAATAATTTTAAACAATTATTTAAAGAAAATCTTACTTGGACTTTTTAAATATTTTATGAAATAGTCATTATTTAACTGCAAAATGTTGCCATTTAATATGTTTATGCATTATCATACATTATTGAATTCTTTTCCAGACATTTTCCTCCCATCTCCAGACAGTTTGTTAGTAAACCTACATGAGAGCAAAGCAGTAAGTTTTAAATTCAATCCTTATTGTACTATCTTTTCTTAAACATTTATTTTTTAATTAGATGTGACCTTTGGTTAATTTCTCTCATTTTTATTTCAGTTAATTGCTGATCTTTTGAATGATCTTCCACAAAGATTTGCTTCAAATGGAGACATTAATTCTTGCTTGGGAGCTGCTTTGCAAGCTGCATACAAATTAATGGTAAATTTTGTTTTATAAATTGAAAAGACTTTAGTTCTGTTTACTTCATTTATGTATGCATATAGATTGCTTTTCCCCACTTTAAATAAATGCTTCATATTATGAAAATAAGTTTCTTACAAATTTGTACTTTTCTTCGTTTATGAAAGAAATCTGAATAATTTTTATGAAGAAAAGTGTAAAATTGAAAGCAAAATTCTGCATTTATTGCAGTGATTACTGAAATGTGTGAGTTATGACATTTCATGCTGATTTAAAGTGGTTTATGCTAGATGTTCGAATTGTGTATGAAGAACTATCCAGTAGGGGAAAATGTCAGTCTGTTATCTTATTGCAAGATTTTTAAATCGGACTATAACAGATTTTTGAAAGAAAGTTTTGATTTTAGGTTATAAATATTAAACATTAAACATTCAATAAACATATTTAACATTTTAGCTATTTAGAAATTTTAAGTACTTTGATCTGATGAATAAAATGACATCAAGACGAAAAGATGAGAGCTTTGTCTCATTTTTCCTTCAGTGTAGACCCTATACTAGTGAATGCCCAGTGGCTCAACCAGCTACAATCATAGCTACTATCTATTTAATTTCCCGTGTATTAGCTTTCTTTTCAATTTTAGGAATTTTAAATGACATTGTTCATGTGTTTTTACAATATATTCTTTATATAATTTTTTAAATGGTATTTTAGGTTTTAAAATAAATTTTTTTCTTGAAGATCAGAGAACTGTCAACTTTTTTTTCAAATAAATTAATATTAATTGCTTCTTCACTTTAAGCCATTTCAGTTGATAAAAGGTTTCATTCAAATTTCTTATTTTCATAAAGCATGGAAAACATGTATATTTGAATTTTGATTGTATGTATAGTTAGCTACAAAAAGCAATGTTTGTCTTGTATCTAAAATTTAAACATTTAAAGAAAATAAATTATTGAAAAAGACATCTTGTAAAGGGTGTTTTTGCCTCATTGTATTCAATATAAATATGCAGGTATTTTACAGTTTGTAAGTACAGCAATTGTTATTTTTACTTTCTTTTGTTTATAGTTACAATTGCCATTTTGAAAAAGCATAGTTTATACATGTTTTGTGAATAGTACTAAAATGTAATTGCATGGGCAATAGTATTATAGTATATGCATATGGAAGGAAGCTGTATGAAAATTTGAGAAAAATAATTGTATTTCTTACGATTGTTTCTGTGAATCGAATACAAATGTTAAAAAATTTTCTATTTCAATATCTTTTCAGTCACATATCTTTTTGACTAAAATTTTATTTGCAAGAAAAACACTTAAGTCATTCAATTTGAATGGACAAATTTTACTCTGGTTGAGTTATTTTATTGAATAAATTTAGTTCCATCTTTTATTTCCTGTATCTTATTTTCCTTTTGCCTCGCTTTATTCTTAAAATATTTATAACAAAACAAAATTATGATTAAAAGATTCTACAGCATTTATGACTTGGGTTTTAAGTAATTGCTGCTATATCATATTTACTCAGTAGCCGATTGTTAAAGCTTTGCAGATCTTGTATATTTCAAAAGTCTTTAATACACTACTAGATTATGTTACTTATTTAGTACTAGATTATGTTACTGAAGTTAAGCAGCGATACAACACTTTATTTCCACTTAGGAGGAACAGATAGGCTTTTTGCCGAAGTTTTTGAAACCATAATAGTAACTGTGGGTTATTATAAACATCTCGTAAATAATCAGCATAACTTTGTATTTCATATCTGTTAGAATTGTATGGAAATCTTTATGGTAGTCTTTAGATGTCGTTTATGCGTTAAAGAGACAGGGACATACTCTGTATGGATATGGTGGTTGAATCTCATTGCCTTGCCTTGCCTTTACTCCCCTCTCCCCAAAAAGGCCCTTTTCACAGCCATACAAAAATACAAAATTTTATAAAGGTATGCCTTTATTGCCATTGTTATATAATTTCATTCCAACAGTATTCCCGATTTAAATATATCGTTTGAAATAAGTCTATACTTAAACTGTATGAATCGAATTAAGGTGAGCATTTGATATTCCTTCTGTAATGTATTATTTACTGTCAGTTGTGGCACACTAATATAAACAAAAAAAAAAAAAAAAAAAAAAAAAAACTGATTTATTTAAAAATAAATATTTCTTAAATCTTTCATCAAAAAGTATTGATTATTGTGCGGTGAGACAGAGACCTATGGAAATCTTTATAATAGTCTTTAGATGTTGTTTATGCATTAAAGAGACAGGGATGTACTCTGTATGGATTTGGTGGTTGAATCTCATTACCTTTGCCCTTCTCAGGGCCATACAAATTTTAAAAAAAGATATTCCTTTATTGCCATTATTGTATAATTTCATTCCAACAGTAGTTAATATCATTTGAAATAATTCTGCACCTAAACTGTATGAATCGAATTAAAATGAGCATGATATTTCTTCTGTAATGTATTATTTACTGTCAGTTGTGACACAGGAGATGGATACTGTTGGTTTATTATAGCTTTGCTTGGGATTGAGTAATGTAGATTTTGATTAATAAATTTAAAGCAGTCTTTGTTTTATGTATATCTGGAGACACCTATCTAAACTGTACCTTGCCCTTCTCAGGGAAATACAAATTTTAAAAAAGGTATGCTTTTATTGCCATTGTTGTATAATTTCATTCCAACAGTAGCTAATATCATTTGAAATAATTCTGCACCTAAACTGTATGAATCGAATTAAAATGAGCATGATATTCCTTCTGTAATGTATTATTTACTGTCATTTGTGACACAGGGGATGGATACTGTTGGTTTATTATAGCTTCACTTGGGATTGAGTAATATAGATTTTGATTAATAAATTTAGAGCAGTCTTTGTTTTATGTATATCTGGAGGCACCTATCTAAACTGTGCTAATGTCTTTAAATGTTAGTGTTATTAATAAATATTCATTTGGTTAATGTAACAGTTGGTATATTGAAAGATGTATATGTTCTTTTACTTTGTTTCATTTTATGATCTAATATAAATCTGCTTTTTCACAGCACAGTATTCAGAATAATATTTACTATATTAATTGTCATTTTGTTAAAAGATTTTTTCTCATGTCTATACCATAAATATTTTAAGTTATATGTATATTGTATAATATTTTTGAGGCAATTTTTTCTTTTTTTAAAGTCTCCTGTAGGTGGTAGGGTCACAGTTGTACAGACCTGTTTGCCAAATTATGGTCCTGGAGCTTTGAAGAATAGAGAAGACCCTAATCAAAGAGCTGCAAAGGTTTGAATAATAGCTTGCCTTTTTTTTTTTTTTATTTCAGTAGTGATTCTTTATTATGTTACTATGGGCACTATTTGTTGCTGTTTGATAGGGATAATTTTTAGAAAACAGCACATTATAGAAGTTAGTTTAAAATATTCAGCTTTGAAATAAAATATTTAGAATATGTAGACTATTATTAGATTTGAAAAACATTCAAGGTATTGCAGTAAAATTGTGTGACTATCCCATTCTTGTACCATCAGCAACATTGAGAAGCATTTACCTGTGATTCCATGTATCATCACTGAAATTCAAAATAGATCTTTCTGAGTACTGTGGTTAAGAATAGTATTAACAAAGTATAATTTCTGGAAAATCCCATGTATTTTCTTAACTTTTGATGAGCTGATTTTTATTTAATTTTTTTTCTCAAAATATATATTAGAAGGATGGCTATTCAAAGGCTGTTATTTTCCCTAAAATAGATTGTTATAAAGAATTATTGAAGAATGAGTTGTAGTATTGTTTCCAAGAGCTGAATGAGTATTTGGAAAAGTGTGTAAGACCAGAGGTTGTGTGGATTTCAGGGCAGAAAAGATAAATCCTATTATTTAGCCCAAAAGTACAAAATAAATACGGACATCGAGGACATATACAATTGAGACGTATAAAATATGGGACATTAATAAAGCATAAAATGTTCCCCCCTTTTTTTAACATTTAATTTTTCTGATAGAGGTTTGCTTTAAAACTTAAGGATGTTTCAGAGTATTTTGTATTATTATTATTATTTTTTTTTTTTTAGATTATATAGAGTTGCGATTTCTTGCTCTGTAACAGAGCTCTGTTGTACTAAATATTTTAGATATTTTCCATCATGCTCTTACCTTCATTAAAAGATATTTCCTCACTTCTATCAGATTCGCTGTGTCGTTGGAATTGTTTTCTCTCTGTATTGAGTTCAGACCAGGGCCAATAATTTCATCATCGGTCATCTGATAGGCTCAGTGTTTGCTCAGCTGGACACATCATCCATTGAGTGATATCTTCTTCTTGCAAAACCGCCTCATTTGTTCTTCTTTCGAATATAGATGCAATTTTCTTGCTTTAACCTTTGCTGTACTGATCCTAAAACCAGAAAATTCACTGGTCATCACTCTCAGTTTCAATAAGCAGAGAAGATAGCTATGCATTATGCCAGCCCTTTACTAATGTTGTTTAGGAAACACAATTCCATGATTCTGCTAACAAATAGATGCTATCTTTGATGTTGAATTTTTTTTTTAAATAACCACAAAGGGAAATAGAATGGCTACTTGAAAGAATTTCTTTAGTATTAAATGAAAATAATACCCCATCACTTCACTGCTGTTGGAACTTTTTGTACAAGACAGCATTGAGGTTTGCCGATTTTGTCTCATGCAGAGATTTCCGCTTTTGGATTCCAGTGTTAGAATCAGTGTTCCTTTAAAGTTTCAATAGCCTTTCTTTATTTTTTCATATATATATGGTTGGTGTTGCAGTTCTGTATGATTCTGCTGTAAACTGAGGAGTAGGAGTGTCCTCTATTTTTTGCAAAATTTTTACTTTTTGCATTACTGTCAATGCAACAAGTTTAGGTTTTACAATGTTGCAAGCAGTAAAGTCATGAACTTGTCGCATTGTATTAAGAAGAACTGAAATGAAAAATATTTTTAATCTCCCCAAAAATCCAGATCAAACAACAAAATGACAACACCAAGCAATTTTTTTTGAAATAACAAAGCTAAAAAATATGACCACATGAGTTGTGAACTTGAAAGAGAAGTTGTCTGCTTCTTTATTTCGATGCAGACTGCAGGGGGGGGGACTTTTTTCATGATGTCATTGATTTAGTAAGTATTTGTTATTACATCATTATTTGGTAAATATTTCTCTTTTGTTCCATATTTCATTCTCCATGTTGCATTTTCCTGAACCTATAAGCTGAATGTTTACATTTTTTAGAGGTTGTGTTGATTTCAGGTTGGTGGAATTTTAGTATTTGATTTTTCTAGGGGGAGGGAATTGAAATGTTTTTGGAGTTGCCTTATATTTATCACTGGGATTTAAAACAAAGGTATATTTTTAAAAATTTTTATACTTTCTGTTTTTCTTCACCACTCTTCAGAAAGTCACCAACTCATTGAAGACTGAGTCATTGAATAAATTTCTGCCCAAGCTAATATGCAAAAAGGTACTCTTTTAAAAATGGTGTTACCTCTTTCAAAAAATTCCAGTGTATTTTTTCCCCTTCCCACATACACTGCAATTTGCTGCCTCTTAAAAAATCAAAGAATCGCACAAATTTGGTATTGCTTACACTGTTATTCTTTCCATGCACACAGGATCTGTTTTTGCATGGAGAAGCATCAGAAAATTATGCAAATTTGTTATTGCACACAAATTTTTATCCATCAACTTCGATCATATAAAAAGTACAGTCTCTTGGAATGCGAATTTGTGAATTCTCTACTATTGCTATTGCACAAAAATTAGTATTTCTGAAGAAATGTAATGCTTTCTTTTTCATTAGCCAGCAAACTTTTTTAGTCTTATTAGAATGTCTTACAAGAAAAAAATTCTCAATGTGAGAACACTAATCAGAAAAATGACTATCAGTATGAAGGTGGAAATACACACTCATCAGCACATATGTCTGGGTTGCCACATAAATATATATTCATACTGTCATAGATTGCCTCTTTTAGTGACATTGTGCTTTGTCTCTTGAATACTTTTTGGGGGTGTGTGAATAATGATGAGAATGAACCAAATTTTGTTGCCTGTTTATATTTTGGTATGTGAATAATGCCTAAATCCATTGTGTTGGTGATACAATTTTTTAACTTCAATAAATTTTTGTGTAAAATGCTTTTTTAAAAAATAAATTTTATTTTTTATATTTAAATGTTTATATCTTTAAAATGCAAAATATTTTGTTTCATATAGAAATGCAATTGGAATGTGTCATCTTGAAATTTATTGTGTTCAGGAATGTGTACAATATCACTATTACATTTAAGCAGTTTATATGTAGAAGCAGTTTAAAAAAATTAGGTATTTTAGTATCTGAAGCTGTCTTGTAATGTTTGAATTTGTAAATACAATTTGAATTCGAGTTTCTGACTTTTCGTTTTAATGAAAACTTATACGAGTACGATCTGTTTCACGTTCGTTTTGATAATAAAGATGTGCAAACAATGTTTTAGAATGAAAATATTTCATGATTTTATTCAATATTTTAAATTTAACCTCCATTCTTCTTTAAAATTTTTCATTTTAATTGAATTTAGGATGTTTCCAATGTGGGACCTGCTAATGACTTCTACAAGAAACTTGCGTTGGATTGCTCAGGGCAACAAATTTGTGTAGATTTATTTTTGCTCTGCTCTCAGTACATCGATATTGCTACTATCAGTAAGTACTTTTCTGGTGAAGTAATTTAGTAATTTTCTTCAGCAAGTAAAATTCCATTTTTAATAATTCTAAAATCCTGAAATTAATTTTACCTTCACTGGACAACTCTCCATATTTACAATGTACATAAATCTTTCATGCCAAGGAAAAGATTTTAAACTGTTCTGTTTCATTTTTGAAGTTTTCCATGTGTTGAAAGTGGCAAAGAATCGTTGCTAGTAACATATGGACATGAATGTCTTGAAATATAACATAGAATGTCAGAAAAGGCTTCTTTTTAAATTTCATGGGGAAAAATTAATACTTGAAATTTTTTTTTTTGTTTTCTTATCATGAAAGAAAATAATTTCTGTTAAAATAGGAAGTTGCTGCTGTAAGTATACAAGCTCTCTTTATTTTCAAGTTTTTCTTTTTTCAAATCAGTGTTTTTAGAAACATATCTAATTCAGTTATCCTGCCCCATTGAAGAAGATACGATGATTGAGTGCTTGTAGTTTTTATGTAAAATGAATTTATAACGTTCTTCTGTATTTTCATTCTGGTAGGTGACTATATAGAGTCATGATATATTATATCAATTTAGCTACTGTCATTAAAAAATTATCACATTTTTGAATAGGATGAGAATTTTTATGTCTACTGTTTAAGAAATGTTTACCCCTACTTTTCTGTCATCATTTGATCAAAACTATTTTCCCCTTTAGAGACTTTTTTCGTTTGTTGTATTTAGAATTTTAAGAGTAAGGAAAGGTAAGAAATCATCAGTGCCATCGCTAGGATTTGAAATTCAGACCTTCCGATTGCTAGCTGGAAGTACTTGCAATTACAACATGAAGGCACACATTGAGGAAGGAAAAAATTCTGTTCATTTTCTCCCTCTTAGGGGGGCAGGACTGTAGAGGACAGGACCCAGTCACCAAATCCAGGTGGTGATGACTTATCATCCACTGCATTTTAGTTCAAGCACTAAAAGTTTTGAGAATTCTGTGGAGCTGGGAAGGAGAGAAATCAAAAGAGCCTTCTACACATTCCAATTGCTATTTGGATATGCTTCCAGTTGCATTATGAAGGCATGTAAAAAGGAAGGAGAAAATTCCTTACAAAGCGACCAAGGTAAAAAGTTGAATGGAGACTCAAGCTTTGTCAGCTGTTTTGAACAGAATGTTCTCTGATTGAATCACATTTTGTCTCATGTTGTTGCTGAAAATAAGCATCATTCTACAATGGTGGGTATTCAGCATCCATTGCCATATATTTTCACTGTTCTTCAGGGACAGATTCCAGTGGTTTATGTTTTTCTATCTGGGGCAATTTATAGTCATATTTAGATGCATTTGCATCCTATTTAAACCATTTTGGTAACAGTTATTTTGTTGTACATACAATTCTGAAGTTAATTAACGGCTAACTAATCATATGTCTAGAATATAGCTTTTATATCAATTCAGCTTGAATGTGGTAATTTCCATGCATGTTGTTGCAGCACTCTTGAATGGAAGTATTTTTATTGCACTATTTATATACAGTACAAAGTCCAAAATCCAAACGTCTATTATCCGGAATGATCAGAAATCCGGACCTCAAAACCACCAATATTGTTTTTCTCCTAGGCTTTACACGTGCACATTTGATTCCCCCCCTTTGCGCATAATAAAACATCTGGAGAGTCCCGATTCTTAATTTCCTTTCGACATTAAATAAAATACCTTGTTATCGAAGAAACAAACATTTTAGCATAAATCAGTAAGTAATTTGGCTTCGTTGCTGCATATCTCAAACTGAAACATTTCACATAGATACATCGTTGATCTGATGCCAACCTGGCGAATCATCATTTATTATATTTTCCTTTCATTACTGCAGGCCCACCATCACAGTGGCCAGCGGTAAAGACGCTAAACACTGGTTGTTTGGTCCGAGGTTAAAATTTTGCGAACGGGCTGGCTGCATGGGCGTTTTCGTGGTTTTTCCCATGTGTAACGTGTATATGAGCCAGTTTCCCTTAAAAAGTCCTCTACGAAGGCATCCCTTCCTTTAGGCAGATAGCCCTCATGTGCTTTGCCATAATTAAATAATCGAATCCTTTGATCACTGCATGTTTATCAAAACATGACAACTTGAGTAATGAATCATGTAGCAATGCCTAAACAATTTTTTTTTTTTTATGTTAGTAACTGAATAATAAAGGAGTATTTAGTAATTAAATAAAGGAACTTTTTATGTTGACATTATGCTTGGTGATGATTACAGATTTAAGTTAAATGTGCTAACAAATGTTGACGAGGAAAAATTTACCAAAAATTTCTTTCCATATTCTAAAAATAGATTTTGTTGATGATACTCATAGACTACATTTAGGGCTATTTGAATTAAGAATTAACTATTTTGTTATTTACATAAACCTAGAACTAGCACCAGGGCTCGTATGGCTGCACAGAGTTGCAGAATTTAGGACCCACAGAGACTGCATCAGGCGGTGGTTAAGATATCTAGTGTCGGCCCTTATTAAGGCTTAAGTATGTGTGGGAATTTATTTATTCAGAACTCTGATAAGCCTTAAGCATATGCAAGAAATAGACATAAGTATAATAAATAACTAAACTAATACAATTCAAGCTTAGTTGTCTTAGTGCGCGATAGAAGCAAGATGAAATTTAACACAACAACTTGTTGTTAGTGGCCAAGCTCATGATGCATAGCCAAGTACGTATAGTGATTGGTAGCTAAATTTGATGATGATAGCCAGTAATGTTAAAGGTTTTCGGATATCACAAAACAAAGGTGAAATTTTCAAATTAACGGTTTTTATAAAGAAATGTGGTGAAGCGGTAATAAATGAAGATGATATAAAAGAAGTTTTTCACTGTGATGACAATATTTCTCAATCATCAGTCAGTTAATAAATGGTGAAAACTGTAATAGGGTTCTAGATCCAGAAAATACCGCTACCAATAGTAAAGAAAATGATGAAGAAATTGCTGAAAACGAGGAAATTTTGATTGATAAGTTAGTTGGAATTCTCGAAACAGCAGTTACAGGACTTCAACAATCTAACTGAACAAGAGATTATGTCTGTCTAGAGAATTAAAGAGAAAATATTAGCACAAAAAATAAGTAACTTAAACAACTTACATTAAAAGAAATGTTTAATTAGATAAACAAATAAATATTAAGCTTTTTTTGTAAATTTTGGTAATTTAAATCATAAATACTTCATTATTTCATAAATCACGATTTCATATTTTTAATTTTATAATTTTTACATGCTATCTTACTAGATTTAAACTGATGATCTAATATCCGGAAATATTTGAAATCCGGAATCGCGGCAGTCCCGACGAGTCCGGATTTCCAACTTTGTACTATATATATATATATATAGTCCCCCTAAAATTTAAATTCCAAGTTCCCATAAAACGTCTTTTTCATAATTTACATCCAAGTTACTTTAAAACACAATTTTCGGAATTAAACTTCCTACATATGGGTTCTCTCTTTTTTATACTTCTACTAAATTTATATTAGGAGATAATACAGTACAAAGTCCGTAATACAGACGTCCATTATCCGGAATGATCTATAATCCGGACCTCAAAGCCACAAACTTACGCATGCGCGTTTAATGTGCATGTCGCAACGCATGCGCTTGAAGTATTTACTCATGCACGCTTCCGATAAAAAGTGACAGAGAGGTTATTGAAAACGAAAAAATTTTGATTGAAAAGTTAGTCGGTATTCTCGACACAGCAATTACAAAACTTGAACAGTGGAACTTTGTAACTGAACAAGAAATTTGTCTTCTTCCTGTAAATGAGTTTCTTGTTCATGTTTGTAAAATCCTTATCAACCCTTTTATTCTATGCTTAAATGCTTTTCTTAGTTACTTTTCTTTTAAACAGATATCGGTGAATTACATTTGACATATACTAAATAGTTGAAGTAGATATTAACTACTATTTTTGTTACCATTTAGGTAATTGAATGTATGCTTCTCATGGATACTGAGGTGTTCTGTATTGCTGTTGTTTCTTCAAGTGTATTTTAGTCCATGATAAACTTTAACCGCTATTTATTGCCTCTGTATGGATAAACTCTTCTTTTATGTATGCTGGTGTTCTACCATAAACTAATCTTAACTTACTGTATGATATCCATAATTCCATCTTTCTATGACTCTTCAGATGCTTATTCTGCTACTTAAACTAACAAAATATATGTTTTCTGAAAAATTTTTTACAACACTTATTTTTTGGAAAAGAATGAAGTCTTCCTTTCCTTTCTTATGGGGGAAGGGGGGAGGTAAAAGTAGTTTTTGTTATCAGTTTACTTGAACCTTCTAAAAGTTTTATTTCCTTCAAACATTATACCACTTAATAATAAATTTGGAGACTATTTATAGGTCTAAAATGTGCGTAATGTAAACTTATTTGCAATATAGCAGCATCTTGAATTAAATATTTAAAAAAAAATATGCTTTTTTTTAAACTTGTGTAGTTTTTATTTTATGTTATTTACTGTTGGATCAACCAAAAGCTAAATTATTTTACTTTTCCTCAGGGCAGTTTTTTTTCCTGCATGGAAAATAATATATCCTACTAAGTGTTTAAAAAATAAGATTGGGAAAATAAATGGGGCACTAATGGCTAAATGTGCATGAAGCATCAATTGTGATAATGTGATTGTGAATTGCCAATTTAATATGCACAATACCGAAGCTACTCGTGGTGCTGAATTTGTGCAGTCATTTTTGTTCAAAAATCATTTGAGATTTGCTTTAATTTGGCATTTTGCAGTCTAGGTGTGGTGCTCATTAAAAGGATGTTTTATTTTTGTGTTTATTTTTATTCTTTGTATTTATTCTGGATTTAATAAAATAGTTCTCTTCATTGTTTTGCTTTTTGTATTAGGTTGCCCGGAAAATAATGCAGGTTTTTAACCTATATCTTTAAAGTATCATAACTCAACTCAAAAACAATTTTATTATTCAATATAAGCACCAGCCGAATCAATGCATTTTTGCCAATAAGTTTATTTATGCTGGTAGAATAAAATTCTGGCGTTCTGAATGTGATACAGTTTGTTAAAGGCATTTTTGGCCTCGTCTTGGTTTCTGAAGCATTTCTTCTGCAAAAAATTATCCAGATGTTTGAAAAAGTGGTAATCGGTTGGCGAGAGGTCAGGCGGATATGGAGGATGAGAGGGAGAGTTTCATATCTCAATTCGTTAAATTTCTGTAGGGTTAGTTGTGCGATGTGTGGCCGAGCATCGTCGTGGAGAAAAACTGGCCCCTTTCTGCTGACCAATGCTGATCACATCCGTTGCAATTTTTGGTACATTTTTTCGATTTGCTGACAATACTTATCTGTCGTAATCATTTTGCCCGGATTTAGGTAGCAGTAGTGGATGAGATCGGCTGCAGACCACCAAACAGTCACCATAATTTTCTTTTGGTGCAAATTTGGCTTTGGAAAGTGTGATGTCTGATTGCGGTCCAACCACCGAGCCGAACATTGCCGGTTGTTATAGAGAATCCACTTTTCATCGCACTTAACAATTCAATCAAGAAAAGGGTCATTTTTGTTGTGGAGAAGAAGAGCAGACGACACTTCAAAATGGAGATTTTTTTTTCGCTCAATTTGTGTGGCATCCACTTATCGAGTGTGTTTGACTTTCCAGTACAATTCAAGTGATCAGAAATCATTGTTTTGTTTACGCCAAGCTCCTCGGCAAGCTCTCGAACAGTTGTGCACAAATTTGTTTCAACTAAATTCTTCAAATCATCATCTTCAACAGCTGAAGGGTGTTCACGACCCTCTTGATCTTCCAGTTCAAATTCTCCATGGCGAAACTTTTGGTACCACTGTTGAACTGTCGATTCATTAACACTTTTCTTGCCCCGTACTTCATTGACATTTCGAGCCACTTTTGCTGCACTGTGGCCTAGCTTGTACTCAGTAAATTTCCTGAAAATCCCGTTAAAAAAAAAAAAAAAACTAGTAAATATTTTAAAAAATAATTCTGGAACAAAATGATTGTTATAGAAATATAGAGCGAAAATAGAGCTTCAAAATGATATATAAACCAATGTAATTCAAAATATTTTTGTTGATAAAAATGTACAGGAAAGATAAACAATTGCAAAAAACCTGCTTTATTTTCTGGACAACCCGATATTTATTCTGAACTTAATAAAATAGTTATTCTTTTTATGAATCTTTTATGTATCATTAAGGTTTCTACCATCTAGTTTGTAGATTTCGTTCCAAGTGGCACCCTGTTTGCAGAAAAGGATTAAGAATTATTTGGAACTTGCAGTGAATTCATACATGTAATAAGTACAATGTATAAATCAAAATAAATTATCTTTTAACAGTCCATATTTTACAGTTTTCCTATGGAAACATAAAGTGATTTAATTTCGATAAGTACAACTGGTTATATTACGTTATTTTCATTCAGAGCTGTCATTTGCAATTTAAATTCTTCTGTGCTAATATAAGTTAATAAATCTTTTTATTTACCTACAGGTTGCATTTCAAAATTTTCGTCTGGTTGTATAAACTATTATCCTGGTTATCATCTTCAACTTGGTAAGGTACAAGTAGAAAAATTTTCAGGAGATTTCAAGAGGTATTTGACAAGGCGTATTGGATTTGAAGCTGTCATGCGTATAAGGTGCACTCGAGGTAAATTTAAAAATGTATTAAAAAAAGTTTTAAATTTTAGAAATGCTGCATATTTTGTGATAATTTGTAAGTCTTCTTTTAATAAGTTATACTGTTAAACAGTATGAACTATGTACTATGCAGTATTCGCTTTTAATAAATATGTGATTTGTTGGGGGAAAGAGTATTCTTAAAAACAAAATTAAAAAGTTCTTAATCGGTATTCAAATACAGAAAGCTGTTTAACATGTTGACTGCCACGGCACTTTTTGGATTCCGGTCCGAGAAGCCAAATAAATTTAATCATATTATATTATTAAAAACACTAATTATGATTCATAACAATAATTAAAAAGTTTACAGGATTTTTTTTTTTTTTTTTGTGGAAAAAAGAATCTTTGGAATTATCTCATAGTCGGCTTTTGTTAAACAAAGCTCTTTGCAGAATCCCACTACGAGTTGATTTGTATGGACATCTGCCTCGATTTGACTTGCCTCCTCGATACAGCTAAAACAAGCGCTAAGCGAGTAAGTAACTCGTGGTGCTAAAGTGGCAAGTCAAGAAACTACGAGATAACTTGTATTGGGCGTCCTAAAGAAGAGCACTAATATGAGTTACCTCTTGTTGGGCAGTCAACGTGTTAAAAAAATAATTGCAAAAATCTTTATTCGATTTGTATCTTGTGATACATACAAAAACAAACTTTTTGCATAAATATTGTCTGAGATTGCATCAAGATTTTTCTTCTGTTTGCATTACAGTGTATTGTAAGGCCAAGGCCCTTTCGACAAACTTCCTTGACAAGCTTGTCTGCCAGCAATTGATTTTTAAAGTTTTGAGATCTGCCTCCACACAGTCTATTCATTTTTTGTGAAATCTTCCTCTTTTCCTGATACCCTCTGCATATGCGAGGGTCACCTTTTTAACAGGGTTTAAGTTGTCACGTTTAAAAATATGTCCAAGCCACCTGATACCATAAAATTTGATGACTAGGACAATATTAGATTGTATCTTCTATATTACTGTGGTTAAACAAAATTCTCCATCTCTTATTTTCTCTAACCGAGCCATATATTTGTCAGAGATTTTTCTTTCAAAGCTTAGAAGTCTTGATCTGTTTTGTTAATGGATAGCAATCATTACCATACAGTATGATAGGTCTAATAAGAGTTATGTAAAGATTTGTTTTTGTCTTGAAGTTCAATAATTTAGATATTAATAAATTCTTTAAACCATAATAACATCTATTACCTCTAAATAATCTATTGTCTTTTTCAAATTTAATATTGTTATCATAAGAGATGATAGTACCGAGATACGTAAACTGAGCAACATCCTTGAAAGTCTAAGAATTTATTTGTAATGGGAGGGTATTATGTGCTATAGCTCTTATTACCATAAATTTTTTTTTATATAGGACCTTGTTGATGTTTTTACATACATAGCTGCCAACAGTCCTTTTTTTTCGCCCCGCATCATTGCATCTTCCAGTTTCTAATTCTTAGTCTTTTGTTAGCTTAAGGGAAATGTTTCTGAGCAATAAATGTAGTTTATTAAATTAATATAACTTTTGCAAAATCTAACGACCTCCCATTGATTCTTTGATTAAATTTTAATTGATCTGAATTGTTTTAATCTATTGTAGACATGTATAGAGCTTTTTATGAAGACTCAACAAATGTTTAATTAGTTAATATTTGTATTTAATTTTGTATTGCACCAATAAAATGGTACATTGTGAAGTTTACCTTGTCAGTTTTATGTATATTAGCTTTTCTCATCATATTTAAACTTAGTTTGATATGTAAAAGTTTTTCTAAGTATAAAAGTGTATGAAAACAACAAAATGAAATTGGGCATAGAACATAAAATTTAGAAAAATGTAATTAATAATCGATGCACCAAAATCACAATATAAGTAGTTCAGTTACATGAATCATGCATTATACTTGTTTTTCATATTTCAAGGTTAGCAACATTGTATATACAATTTTTAAGATCATTTCCAGTTTGCTAGGTTGATGATACATTTAGCCTTTTTAATCAGAAAGAATTAATTGTTTGTAATTTTATTTGATATAAAATCCATTCATCTTCCTGCTCTGTTTACACCCAGTGAGTTTAATTTCAGTAGTGCAACTTATTAGACATTTTTTTTTTTTTTAATTTGCCTTTCTCTATATGTAAAAATCTTGTGATTTATGCATACACACACATATATATAGATGTATAAATTTATTAAGTTAAATTAAAACTAAACAGGCAAGGAATGAAGTAGAAATTTTGACATTTAATTAAATTATCTAAAATACAAGTAAATATAGTGGCCTCTTCTAAATTAAGCTGTACTGAGTTGGAAAAATGATATGTAAAAATATAAAAATGCACAATAATAAATACAGTAACAAAAAAGCTGTATTATCGTTGCCAGATTCAAATTTTTTCAAGAGGTTGAAAAATCTAACAATGATATGTCCATTTTTTCTGGCATAATCAGTTATGTTTCTCTTCACTTCCAATTAGCTGAGACACCAAAATTAATTATTTTAAATTATATGTGCATCTGAGAAATAAAATGCCATTTCTGTATAACAAATTTGTGAAAACAAAAGTAATTCAATTATAATTCTTCAAATAGAAATTAAATGATACAAAAATGCGATAAGTATGCAAAACAAAAAAAAAAAAAAAAAAAAAAAAAAAAGTCTTCAATTCCAAAAAGAAATACCATACATGAAAAATCTGTACGCAATGGCAAAAAAATAGAAATTTGACAATTTGGAATTAATTAAATTTAATTCGCAAATTACAAAAAGAAGTGAAATAAGCCATTTAAAACTGAACTTACTCCTAAATGAAAGCTTTAAAATAATAATAATAATAAAAGAAAATCGGAAAGATTTCAGATTTTAAATTACGCCCAAAAGGCTTTTTTTTTAACATTTTGTGTGCTACCTTTATCTATTAAATATCATGTTTTTCCTACTTGTGAGTTGACAGATTTGTGGATGTTAGAGTGTTACGTTTTAGAGTCTTCTTGTATCTTTTGGGAGTATACACCCTTAAACATAATGTCAAAGACTAAGTAGTGAATTCTCACTGTATCTTTAAGAATAAATACTATAGATGAAAGGTTTAAATAATATTTTTATTTAAATCCAAATTAAACAGATGCACACACTTTGTGCTCACAAATCACCACCACTTGTGGCTACGTAACAGAAAATAAGAAAGTAACAATTCAGTAATTTAATCTAATGACTGGCTCCTTAGCTTAACTAGCGCTAAATCGACTGCATATAGCAAAGTGTAGCCGAGAAATATCACTATAAACTGAAAGATGTCAAACACTAAACTAGAGGCTAATTTTAAACTCTCAGCATAAACATTGGGATTTAAGTCTGCTACTGCCCTTTTGAACTCAGAACACAGCTTAAATACTGCTTCTGAAACATGTTTAAAATTTACATCATACAAAATTTACATTCCTACAGAAAGCTGAAATCGGGAGAAACAGGAAAGTAGTAAAACTAAAAATAACTGGTTAGAATAAAGTAAAGCCTTACATCTTGAGTGATTTGAAAATTTGTGCTGTTAGTTTTAGGATATCCAAAATAATAATTAGAATGTATTTTGCTTACATGGTAAATCAGGCATGCTAAACTTCTTCATAAATTTATCTGTACTATTAAACTTTTGTCTGAACAGAAATAGGTTAAAACGATTATTTTTTAGACCAAAAAATATCCACCCAAATGAAAATTTTGTGCAGTAAATTCTTAGTTACAAATTAGTCCAGATTCGTTGAAAACAAATTTTTCTTATTTGATAACAAAATTTGTTACTGAGTTCATAATGGATGACATTTCAATTTTTTCATAAAAGCTTCATTTTTTAATGTATACTTGTTATGTTAAAAGATGAAAAAACTGGTAACTTTTTTTTTTCTTTTGTAGGTTTAGCCATTCATACTTTTCATGGTAATTTCTTTGTGAGATCTACAGATCTATTGTCATTGCCAAATGTAAATCCAGATACAGGATATGGCATGCAGATAGCTATTGAAGAAAATTTAACTGAATACAATTCTGTTTGTTTCCAAGCTGCTGTTCTCTACACATCTAGTAATGGTATGGAAATTTTTTTAATGATATACATGTAATAGTTTATTAAAGTGCATTAACAGGCAAAAATAAAGAATGAGAGTTCTCTGTGTATTTTTAGAAGATGCCTTTATGTATATTTTCTTTGCTACAGGTGACATGTATTATTCTTTCTCATATTCAGATTTGATAGATGTGCAACAAGTGGAATTGCATTTGTAACCATTTGCTTAATTTTTTTAAGTTGTCTGTTAATTCCGAATATTAACCTATGTCTAGTGTTTGAAGCTGCTTATTTAATATTTGCATGGTACTTGTTTGGAAACCACTAATGTTAGTTTTATGTCTACGTATTAGAGTATTCTTTTTTAAATTTTAATCTGTATATTACCTCAAATGATAATTTTATAAGCTATTTTTGTTTTCATATAATCTTTTATTCAATTTGAAATCAGTTTCCTGATTAGAGTTTTTATTTAAAGAAGCTATTATTATTTTTTTTTCTAGTACTCTTTGCACCAACATTGGAGAGATTTTATAATTGTGTCATCTATTAATGCAATCTCATCTTTGTCCCAGTTAGCAGTATTCCTGATCATTTGCATTTCTAATCACTCTCAGTAGACACTTTTAACACTCTGAGCATCACGGGTTTGGCCCTGAAATTTAAAAATTACCCAAAATTTCACTAATAAGTGTTATTTTCTTGATTATAATTCAAAACTGGATACTTGCAGTTTGTATCCTCACTCCTTTTCTTCCAATATCCATCCATCCTGAAATCGAGTCAATCAGATACTGGAAGAAGCTTTCATGTGTTATGGAGTTTTATGTGCATAAACCTTGGAGGGTTTAAGGGAATTTGAAATCAAAATTTAGAATTTTAAAATTGCTTATGTACATATTTTTTAATATATTGGTAAAATGATACACCTGGACTTCAGTGTTATATAAAATGTGTGAAGCAGAATTTTTCTGCAGATTGCCTTCTCATTGTTTTGCGAACTGTAGAGTAATATACATGTGTATGTATATATATATATATTACATATACATAAATATATATATATTACATATACATAAATATATATATATTACATATACATAAACTGAAAGTCGTAATTTTGTTGTGCAGTGTTAAAGATACTTTTCCTTTTTAGGAGAGAGACGGATTAGAGTCCACACACTGAGCTTGCCTGTTGTATCAATTTTACAAGATGTGCTTGGAGGAGCTGACCAGGAAACCATTATTGGTTTAGTTGCAAAAATGGGTAAATATCATTCCTAGCATTATTAAAGAATAAAGTTTGAGGTTTTGCAATTGTGTTACCATTCGTGATGATACTACTGAATTTAATTTTCATGATGTTGCTTGCCGTTTTAACTTCCATGCCATTCATTGGTTTTATTTCCAGTATTAGTTTCAATTTCATTTTTTTTAAAGCTCACAAGTAGTGAATCTAGTGTTTTCAAATAGATTAAAAAAAAATTTCCACCCAAAAATTTATGTAATCACATAATCCACATGCACTATCAAATTTCATTCATTGTTGTTCATACCTTCATTCATGACTTTGCATAAAAACTTTCAAATTTTCCATTTCAGGAACTGTTTGTATTGTAAATTTGGAATTTCGTTTAAACTTTTAAAAGTTAATGTTTGATCTTTTTAACTTGCTGCATAGTATTCATGAGTATTTGTACATAGGTTCTTATTTATTTGTGAAAATAGAAGAAAATGAATTTATTTCATTTTATATCACTTTTCAATACATATTGCTAAGCAGATTTGAATGTTTTTTTATTCAAATGTGCAGAGGAACTACCAAATTGGTCTTTTCTTTAATGTTTGTTTTGGTAATTAATGATTCTGTATTGGGTAAAACATCATATCTTAATAGCTAACCCAAGAAATTGTTAATTACAAAATACATTTACAAATATTGCATATAAAAGTATAATTAAATTGGCTGAATGAAAAACTTGACATTAGAAGCATGTGTTTAATCTGCAATTAAGGAAAATATACTTTTTTTAATACTTTGTGCTATAAGGGGTTTGCAACAAATAATTAGATTGATTAACTTTCATGGCAGTGTGTACTTACCATTTATAACCACTATTTCCAAAAAACAGCTATTTTGGAGATTTAACTGTGATTTTAACTGTTGCTTATGTTCTTGTGTAGAGCAAAATTCATTTGCATTAAAATTCAAGTATTTTAACATTTTTTTTACCCTTTGGTATTTATATTTTAATACTTTGATATAGTGCAATTTAAATATTAATTGACAATTGAATTCACTGTTGTAACTTTTGATATTTATCTGCATACTGAAAGGTTTATCTTGAGTTTTGATTTCATTTCTCTTTAATTTTTTTATCAATTTGAATTTGAATGTTGGAACCTCTAATACAGTCAAATACCGAAAATTCGTCAACCTGAAATCCACTAACACCTGAAATCCACGTTGCCTCTCAAAATATAAACATTCAATTCATAGGTTCTGGAAACTGCAACATTGAGTATGAAATATCGAAGAAAAAATATTTACTGACATGGATCTTATAAGAAATAGACTAACCCAATGGGTTTTCTCCCTCATCTGAGGCATTCCTGGCTGTCACCTTGATCACATCCAGAGGAGTAGGGACGACTTGCAGAAATTTAACAGTGGTTGCCTATTGCAGCGTATATAATTGTCAAGCAAAAGCTGGTTGTAGCACCTTATTTCACAAATTAGAATTATTGAAATTGAGATTGATTTTTAAAAATTTAGCATATTTATCCAGCATATTTAACGCTCCAAATAATTATAAAGCTATTGCATGCTTTCAGGGCTGGGTATTTTTTTAGCTTTTCCTATGCTGTAAGGAAATTTGTAACTACTTCGTTTAGAAAATAATATTTTAAATCTGAACTAATAGAAAATTTCAAACAAGCAATTTTCTCTTGCAATTTTTATGCTTTTTATTGGTGTAAATAAGTAAAAAATACTAAAATATTTAAAAACGAATTTTTTGAAAGTTTTGTTTAAAATTCTAAATTGTGATGCTTTTTTAAAATTATAGATGAGTATTATAGCATAGCACGATTTCTATAAAGGAATTTTATTTCAATTATATTACATAATACATCATAGTGATAAACACTTTTGACTCCTTTTATACATTTAATTCCAATATTAAAATTGTATTTAACCGTAATAATTAATTTTGCTTGTATTTTATAATGATTATTTTTTAAATTAATTTTTAGTTCTGCATAAGATTCTTTTTTGCTTATTGTTAATTTATTAGCCCAAAGGGGCGGTAGCCTAGAAAAGTTGTTAGTTTCGAAGTGGCATTTTGCACTGTTTTATTATAAATGTCCGTGTCTCCTTGCAAATTGTTGTTACCAAATATTATTGCCTTTTACTACATTTAAATAAATAATGAAGAAACTGCATGAATACATGTATGTTTCTCGCCTGTGACAAAAACGACAGTATCTAGAGCCATCTAATTTTGAATAATGTAATCCTCCACCCAGACATGGGCATCTGGACGGCTGAATTTTGAATTTGTTTTAATCTATTTCATATTTTGTAAAACTAACGAATTTTTGATTAACAAATTCAACGAGTTCAGAGAGAGCATTGTATGGAAAATAACAGTTTTATCTCCACTGAGGAAATTCTAAAGATATGCTGTTTTCAAATGTATGTGGTTTATGGGCCGAAGAAAATGGTATTCAATAAATATAGGTAACACACAAAACGTTAAAAAAAGGTTCCTTTTGGCGTAATATAAAATCTGAGTGCTTCTAGATTTTACCTTTTTTCCCCCCTTCATTACACTCAAAAAATTTTATGCTTCGAATTTTATAAATTACTAAAATAAATATTCCACTTTAATGTTAATAAGTTAATGATGATATAATCAAATAAATGATTGTTTTGTAATGTTATTATAGTTTTAAAAATCACTGCCTGAAAATGGTCATTAAATTTTTTTAAAAAGTTATCAGATCTTGTTTAATTTTACCTTATTTATTTCAAAGCATCACATATTATCAATCTTATTTAATTTTACGTTATTTGTACGCAAAATTAAGTTAATAAATTTTGTGCATAGAGTTTTTACCGTTTTACCAGGGTAAAGATGTTTGTACAAGAATTACGCGTGAAAAAAATGCGCAAAATGCAGTAAAAAGTGCTTTAATGAGATGTATTAAATCCTATTTGGAAAAAACTGTGGCTTTCATAATCTCATCACTATACAACGTATCACATTTAATAATTAAAAAGCGTTATGTGATACAAGTGCCGTAGGTTTCAGTGTTAAAGTAAACCAGATCGTCCCTACTCTTTTTTGCGGACATGTCGGTGACGCTCGCCCCGCCCACTGGGTTAGTCTATATCTTTTATAAGGTCCATACTTGCCGAATAATGACATCATAATTACCGAATAATAATGAGCCATAATGGAAATACCAAATCGTTGACATCATGATAAAAGTGTTTTCTCCTCTTATCTGCATCGAGGTAAGAAAGCAGACGATTCACTCAACTCTTCTTTCAAGTTCACGATTCATGTTATTGTATTTTCTGAGCTTTGTTACTTCATGAGATTATTTAGTGCTGCCTTTTTTTTTAATCCAGATATTTTGTGGATAAATTAAGAATATTTTAAATTTCAGCCCTTTTTAATATAATTACAGATTAGAAACGCACTCATGATTTTACTGCTTGCAATATTGAAAAACTTAAACACGTTGCATTGACGATAATGCAAAAAGTGCAAATTCTGCAAAAGATGAAGACAGATGCTACTCCTTGGTAGATGCTACTCCTCGGTTTATAGCAGAACCGTATGGAATTGCAATACGATTGTGTATGATATACGGAAAAATAAAGAAAAGCTGTTGAAATTTTACAGCAACTATGATTCTAACTCTGGAAATCTTTGCATGAGGCGAAATCGGCAAACCTCGATGCTGTGTATATATAATACAATGAATAATGTAATCAATTTATATATGTAATAATAATGAGATTAATAATGAATTTAATGCATATAATAAATTATTGGAATAATGCATATAATAATTTAATTAAATGTATCTAATACACCTTATTTATTTTGCACTTTTAGTTTGAATATTATGATTTATCTTTTCTGTCCTGAAATACGCACAACCTCTGGTCCCAAGCTTTGCGGATTTCTGGAATTTTGCTGTATTCTGTTTCCATTACCTGCTTGTTATGAGTTACAATTTGCATTAATTTTTTTTTTTTAAACAGAAAATCCTTTGAATGAAAATAAGTGTTATTTAGTATTTGTAGGAAATACAGGTGGCCCTCGACTTTCACTTATTCAACTTTTGCACAATTTGCTATTTTGCATGTATTTAAAATTCAATTTTTTAAAGATTTTTGTCGGTAATGAAAAAATTGGTTCGTTTATCAACCATTTTCGGCTTACTCCTTCTATGTTTTTTCCTTAGTCTCATCATTCATTTTCCCTTAGTCAGGAGGCATTCGCGGCCATGACGACGTGAAAGGTGAGGTAACGTATGCCGCAGACATACATTACTTCCTACTGTAGCGGGCTTCTCGGATCGTAATCACTATTATGTTGTTCCAAGTAAGATGTAAGATGTCAAAACTGTCTTACATTAGGGCATGCATTCATCTATCTTAAACTCTTAAACTTCTTATAGTCGAGACAAGGATGGAAATAATTAAGCATTCTGAAAATGTTGAATCTTTTTCTTTAATCGGTCATTTGTACAATGTGAACAGATCTATGATATGTTCAGTCTTGAAAAAAAAAAAAAAAGAGTAAAATTAATGAATACATTCAAAATTGTGGGAATATATCTTAAAAGATGTAATGTTGGGGAAGCAAGTAATGTTGGGTTTGACTAATTTCAAATGAAATATTCTTTACATAATATTAAATTCAGTGCAGAATCGGCTGATGCAGATAAAGGTTCTGCGAAATAATTTATTTTCTCATTGTCCAAAATTATTGTAGATGAAGAATATTCTTTTAGTCAGATATTCAATGTATATGAGACAGGTTTATTTTAGAAAAAAAATAATTAAACATACATTTTTATCGAAGGAAGAATTAGTTGCCCCTGGACATGAAACTTCCAAAACTGACTGACATGGTGGAAACTTAGCTGGTGATTTAAAATTGAAGCCATTGTTAGCTTACCAAGCAGAAAATTCCATTGAAGAGGAAAGATAGAGAATTGCTTCCAGTCATTTGGAAATCAAATGCCTGGGTTACTTCTTTAATATTTAAAAATTGGTTTGCTTTTTATTTCATACAGACAGTTAAGCAATAGTATAAAAATAAAAAATTTACAATTTAAAGCATTATTAATCTTAGGCAATGCTCCAGAACACCCAAAATCTTTGCTGAATTTATACCTGGAAATAAGTGTTGTTTCTTTCTCCCAATACTACCAGCTTCATATAGCCCATGGATCAAACAGTGATAGCTATGTTTAAATGACACTATGTGATGACATAAATGAATCAAACTATATCTTGCAGAGTAGGTGGGCTTGTTATAAGAGATTTTCAGAAGAATTGTAATATATGAAACGCAATAAACAGTATTGTAGACTCGTGGGCTGAAATAAAAGAGTCAACAATAAAAGGTTCCTGATAACAATTATGCCCACAAATGAATCATTTTATGAATTTTAAAGAAACACTGAAAGCTATAGCAGATGAAATAGTTAGCCTAATGAATAAACTAAATTTGGATGTCAACGAAGGTGTTAATGAGTTTGAATCTTACTCAGCATCTTGATAAAATTTTGACTATCATGGGAAAATGTGATCCCAATGGAAAATACATAGGCTGAGTACATAAGGTGATTGAGAAAGACATAGTATGTTATAGAAATCTTTATCTAGAAAAGAAGGGAAAAAAAAAATGTTGTATTCAACTAACTCTTGACAAATTTAAACCCAAAAGCACTTAACATGCCTTATTAACTTCATTATGTGTACATATTGATTAATGAATATTTTAGAAATAGTTTTTTATCTATATTTTTTTTACATCCCTCTACTTTCAAACAGTGCTGCCCAGTGGTTTGGGAAGCCTGACTTCGATACTAAAGGGCCTGGGTTCGAATCCTGAAGAAGGCATGGTTGTAACTGTCTGTCCCTTCATAGGAGGCAATGGTGGCCTGCCTATTAGGTGCCTCCATAATAAAAAGACCACCACATCTGGCCTTGTATAGATTAATGGACTGTATTAACACTGTAACTGTTCACAATCTGCCATTGGGGGGGGGAACTTTCAAACAGTTCTTCATTCCCACACACTTTCAGGAGCCAATTATGTGTGAGTTGAGGGCTGTGCGTACTGTTAGTGTTTATTAGCATCTAATATTTTTAGCTTTAATTTTTTTTTTTTTTTTTGAGTTCAAAACTTTCATGGTGGACAGAAACAGGGAAAGGTCTGGAATCCCCTTTTTAATAATTATCTCCACATTCTGTTTTAAGATTAATCAATAAAGCATCTGTGGAATTTGTTTGAATTATATACATCTAAGATTGAAAGTGAATTAATTGAGAAATGCATGGCCATTGAAAAAGTGGACCTGATTTTAAGTACTTATATTAGAAAAAGTATTTCAGGCAAGATTAACAGTAAATTTCAGTATAAGTGTCATCAGTTGCCCTTCTGATAATAAAGCAAGGATTATGCTGTTGCACAAAGGAAATATGACATGATTTTATAGAAGATGGCTGTGTTTCATTTTTAACAGGTTCAAATTATGCATACTACAATATGCACTGAACTTGCTGTTATGCAGCCTCCATGTTTATATGAATTAGCTAATTAAAGGTGATGATTCATCATTACTCAGCAAATCTTCTGTGCATGCTAAAGTAACCTTCTATACCTACAGTTAAACATGGATACTTGTAGAAGCTATTGGATTTTTTGGAGTAGGAAACATAAGAAATCAGTAATGACTTCATCAGGATAGAAACTCCAGCTATTTCAATTGCTAGTTGGATGTGCTACCACTTATACCACAAAGGCATGCAGTGATTAGAATAAAAATTTAAACATTTTCTAATTATTTTGGCATAAAAACCAAAAAGTTTGGTTTATAATGAAATGGTATACAGTGAAATAAAACCAGGTTATCTTTTTCCATGCCTCTTATATTTTAATATACTATTTTATCTTTTCACTTAATTTGTTATTAGTATCATTAGTTGTTTAAATTTTAGAACTGTATGTAATTATGCAACTAGAAATATGATCATAATCATTCAAATATACTTTTTTTGTCTACAGCTGTCGACCGCAGTATATCATCTTCACTGACGGATGCAAGAGATGCTCTCATCAATGTGTGTATTGATGTATTAGGTGTTTATAAACTGACTATGTCTGGTCAAGTGGCTGGTGCTCTCATGACACCTTATTCAACCAGATTGTTACCTTTGTTCATCCTAGCCTTGTTGAAACATGTGAGTTTCATTGAAAAGTTATTGTTTTCTTGTACCTCTTTCTTGTCTTTACATTTCTAAAAAAGAACTGGGGGGGGGATCACAAAATACTTTCAATTAAATACTGGAAAAAAGTTAGAGCAGTCATTTTGCTGTTTTAATTTTCTATTTAGAAATTCTTATTATTGAATCTTTTAAAATAAAGTTAAATTTTGAACAATATATATTTAACATGTGCTTTATTTTAAAAGATTCAATTTAAGTTTTTCAAGTAATATAAAATTCTATATTAAAGCTACTGATATCAGGATGTCTTTATAGGATGCTTATATCCTCATGTAAGTCAGCCACTGTTCAGAAACCTCCATAGGAGTATGCCAGTATAAAGGTGCCTGAGCTCTTATCAAGATCACTTTCTAATTTGTAAAAAACGCAACTTTCATAAGAAATGGGATGGATTCATTAAAATATATGGGGATCTTTATGCTGGGGCATGCTTATGAGAGCCCGATTTTCTGCCTGCATGACTGATTAGTTAATTAGAAAGGAGATAAAATAAATCTTTGATATCTTTATGAGAAATCACTTGCACTGAGGTGTAGTCTTTTAAGAAATACGGGAAATGGAATCTTTCTGCAGGACAACATCCCACGTCACAAAGCTTGAATTTTGCTGGAGTGGTTTGAGGAGCATAAGGATGAATTCTAATTAATGTCTTGGCCACTTAACTCGCTGGATCTTAACCCGATAGAACACATTTGGGATGTCATGGAGCGGCAGGCCAGAGCTCAAACACCATGTCAGAATATTTTGACTTTGTGTGACTGCTGCTTGGACATTTAGTACAACCTGTCTGCAGTAATCTACCAAGAAGTGGTGTCATCCATGCCAAGGCAAATTGCAGCTGTTTTGTAGGCCAAAGGTTGTGCAGTGTGTTATTGAGTAGGTGGTCATAATGTTTTGGCTCTTCAGGATATTTAGAGCATAGGAATGTTTTATTTGTTGATATCTTGAAGTTTGCTCTTGCACAGAAAGCATCCATTTAACTTCCAAAAGTTAATGTCTGGAGGAATGCATATTAACTTTTGCAACTTCTGAAAAATGAAGAAAAAAGGTTGCAAGTGGTCTGAATTTTAGATCATTCTGGATATTGGATGTTTTTATTTCGGATTTTGTGCTGCATTTAATTTTGGTTTATGAATATAAAAATCTAATTTGATTCACATTTTGGTATTTGTCAGTATTTTCTATACTTTTATTGTTTTAATTTATAAATCACATTAAAAATAAATCTAAAGTTTGATAAATATATATGTATTTCTCAAGTTTTTGAAAGATAAAGGGGAGTGATTATTTAGTAGTGGTGAAAGGTGTATATGGGGGGGGGGAGTTAAGAACCAATGCTTTAGAAACTTCTGATAGGATAGCTAAACCTATTTTTTAGAATCTTTTGAAGATTTCACTTTAAATGCTCAACTGTTAACAGTATCTTAGGTTATGAAAACAAACTCATACTTCATACCTTCCAGAACATTAAATTTTAGGTGCATTCAAGGTAATAATTCCAAGGTTTTTTTTTTTTTTTTTTTTTTTTTTTTTTGGCACATGTGTGTGTTAGTGTTGAAAGTTGAGATCTTAATTTAACCTTCCAGCATGCGCGTATGCGCAAATTTATGACAAATTCAGTTTTTAATGCACATTTTTTGCATATCGAAGCTGAGACATCTGAATGTCATTTCTATTCCCTCCTTTCTACCCTTTCCCACATCATGGAATGTTCCAACACGAAGTCATTTGACTTTTTTTAAAAATTTTTTAATTGGGCTTTTGCGCTAGGTGGCAGCTTTTTCATAAAAGTTCACACGCGTGTGGTTGTTTTAAAATTCGGAAAATATTTTTTTCCTAAATATTTTGTAATTTTGTGTTATTAATTGTCATGTATTATTTTAATTTAAATACATTTGGCTCTGTAAATTTTATATCAGTTTTCATGGCAAAAAAATATGTGCAGCCAGCTGATTTTGCTCGGAATCTTCAAGAATTATCTGATGAAGGAAAGGAAGACAAGGAAACCTTTGGATGAGAGAACAATAGCGATTTCCATTGCTTATTTTCTTTTATTTCTATTTTTTAGAAATAAATAAAAACATTAAAGTTAGTTTAAAGCGTGTTTTTGTAACCAGTAAGAAGTAAATTTCCTTGCAGAAATAAGTAATGCTAAACTTACTTTTTTTCCTACCAAGGTGTTTTCCTTTTTTTTTTTTTTTTTTTTTTTTTTGGTCTATACTTGTCTTTGATGAATATTAAAATTAGCTTTGATTTTAAAATATAATTATTGAATAATAAATTTAAAATTTTCTGTAATGTAGCATTTTTGCATTTCTATCTCACTAACATAAGAACTTAAAAATAATTTAATTATATTTGAATGTGATATTTGTCTTTTGCAATAATAAGATTAATATTTTATTTCTTAACAAATTTATTATCAATATTCACTCATTTCTGTCATTTTTCGTGCCCCAAACGGTAAAATAACGGATGTAAAAAATATGACGCACGTGCTCATGTAAAATTGCCAAGCGCGCGTGCTGGAAGGTTAAAAGATAGTTTTGCATGTATCTATTGGCTTTAATTCAGTTGTATGATTTGCTGGGAAACCTGATTTTCACATTTCTCATGTAACTAACTTTTGATCTAGCAAAACATTGATTAGCGATAGGCAAAATGTTTTTGCTACAGTAATTCTCTTTTAAGGTGGTTGCAGATGGTTTTGCTCCTCTCTGGTCTTAGAGAAGGGACATTGAATATGGGTGTTATATATATTCTCAGATATATTGGTCATTTTCAGAAGTGGTTATTTTAGGGAAGTGGTCATCTTGTGAGTGGGTTTATTGTATATATTTTTGTGAAAAGTTTTTTATATATGTGTGCAGTCATTTTTATAATACTATTGAAAAAGGGTAAATTGGAGGAAGTGTAAATATTTTTGCACAAATTGAAAATTTTCATCTTTCATTTTAAATTGAAAATTTCATTCATTTTATGATAAAAAATTCAAAGTTGCTAAATTGGAGATGATTTCATATGCATTCAACCCAGTCAATGGAAATAAGCATTGAGGATATTATTAAGTCAGGACATTTTATAACTGCAATATTTTATGTGAACAACGTGTTATTAATATTAAAATGTAATATCTTTGTCTAAACATTTTTATCATAGTGATAAAATGTGCTATTTGTTATCCACTAAATAATATTTATTATAGATATGAAATATTAATAATTATTACCTATTTGAATACACTTTTAATTAAAACTGAACTCTATTGTTTGTACTATAGGTGGCCTTCCGAACGGGTGTTAGCACAAAACTTGATGAGAGAGTTTTTGCTATGGATCGCATGAAAACATTACCATTGCCATATTTAATGAAATACATTTACCCAACACTTTATCCAGTTCATGCGTTGGATGATAAGGTAATATTTGAGAATTATTTTTTAATCCTTATATGAAGATATAAGTATATTTTAATGATTTATGTGTCTTCATCAGAGTAAAGAGAGGATTTAATAATTCCAATACATTTCAGACTGATGGCTCTCAAAGCAGTTTTATGTAGCCTGCAAATACATTTACTGTAAATTAATTAGAATTATTATTATGACATTATTTGTATGATAAAAATTTGAGGAAAGGTTTAAGATTTTAATGATTTTAAGTCCAATTTCACATTTTCATTACCGTTAAAAATGAAAATATGTAATGCCCCAGAAAATCTACAATTCAGGCTAATTAATTTATATTGTTATAAAGATATGAAGATGTAGATTTGTTTAGCCTTGTTTTGTACTTGTCCAAAGATAAGTATCCTTAATTATGAACTTTTCAATGAGAATAATCACTTTGTTTATTAATACATTTATACACTCACTTCCAAAAGTTAAGCACAGTGTAAAATGCAAAAAAATCAACAAATACTGCTTTGATTGACACAAAATTCGTCAGAAAAGTAGCATATATATTTATGCATAAAACAAAATCAATAATTATATACAGAAATGAAAACAATATTAAATTTTTGTAAGTTATCAGATAATGACATATTGGAGACAAACAGAACCTTGTGACCATGCTTTCAATTAGGTGGTCAACCACCGCAGAGTTAAGCAATCGCCATTCTTCTTGTAGAGCAGTTTCCAGCTCAATAAGAGTAGCTGGAGGTGGAAAACATGAAGATAAGCACAGCCGAGAGCATCCCAAAGATTTTCAATGGGATTAAGGCCGGGCGAATATGCTGGCCACACCGTACGTGCAATACCTTCACTCTCCAGGTAGTCGTCGACGATGTCAGCTCTATGGGGATGTACTTTATCATCCATTAAAACAAAAGTAGGGCCAACTGCTGCAGCGTACAATCTCACAATGTGTTCTAGAACTTTTATCTTGATACCGGACAGCCGTCAAAGAACCTCGTTTAAAAATGTGCAGGTCGGTGCGTTATCCTAATGAAATCCCTGCCCACACCATAATGCTTCTGCCTCGAAATGCATGATGTTCGGTGATGTTTTGGGACTGATTTGCGTGTTCGTTGTTTACGCCGTATCCTTATATGCTTGTCATCTGGCTCCAGAGCAAATCTTGACCTACAGTAAACATGACATTGTCCCAGTCAGACACATTCCATTTGACATGTTCCCGGCGCTACTGTAATCAAAGCCCCTCTTGATTGGACGGATAGAGGAACACAAACTCGATGTACTTGGGCATACAGTCCACTCATGTGTAATCTTCAGTATACAGTAGCTGCAGATATCGCCTTACCAATGGATGCTGTAACCATAGTTCTCACACGTGTGAAGGTCTGTTTGCAATTCCACTTGGCTACAGTAGCAATGTATCGATCTTCCATGGGGGTTGTAACCCTTGGGCTACCGGCTACGGGCCTTCGGACAACTGTCTGTGTGGTTTGGAATTGTTTCCATAAATGTGACATTACAGAATGATGAACGCCGAAGAAAAGAGCAACATCTGTGATCGACTGGCTTGCTTCAATGTGCCCCACAGCACGCCAGTGCTCAGAATCTTCCATTCATCTGCTGGAAGTCATAGAAACGCGTATGTCTTGAAAGCAAATTGTGCGAAAGTTTTAAACACCTATCAGCACTTACAATTAACTTCTGTAACCCTTCATAAAGCTGGCTTCTCATAAGACTGCCTTTTTTGCATATTCCTTGACATGAAAGCACGATTGCCTGTTACCTAACATATTTGCATACTTCCATCTATCTCTGCAGCGAATTGCATCTTCTTCAATTCTGATTGGCTTCTGGAAATTAGCATTTTCCTCTCCATGCTTAACTTTTGGAAGTGAGTGTATATGAAAAATTTTTTCCCATAGTTGAAAATTATTAAGCATTAAAATAAAACCAGGATGATCAATTATAATCTATAATTTGTGATAAAGATAGTTTTTATTAATTTTTCTCTAAGGTTATAAACTTTAATGCAACTAAAATGCCATGAGATGTAGCTGAAAACTGTTGTAAGAGATAAAGAAATTTGTAATTATTTACACACAAATATGCTTTTTTTTTTGGTATAACCCAAAGAAGAATTTAAAAGGTATATAATAGGTTGCCATTCATTCTCAAATTTTGTTTCACTACTAGTTTTTGTAATTTGTTTAAATAAATCATTTAGTGGTTAAATTAATACATTGGAATTATTTCAAATAGATATCAGTTTCAAAATTTAATATTTAGTTATTAGTACATTTGAATTACAAAGTGTATCCAACAGAAAATTCTTGTAGATCCCAACCTTTAGATTTGAGGCAGAAAATAAATACAAATGGGCGTTTTTCGCCTTTGCATCATTAATTATTACTACTGTTTATGTATGTTCTGATGAATAATTAGTAAATAGGATTTAAAATTTAATTAAAAAAATTGTTTCCATAAAACTTTAAATTTTTTTTTTTTTTTTCATTTTGCTCCACTTCTTGGGGGGGGGGGAGGAATTGACCTGGCTGTTAATTTTGGATTGTGTATTCAGCCCATAATCAGTTTGACTTAAGACCACTGACATAAAGCATTTCAGTGACTTTTGAAAATGATTGTTGTGTTTCAGGATGTTTTATTTAATAATTATTATCAGTGTCATTGGAATTGGAGGTTAATTTTAAAGAGAGTTCATTATGTGTTCAGAAATTACTGATGTTGGGTTTTAATGAAAGTCATCATTTGTGCAAACAGTTCATATTTTCATATTTAATCACATTTTGTCAAACAATTTTTGGCATTTGAAAGAGACTTGTTTTAGAACACTGTGATGTGAATTTGTGAAAAAAAAAATATTATCATTAAGTACAAGGTGTATGAAACGATTTTTATTTTAATTTTAATATTTTTAAGCGATTTTTTTAATTTGAATCTTTTTTATTTTTTTTTTTTTTATTTTGAATCTAATTCTGTAATTTTTGTGTATCTTCTTAAATATTGTAATTTTGCTGTCTAAAGGATTACAAATCCAAGTAGGAAAAAGGTCTGAGCATTTGAGAGCCACTGAAAGTTATTTTAAATTGAAAAATTTATTTTGAAATTTATAGTCTTGAATCTCGTATGTCTCAGAGGAACAAAACTAGTGTTCATTGATCAATTTGGTTTTGGACTTAAAAACACTTTTCCCTTAACAAGTTCTGTCTGAAGCACTGAACTGAGGAGATAATTTTTTTTTCCTAATTTTATTGTGTAATTTTTTTTTTCCTAATTTTATTGTGTAATTTTTGTAAATATTAAATATTGTAATTTTTTCAATATTGTAATTTTACTTGTACTACCTTTTGTACTGCTTGCACTACTTTTTTGGGCAAGACTTTCTTCGAGATACAAAACAGTTAGGACCTTCATAAGAAAGAAGTTGTAAACTTCCATTTAAACTCCAACTTTTACCTTTTCTTTTAAAAAAATGTATGTAAATACTTTTTAAAAGAAACTCTGTTACTCGGCTCAGTGAGCTCAGTTTTTTTATTCTTATATGTTGTTAAATTGTGCATTTTTTGTTTTAAAAATGATTGAACTCTTAACTTCTGTTGTTATGCCTTTTAGTTAATATGCATGCAGTAGTTGTAGAATTGTGAACAACTTAAAAACTGTTTAAGCGTGGCTAAGCTCTTTTTTTTTTTAAACCATACTCATATTTATTTACATTTAAAACTTGGCGGAATAGTGAATTAAGTCTTTCTGCACCTTCTGTGTCTTTTTGTTGAGTGGGACCAAAAGGAAACTTTTAGTTTTGTGTACCAAAAAACCTGCTTTCTTGCTTGCTGGTCGAATTGCAGGCATTTGTATAGAAACTGTAATTTTTAATTGTAAAGTTTTTTTAATTGTTTAAACTCTATTTGGTGTTTTATGTTTTTCTGTATCTATCAATTTTTAATGAAAATAGTAAAATATTTTGAGTTTTAATGTATTTTTGCTTTGCGGTGAAGTGAGAACTGAATTAATTGAATGAGAAATGTGTTAAAATGAATTGCAGAAAAAAATGCGTATAATTTTAATATTCTGTACAAGGAAGTCGTGGTATCATCAGATTTTTTCACATTGAATTAAAGATGAGTTATTACATCCTGTCTGTACGTATGTATCTCGCGTAACTCGAAACAATTAGCTATACAGTGTTGAAATTTCGTATATGGGATTACTGTAACATCTAGTTGTGCACCTTGCTTTTTTATTGCATTTGGCAGTACCAGATGTACCCATCTTCTTGAGGCTTTGAAGTCATTACCTGGCAGTTATTTTCATAATCGTTGGTCATAGTCATGTACCTTCACATTCCTGTAGTGTTTTAAATGATGAAAATGTTCATGGTTTGGAAATGTCAAATTAAGAAAAAATTAATTATCAACAAATAACGAAATCTAACATAGTGCAATCTCTCAGTTCTTATACCAGTGCTATTTGAGAAAGTTGTAGAGTTGTTATGAAAAAGTAAAGTTATAAGAAGTTTTGACACTGGCATGAAAAAAACTGACTGGGTAGTGTAATTTCAAAATTTGCAGTTTCTGATGTGTCATGAGGGATCATTTATTCAAGTAATTCGAGGAAATAGATGATGTGCAGCAAAAAATGTGTATAATTTAATAGGCCATACAAGAAAGTCTTATGATATCCACATCAGAATTTTTTTAATTGTAATTAAATTTATCTTAAAAAAAATCTGGTTTTATGATTCAGATGAGTATGTAAAATATGACTGTGATCTTTTATGCTATCCTCTAGTTGGAGAATTTTTAATGAAATTTTTCATTATGATTTATGACAACTTGCATCCTGTTCATTGGTCAGAATCATTTATCTATTCATAAATTGAAGGTTGATGTTGAAAAATGGATATTTTATCAGTGGTAATTAATTATTATTCTTTTTTTTTAAATTTAGAATGCTATTCATCAGGATGATGATGCTGTTATACCTCAGCCTCCTATTTTGCAGTTATCGAGTGAAAAAGTTGATCGTCATGGAGCTTATATTTTAGATACTTTTGATGTCCTGTATTTATACATAGGACGTGCAATTAACGATCATTTTTGCTCGAGCATTCTCAATGTCCCGAACTTTAGTGCCATTCCAGAAGATATGGTAAGTTACATTATTTTATAAATTTAGTATTTTGTATGTTAATAGGTAGTGTCAAATGAAATTAAACAGTAAATGGTAAGGCTTAGGGAAATTAATGCATGAATTAGGACTAGTTTGATGTCTGGCATCGGCATTATTTTTGATGACATGGCAGAGACTGTCTATCATCAGCCACATTTCACTTGGAGCCTTTAATGTATTTTTTGTGGCTTTCAAGGAGATAAGAATTTATTACTACAGTAGAAAGTCTGTAATCCAGACTTGTCGGGACTTTGGCGATTCCGGATCAGGGTTTTTTCCGGATTATAGATCATCAATTTAAATCTGGTAAGATGGCATGCAGAAATTATACAATTAAAAATATGAAACCATAATTTTTGAAATAAAGAGCAATTATGATCTGAAGGGTATCAAAATTTACAAAAAAAAAAAAAAGCTTAATATTTATTTGTTTACTTTATTAAACATTTCTTTCAATTAAGTTGTTTAAATTGCTTCGTTTTTTTGTGCTAATACTTTCTCTTTAATAAACAGACATAATTTCTTGTTCAGTTACAAAGTTCCACTGTTCAAATCCTATAATTGCTGTGTCGAGAATACCGACTAACTTGTCAATCAAAATTTTTTCGTTTTCAATAACCTTTCTGTCACTTTCTTCACTATCGGAAGCGCAAAAGTGTAAGCGCTTTACTGGCTTTATGCGCATGCATAGCAGACACGCACATGTTTTGAGGTCCGGATTATAGATAATTCCGGTTAATGGATGTCCAGATTACGGACTTTATATTGTACTGTCATTATTACTGACTTTTTGGATGAGTATGTATATTTTTTAACACTTCAGCATCATCATCAGAATTTATTGGAGATATGAACATTTGTTTGCACTCTTGAAATATTGACAAACTTATTTAGGCAGATTTCTCATTAACTGGTATTATTACATACTAAAGTAGGAAACTTGAGGATATAAATATTTCATAATTCAAAATATTTAAAATTTCTCATGTGTAATTTTACAAAGGATCTTGGTGTTAGAAGATGTAAATTTTTCTCTGTAACAGTACCATCTGTTGTCAGAAAAAAGAACTATTTCTTTATTTTAGAGAATTGCAGTTGTAACGTTTAAACATCATTTGTTTAGAGAGAATGTCCTGAAATGGCTGATGTTCAGTGACATATTTTAACAGCTCTTTTGGAGTTCCTTGGTTCTTTGATTAGTATTTTTTTCAGTTGAGCTAAAACTAATTCCTGTATGAGTGTCAAGCATATTGATATTGCTTATAGTCAGCAGTGCCATTATAATGTTGCTGCATCAGTATAATGCTGATAACAGGGATAATTTATAACATACAGCTATGCATTCTGTAGCTGCAAATAAGGAAAAAAAAAAAGAAAAGTCTCATAAACATGTAAAAGAAATATATAGTTTGATATGTGGATATTGAAAAATAATGACATGAGGATAAACAAATAGTTTTTTATGATTGTTTTTTGGTCCTGTGATGAATTCTCGCATCTTTTGATTTCTCCAAATAGCATGGCTTTATGCATCTGCTTGTGGGAAGTTGCATTTAAACAGCATTTATTAACTAGATTTTTATATGTTATTATTTTATTCTTTGTTTTTAGAACCTTCCCTTTATTAGGATAATATTTATATCATTAAAAATAGAAATAAAATATTTTGATTAGCAGGCTAATATATATATGAAGTGACAACAGATCTTGTGATAAAAGCAGTCATGCTACTGCAAGAGTTTAACGTTAAGATACTTTTTTCATTCATTTTGACGGCATAATGAGGATGTTCTACAAATATGCAGCAGTGTATGAGAAGCAGGCAACTAGCATTCCCATATGCTTGTTATATGGGAATGTATATCATATATATAGTGGCTTATAAACTATGCATTTTCCACTGTATCTTTCTAAGCTACTTCTTCTCCCCCCTTTGGCCACAAAATGCATTATTGGCATCTGGCTGTTTTATTCAAAAGGACCAATTTGCTTTTGGAGATCTTGTAGCAATTTATTTGACATTTTAAAATTAAAAATTATAATCTGACTGAAAAAAAAAGGTTATAGAACAAAATGGGCAGATCACAGATTCATTTTTGCTCTTTATATAAATAAATGACTTGAAAAAGAAAACAGAAAAGTATACTGTTTCAAGAACAACTGAAGATACTAGGTGCGTTTTGTATTAGAAAGCTGTAAATATTCAAAGCATTCTTAGTTATTCTGAATTTTTTTTTTTAAATATAAGATAGTGTTGTAAACATATTATGTTATAGACATTAATTATACAAATTGTATGTATTGAAGATGTTGGACATTATAAGTAGGTGCTCGTATTTAAGAGCTAAATATTGATTCTTTGCGTGGAATTAAGATTTCTGATATTATAAAAGTTGTAGCAATAAAAATTTATCTTTTAAATAATATTGAAAAGTATTTAAATCATGTACCTTAATTCTTTTTTTTTTTTTTTCCCTCACATTTAGAGTTTTTTACCTGAATTACCAACTCCTGAATCTGAACGCATGAGAAATTTTGTTTCTTGGTTGCAAGATCAAAGACCTAACCACAGTCCCCTTAAGATAATAAGGTAAGTAATTCAGCATTAATAAATGCCATTACTGTTTGTATTAAAAACTAATTTATAATGCTAACTTGTAGTTTTTTTCAGAATATTTGAGCTAGAATAATAGAAGAATATGCTAGAATATTTCAGAATATTCTAGTATATTTGAGTGCAAAGTATTTCATTTTCACGTATTTCCCCACAAGTGTTCAGATAATTTCCCCAGAATAACAAATTACTTTTCTCAAGTGTACACAGATGTGCAGCAGTTTGCTTTTCAAGTAATTTTGAGTTTTGTTAACTGTGGACTTGTAGTATTTATAATAAGGCAATTCTCTGCAATGGAAATGTGAATTTGTCTCACCATGTTGTTAAACTTATTTGTGGTACAAAGAGCTTTGAAAACTGTGGATAGAGTTTTAAACCACCAAGGTTTCTTAAACTTTTTTCAGTCACAACCCCTTTTTATCACTAGATTTTTTCATGACCCCCCCCCCCCAGGATTCCATAATATTTACAAAAATTTAGTCGAACCCCATAAGTATTGCACAAATCCGACACACGCATGAGTGAAGCTGTCAATTCTTTCACTTGTACTGTAATATACTATTGCAGTTTTAGGTCCTTAACTTTAACTTCGAATTTTAAGACATAGAACAATGGGAAAATTTTAAATAAGTAACAGATGAAATGACAGCGTCACGTGCAAAGCAAATAAAATGAACGTTTATAGTATAAAAAGGAATGGGTCAAAACAATTTCACCTTTTCTTTGTCTGTATTGCCTTATCTTTATCTATTTTTAGATACATTTTATAAAAATATTTGCTAATTGTAAAATTATTATAATAAGTTAAAGAAATATCAAAACTGTTAAAATTTTGGCGACCCCCTGCTGCAGGTTCTTGAGGGTAGTGAGTTTTAGAAACTCTGTTTGAAACCAATAGGGCGGCTTGTCGCCTCTTTTTTGTACCTGAATTCAAATTTTGATAAACATGTTGGCAGCATGGGAGCTTTATTGATTTTCTCCATGTCTAATGAAGTAAGTACTAAATGCTTGTCACCAATGAATATTATGTACCAAATATAAATGTATATATGCTTTTGTCCATATGAAATTGTGTCTGTATGTCCTTGTTTATATGTAATTGTACCCATGTATCTACTAGTAGTATCACATATCTTGGCACTGTATAGTTAATACACATCTATTATGCACTGAATAATCATGTACCTAATGTGTCTGTACTCAAAATGTCTGTATATATGTATATGAATTTATGTTCTGTATATATGATAATGTAACTATGCATTTGCACATTTTATCCTGTAACACGGCACCGTATCGCAAAAATCAAACTAGGGTTCCCCTTTAAAATTAATTGCACCAATTATCTGTTCAGCATTGTATTAAGTACCTATTGTTAATGTATGTTAAAAGTAGCACCTACCTAATGCTTGGGTACCCACTGATTACTGTGTACCTAATACACGTATTTTAATATCTTTGCACATTGGTTAATGTACTTAGGAAACAGCACAAATAATGCAGTAGCAAGACACTGTACTACACAGTACTAATCTAGGGCTTAACTTTTAATTCACTGTACTAATTACTTACTCCAGCATAGCATTGCACACCTAATATTTCAGTATGTACATGTATTGTGTATCTAATGATAATGCTTCAAAGGATCATAGTTTACTCAACATATGAGTATGCATGTTATGTATATATGCTACCGTATCCAGGCTTTTGCATACACCTTGTAACATGGCTATGTATTATCCAGTCTCTAACATTAATTAGCTTTAACGCCACTGTATTAAGTACAAAATTTGTATGTATGTTTATGTATTAGTGTATTAGCATAGTTACCACGTATGATTATCTAGATAAAGGTTGACGTGGCACTATACCAATTAACCGTATTGGTAGAGGGGTGGTGCCCACGTCCTCCGTCACATGTAAACACAAGCCAATTTTTGTTAGGAAAAGTCCTCCATCGCATGTAAACACAAGCCAATTTCTGTTAGGAAAATCTTCCAGAAAGGCACTCTTACCTTAAGCACGTAGCCCTCATGAGCTTTCTTGTAATCCAAGTAAACCAATACAATTCTTTCAATTTTTTCCCATTTATAGATACTTAAAGTAATGTGCATGCTAGAAATAAGCTAAATAAATAAATGGATTGCTTACATGGTTGGTTTTTGTAGTTTTCCTAATGTGTAATGTGAATATGAGTTAACTTCTTTTAGAAAGCTCTCCATTAAGTCATCCCTTCCCCTTAAACAGATAGCCTTTTTGTGTTTTTCCATATTCCACTAACCATAATCAACATACCAACAGAGGTATTGAATAGGATGATAAGTATAACATGGATCCCTCTGAAATTCTAACGGCCCACCAGTGGCCGAGCGGTAAAGTCGCTGAACACTGGTAGTTCGGTCCGAGGTTCGAATCCCGCGAACTGGCTGCCTGTATGGGTGTTTTCGTGGTTTTCCCCATGTGTAACGTGTATACAAGCCAGTTTCCCTTAGAAAGTCCTACCACGAAGGCACCCTTTTTTTTAGGCAGATAGCTCTCAAGGCTTTGCCGTAATTAATAACCTAACCTAACCTGAAATTCTAACCTTTAGTGTCTGACCAGTTAGAATAGTGATTGCCAGTTAGACCTTGAAGATCTCTATTTTTATCTTTATCAGCTTATGTATAAAATATTTATTACTGAATAATTCTTTTAATTTGCAGGGAAGATGGCCGGGATCGACATATATTCTTGCAGTACATGCTAGATGACAGGACAGAATCTTTATTTTCCTATTACGAGTTCCTGCAACACGTACGACAACAAATTTCGAAGTGAAAGGTGCTGAGGTTAATACTCACATGATGATTGTTAAATACCTCTATTTAAAACAAAAATTGTATTATTGTTAGACTTGAAATTGCTGAGTCTATTAATTGAGGGATTCTTTGGAAGTGGTATGCATACTCTTGTGGACCAAAAATTAAAATGTTTCTCCAACTTGTATGTGAAATGAGAAACGAACCAGAATTCTTATTCAAAGACTGACTGGTATGTGCAACATCATATAATGAGCAGATTGAAAAAGAAAATAACTTTATAATTCAGTTTTTATATTTGCTTTTTTGTCTCGTTGGTATTTTAAACCTATAAATTACGGTTTACAATCAATTCTATTTAGCCAAATTATAATTATTTCTGTGATTGGAATATAAGAATTACTTTTAATTATTTAACTGTCCCAATTTTTTGCCAGTTACAGAATAGAGGATTGTAATTTTATAGAAATAAAGGATTGTTATATTGTATATTTGTCATTTGAGTGATCGTAAAAAAAAATCATGTTATCTTAGATATTGTACATAAAAATACATTATACGTGGAGGATATATTTGAAAGAAAATAAAGCCAAAGCCAGTGCTATGTAAAATACTTTATAGCAGAAATGCTGAAGTCAAGTGCTAAGTATGAGCTATTGTACAAATCATCTTGTATCTGTGATTGTGTCAGAATTGCTTCTGCTGAAGTTTGATTGAAAGCAGATCTAGATTCTAATTTAATGAACACATAAATATCGTGTCATAGTGATATATTGTGAAAAGATTTCTGATAGTTTGAATATTTGGCAGTCGATGAAATTTGAGATATGAAGGACAGAGCATTATCAAATAGTAATAAAATATTTATTAAGTCTAGTTTTTATTCTATGGACTGTCAAAATGGTTTATCTGAAAAATCTGCCCCAGTTTCAAGTTCTCCCCATGCCATACAAGACAATTTCGAGAAGTTATTCTTCTCAAGCCAAGTATCAAGTGCAACTGCATCTCATACTGGAAGAAAATATGCCTTTGCGTTCTGCTTTTTAAATTTGTGTAAGTATTAAATAATAAAAAGGTGACTGGTCACACTTTGTTTTGATGTGTTTTTTTAAATTTGACTTAGTAAAGATTGCAAATACTTTATGTATTATGTACTTCGTCTGGCTTTTAAATGTACGGGAAAAATGGCTGAAGGGAACACCAAACGTTAAATTTAAAAACCGCATAGAATTTTACTCTGGAGAACAACTTCATAAAAATAAGTTATTACGTATAACAAAATTACAATGAAATAAGCAATATCCCTTAAGACAAATATTAATTATCCTAATAAATAAATTAACCAACTTCCCTTTGCAAAATCTTAAGAACTCAAATGGTATAAAGGAGGTTAAGAACTTTGTTACCTAAAAAAATCACTCAAAACTTTTCAATATCTTAGAGACAGTGAAATGAGCAATAAATAACATAAAAGAATACAAAAAACAAAAAATTCTGAAATGCAAAGTATAATTAATGATATTTTATCTTATATTTTAAAGAGAAAAAAATTAAAATGAAATAAGCTATATCCGTTAATACAAATATTAATTATCCTAATGAAAAAAATTAACCAACTTTCCGTTAAAGAAAAAAATCATCAAAACTTTTCAATATCTTACAAGTAGTGAAATAAGCAAAAAATAACATGAAAGAAACTCAAAAAACAAAAAATTCGGCGCAGAATTTTACTCTGCAGAACAACTTTATCAAAAAGAACCCAATAAAAATGTATTATATAGTATATAAAAAAATGACAATGAAATTTGCGAATCTCTTAAAAACAGTGACATAAGAAATACAATGAAAAATTATTGCCAAATCCATATTTCTAAAAGAATGAAACTATTTAAAATGATGTGAGTTCATCAAAAATCTATCAACAACAATAAGACAGGAAAATTGTTGCCAAAATCACATTTTTAAAGATGTGAGATGTGAGAAATGTGAGATGTGTGTTCTTTTAGAAATATGGATTTGGCAATAATTTTTCATTGTATTTCTTATGTCACTGTTTTTAAGAGATTGTCATATTTCATTGTCATTTTTTTATATATACTCAGAAGCTTCATTTAAAAAATCTTTTAAAAATACAAAATATTATCATTTTTCCGAAATTCTTTTCGTAAAAGCATTCGCAAGGATGAAAGTTTAACATGTCCAAAAATCAAAGAAAAATAAACTGTAAATTTTTAAAAATAAACTTTTTTAGAAAAAATCCTGTTGAAAAAGTGTTAAGGTCCCTTTATTAAATAAATTCATATTTAATCGATTTATTGGAACACGAAATTTATTTTACGTTTGTAAAATAGCTAAGTTCCTACGTTTCGTGACGATGTGAAAATGGAGTGCGTAGAGTAAAATCTCGCTTTCCTGTAGAAAATCTCATAAAGAATTCTATAGAAAATCTCGTTTCCTATAGAAAATCTCGTCTCAGTAAAATTTCGCTTTCCCATTATGTCTCAAAATGACACGATTTCGTCACAAGGTGAAAAGGGATATATTAGAATAGAAAAACAGTTTAGGGCATAATGTAACCATCTACATTCACAACTCTCAGTCTTTTTATTAAGAGAGCTACCTTTTTATTTTTTAAATTTTTACACTATTATTTAGTGTAAATTTTATATATAGAAATGCAATATTATTTTCAGTTCTACTGTGGAGTTAAATTATTAAAGGAAATAAAAATATTTCTAACTCGAGTTTTTCTAAAAACTGAAATTTTCCATTATAACTATTTAAAAAAGAATATTTTATGTATTTGTGTGCAATTTCATGCTTTTTTGCTTAATCATTTTGCAAACAGACCAATTAAACAGCAAGCAATTTCTATATATTTGGAGTTGAAAGAGAACATAGACTGGTTATCACACATGGTATTATCCATTCAGCTCCATATTAGCTGGGGGATTGAACCAGGCTCCTATCTAAAAAAAAAAAAAAAAAAAAAAAAAAAAAAAAAAAAAAATTATGTTTGTTTATATAAAACAATTACTGTTCCAAATCATCAGCATAAAACATGCATATTTTTTCATTCTTGCTTCCTTTACATGCATTTCATGTATAAAACTCTTGTGTGAAAAATACAAAAATAGTAGTCATAGCAGATGCTTTCTAATTGGGAGTTGATTTTATCAACAATAGTTCATAGTTTAATTGTAGGAATCCAGAATCATTAATTTTCTGTTTCACATTAACTTATATTGAACTATAAGAATAATGTAAACAAAATTATTATTACTTTTATTTTGAATACTGATTTAATTTATGTAACATATAAATTTATTCTCCGTAATAAAATGGTGCTAGAAAATAGAGATATCAGATTAATAGATATTTCTGTTAATTATGTGATGAGTTCTTTCTCTTTCCTGCATTGTTTTAAAACTGTCTTCTGATTAGCAATGATTTTGAATTAACTATGGATATTTTTCCCACTGTAATACCAGTGAATTGCAAGTTGTCTTTACATGTTAACTTTTAACTGCCGTTATTAGAAATTCATTATATATCAGCAGTAGTGCAGTTTGTCTAGCAGTCATTTTTATTTTTTTTAATGTGATGAAATAAAAATTTTACTAAAGGCAACTTTTATAATATTGCTGTAATTTTGACTCTCTCCCTCCAATTCGTGTATTTTTGTAATTAAAAAAAATAATACAAAGTTTTAATTTTTTATGCCAAAATGAAGTGTTACATTTCATAAAGAAATAGTAAAACAGAAGTACTATGTGATAAAGTATTGTAGTATTGAAACAGTATTACAGTAATGGCAAAGTTAAGGGATGACAAAGCTATGAGAAAATATGTAATATTAAAAAAATATTTTCTCATAAGCTGTGAGAGAACATGAGCATTAAAAAATGCAAATATGAAAAAGCATGCAAAGACTTTAATGTTCACTCTCTGTTAGGTAGTTCTGCAATCTATGCATACTTTTCTGGTACATAAAGGCACAAGTTTTTAACAAAATATTCAGTTTTTTTCTTTTCTTCCTTTGTATCTTCCTTTTTCATTTAAAAAGGCATAGTTGCAAATTTTTCATGGTTTTAACTTTGGAACAGGATTCTGATTCAAATATAAAGAATTTTTCCTGAAATGTCTCAACTCCTATTAATAGCCATCTTTGCATACGAGATTGGATTGATTGCATGAATAAACTCTTCATGTAATCTCACCAGGTGTATGCAAAAGCTTCAGGAAATTATTTTTTATAAAATTGCTGCACTTTTTTAACATGTCAATATTCCAGGGAAAGAATGCCATTGGACAGCATCATGTGCAGTGACCACTTTCATAAATTTAACATTTTCTGCTGAGTTTTTCTTCATTTTCTTTCACTGTATCAAATTTGCCTTGTATCAAATTCTTCACCAGTTTTTACTGAAAGATGCATAAACAATACAAATACACATTTTCTGTTTTTATTTATTAATTTTTTTTACAGTACATGACAAACGTATAAGATATATGTTTCTTCTTGCTAGTACTTCTAGTAGTATGATATTCAAGGGAACTTTTCTTTTTTTACTGTTCCAAGAAATGCGAGGCCTCTTTGCTTACTTTTCTACGAGTTCAGAAGATGTGAACAAATGATCTGTAGCTATATTTCTGTGTTTTTTTTTGGAAAGTTTAATTAATTGGAGGTAAGCTTGAGTTAGTCTATGCCAATCTGTTAACCGTTCGAGTCCCAAGCAGTGTGATTAGACTGTTGGGATTTTACGTTGAGAAAACGCAGTACATTTTGAACCTTTCCAATTCATTTTACCTTTTTGTTGACACACCAAATTTTAAAAAGTTAAACAGTAAATCTAGATTAATTTTTAACTTACTTTTTGCATTGCTTCGCTGCTTGGTATTTCTTGACATGAAATAAAACAAGTGCTATCGTGCTGCTTGGGTCTTTTCATACTCATTTAGAGAAAGTGCGGATTCTTTGACAGTATTTTTTCAATAGCCCAAGACTCAAACGGTTAAGTAATTTTTTATCTCCATACACATATCCATTCACTATATAATTATGCCAAGAATTATAAAAGCATCATAAATTTGCACTGATTTAAAAAAAAAAAAAAAAAAAAAGACTGGCATTTTGTATACACATGCATATTCGATGAATAAATAATATTCCTTAGTTTTTGAAAAAACATTTAAAATTTTGAACTTGCAGAGAACTTATTTAATAACTTTTCCTTCTTAGATTAGAATTATTAAAATACAATATATATATGTATATAATTTAATAAAGAATATATAAATGAAAAATTATCTCCTATAAAATATGAAGTGAAGTTGAGATATCAAATGTGTATTATTGTGGAAATTAATACTTGGATTTTGTAAATAATTAAACTGGCATTGTTAATTAAAATGTGAAAATAACGAAAAAAAAAACAGAATTATTTCTGATTCCATATGAAGATCTCAACTTATCAAAGAGAATTGAAACTTCTCCATACAACCATCAATTCATGAGGATTATATATATGTAATCAAGAGATATGTCAGAATTAAGTTATGGAAATGGGCTACCTCTAGTAGGAAATGCACATATAAAAACTAAAGCTACAACATAAACATTTCAAAATTTAAACAATTCAATAGAAATTATTAAAATTGAATCAACAAAAATAGGAAAAGTTGGTGAAAATTCCGCGGTCTTTTTTCGGGAGCAGCCTATTTTTCAACAGTGCCATGTTTCTGAATTATATCTGCATGATTGTTAATACTAGAAATATATAAACTAAAAGGAAATGCCAATTAATATAATTAAAACCAAGATCTAAAGTGCAACAAAGTAAATTTTTAAACATTGTAAAATTAATTTAATTAATCAAGATATATCCTGATGTGAGATGATCCCAAATAAAAATTATAAATATTTTAAAAGGATAAAAAAGAAACTTGACTAAGAAATTGGAAGAGCAATTGGTTGAATCAAAGGTTAACTGTTAAAATTATTAACGGAATTTTCAGGGAAGAAAACCTGAATAACTACTGGTAAATCGAAAGCAATGAGCTAAATAAATGATTAAATTCTGAAACAAATTAAAAGCAGAACTGCTAAAAACTTTATAAATCAGAAGTAACTATTCTAAAATTAAAGGTAAAAATTTAAGTGAAAACTATAAAGAAATGAATGTATTCAGAATAAATTAAATAAGAATTTAAAATAATTAATGTGGAAAACTTCCAAATTTGGTAATAAAACCGTCAAATGGAAAGTCTGTAGCCTAAAAGGAACAATAAGAAGTATTAAAAAGTAATAAGCTTGAAATTAGGGAAATGAAAGTGAATACATAAATTCAAGTAAATTAATTTGAATTTAATTAAAAAGGAATTAAAAAATAAAATATGAAGAAAATTAAACCTGATTGAAGCAAAAATCTATATGACTGTTTTTGAATTGTTGATAATTTATCTCAGAGCTGCTGCTAGGAAGGTGGAGTAAATTGAGACAATAAAATGCAAGAATTGAGTTGAGGTGCAAAACATTTTTTAATTTGAAAAATTGAAAATAAAAAAATGTTGTGTAAAATTAGAAATTAAAAGGCATTAATTTTCTCTGATAAAATTAATTTAAAAAATATGTGAAATTGGCATTAAATATTTAAAATATATTTTAAATTAGAAAAATAGCTATTAAAAATGTAAAATTGAGAAATTTATTTAGAAATTAATTAAATTAAAACTTGTAAAATAATTTTTAAGTGTTTATATTTTCTATTTAATACATTAAAAAAAAATTTAAACATGTTTGTAAAAAGAAACTGAGTAAGGTTGATAATGGAGGGAAAAATGCGAGTTAAGTCTTCACCTGTTTTTCAAATAGTAGGACTGGAACAGAAATGACCATTTGTTTAACAGAGATAGAGGGATTATTTGCAAATTTACTAGCATATTTACAATTGTTATGCATTAAAGTAATGCTTAAGTAAAGGTTAGTAAATACCTTCAAACTTGGTTTAAGTAAATCCTTTCATAAGTAATAATAAATTAAAACTATCCATCTGCTCAATGTATGGGTTGGGAAGCTGTCTTTGCTTTCCTCATGTGATTTTTATAATCATTCATATCGGAATAGTCAGCGTTTGACTAGTTGTTCATCAAAAAAGGAAAAGTTGTCAGAATTGTATAATTACTGATATGCAGTTATTCAGACATTGTGGTGAGAGAGAAACTTCAGCTACAAATTATCTGGTTGTTCCGAAAGTTTCCCGCCAAAACACGTTCTTAATAAAGTTAGGGTTAAAAAAATATGAAAGCCTTTATCATCAGTAATTACCACCGAAATCTATGATTTTCTGCCATCATTTTGGTAGTTTTTCAAAACCTTTGGCCCAAAAACTTTGTGGCCACGTATTCAAAAACAGATCAATCTCATTTCGTACGTCATGTGCAGAATGGAAGATAGCACTGGCAAGATGTAGCTGCAGGTGTGAAAGAAGGTAGAAATCCAAAGCAGCAATGTCGGGGCTATATGGTGGGTGTGGCAAAAGATCCCATTCGAGGCCGTCCAGAGTCCAGTTGGTGAGTGCAGACACATGTGGTCTTGCGTTATCTTGATGGAATATAACCTTTTTGCGCCGGAACTCATTTCGACGTTTTTCCTTGAAAGCAGCTTCAACAAGACTCTACCCGAATTTTGTTCATTCAGTCGGTACTCCATTAAAAGAAACGTAAAGAGAGATTTATAATTAAGTAATACGGCAATTCAGCCAATTAATTCACTATAAAACAGGCAATCCACCTTAATGCAAAGTCATGGTGCATTTTGCTTTTATTCTAAAACAAAAACGATACAATGTTGCCAAACCGTAAAATTTAACTTTTAAAGAAATTACATTTATACAACCGTTGAGTTGCTCGCGACATCTCCCACCTTTTGATTTATGGTGGGCCGAACATAATCAAAATACAATATACTTAATAACGAGGCTAAACAATACTTAAAAAAGGGAAAAAACTGTTTAAAACGCGAAGATTTTACAATAGTTCTACCTCATCTAGTTTTAATTATCTTATCAGGAGGTTTAAAGTTAATTTCTTTACTAGCAGGAATGTTAAATTGGTTTTGTTTAGGTAAAAACAAGTTCTCGTCGTCCATCACTTCCAAAAGATACAATCGTTGCACAGGACGGATCAATTCACCTGCAGCTGTTTTCACCTTTGCCACTCTTAACATAATTACGAGTATCTTGACTCTGGAATAATTCAATAACTCGACCCAATGGCCAGTCCGATCATTTTTTGTTGTCATTTCCCACAAGTACCACACCTCCTAAATATATTTGTCTTCGAGTAGCTTTATTATCTCTGGACTGAATTAGGAGACTTGGATATTCGTCTCTAAATCTTTTTCTGAGATCTTGTCGTTATTTCTGTTGATATCTATATCTCTTAGTGATATTGACTTCATCTACATGGTTCCAAGTCCGGGCTTCCACCGTTCTTATATCTGAATGAACATTGAGGGTGTTAAAGGCATTAAATCTTCAGGATCTTCAGACAAATAATTTAACAGTCTTGCGTTGATTACAGCTTCCGTATCGCAGAGAATGGTACGCAGCTCCTCTTATCTCAAGCAGGCTCTTCCTAATATTCTCAAAATTTTCTTAACCATCTGAATAATACGCTCCCATTAACCCCCCACCACCACGCAGCTGTGGGGGAATTGAACTTCCATGTAATCTTCAAAATAGAACATTCTTGCATAATTTTGTTCTAATCGAGTGAAAGGAAGAGGTTGTTATCCCGACAAAGCTCGTACCATTGTCACCTATACATAGTTTTTAGTGGTCCGCGTTTGGCTATGAACTTTCTGAAGCCTCACAAAAAATCGTCGGTGGAAAGTCCTTGTATCAGTTAAAGATGTATGGCTCTATAAACAGCACAGGTGAATAAAAGTATCCAACTTTTCTTTCCATCCTTTAGATAAAGAGGTCCAGATAAGTCTACTCCAGTTACTTAAAAAACCAGAACGTCTCGGACCCTATCTTTAGGCAGTGGGGCTGGAACTGTTGCGATTTTTTTTAAATTATATCTTTTGCATCGAATGCATTTTGCGATTACACTTTGAAGTGTTTTGCGTCCTCTTAAAATTCAAAACCGTTGACAAATATCCATCAAAACAATATGAATGTGAAAGTACGGTATGTCTTTCGAAAATTAACTTTTCTACAATTTGATGATTAGAAGGTAAAAGTATGGGAACCACGAAATAATCTGTATCATCTCTTCGAAGGATTTTTGTCTTCTGTGTCATTAGACCTTCTTTATCAGTGAAAATGCAAAGAATTTTCAACTTTGATTTTGTAGATTCGCTTTGGGAAGATTCTTTCTGAATAATTAAGAAAAGCCTTTTCTCAGCTGCTTCTATTTCCTGAACAGATAATTCTTCCTTTAGTTTGTAATCGATTTCTAGAATTATGAAAGAATTGCAGAATCCAAGCTATCAACCGAATGATTCTCGAATATTTAGAAAAACGATGCAAGTACCATTTTTCGTTAGGAACAATTGAGGTAGGTAAGTTATTCCCTTTTTTCTTTCTTTAGAAACGTCTTCCATATTTAATTTAATTTTAGAGAAGGGCCAATTTTCTTCAGGCTGTTTAAGCCACGGTGGACTCTCTCACCATCTGGATCTGAGCAAAACTCCAGCGGAACATCCTCTGGATCAGCCGGATTGTCGCTTCCTGGAATATGGTTCCATTGTTCCTTTGATGTTAAAGTTCTTATCACTCGATTATTTACAAATGTTCCCCAGTTATCTTCATGCTTGATCCAGAACATAACGGTAGAGGAGTCAGTCCAACAGGTACTTGATATTCCCTTTAAATCTCACTTCTTTCACTGTTGCAGTGAGACGAGCTCCGATCAAGCATGCTAACAAGTCTAATCGAGGCATCGATATCTTTGTTCAAGGAGCGACTCTACTTTTAGCTTCAATCAAATGAACTTTTATCCTTTCTCACATTCGCTTCGTAGAAATACGATTGCGCTATAAGCGGACTTGTTCGCATCACAAAAAGTGTGAAAACTCAATTTTTCTTCCGGGACATTACTTTGGACATATCTTGGAATTTTGATCTCTGTCAACAGATATAAATCTTCAAGCCATTTATTGAACTCCAGGCGATTATCTTCTAGACAGGTTTCATCCCAACCAATCTTCAGGTTCCAGCTATTTTGTATTGACCGTTTCAAACGAATCGTTACTGGACACAGAATTCCTATAGGATCGAAGATGCTGTGAACTGTCCAAAGAATATACCTTCTAGTAATGGGTTTTTGCTTGAAATAAATTTTTTCAAGATCACAAAACAGAACATCTTTAGTTTTATCCCATAATAATCCAAGAACAGGGACAAATTTTTTTGACATTCTCCACACTGTTCCCATCTTCTTAAATCGAAACAACCTGTAGCCAGAATCTGTTTTGCTTCAAAAATGAATTTCTTAAGTTCATCTTGACTAGTTAACGAAGTTATGCAGTTATCCACATAAAATGCATTCCTCATCTTTTCTACGGTTTCAGGAAAATGGCTTTCATTTTATCCCAAATGGTAATCTAGAACGGCAGCTAGCAAGAAAGGGCTGCTCGTAAGTCCAAACACTACTCGTTGGTGACGATAAATTTTTTGTTTTCTTTTCTTATAATCTTCTCACCATATGAATCTAAGAAAATCTTGTTCTTCTTTGGCCACAAATATCTGTAAAAAGGCCTTTTTTATATCTGAAACTACACTAATTTCTTTCTGACGAAATCTCATAAGTAATGGAGGAATTTTTCGATAAGATTTGGTTCTGTTTCTAGATAGTCGTTGAGCGAAAGTGAGTTCTTACTTCTACACGAAAGCCGCCCAGTCGGTATAGGGGTCAAGGAAGCTGACTGCGATGCCGAAGGGCCTAAGTTCGAATCCCGGAGAAGGCATGGTCTGTCTGTCCCTTCATAGGAAAGGCGAAGGTGGCCCACCTATTAGGTACCTCTATAATAAAGAGACCACCACATCCAGCCTTGTATAAATTAATGGACTAGGTTACATTTGTAATTGTTCACAATCTGCCATTGGAAAAAAAAAAAAAAAAACTTCTATACGAAGCATCAAATACAGGGCATACCTTCGTAGTAGAATTTCCTTTAAAAATACCTCTATGAGCAAATAATGACAAGGATTTCCCAATTCACCATCTGGCATTTCTTCGATGATAGTTTCCTGTAACCATTCCTTAAATACAGCCTAATAAGTGATCGTATTTTCCCTCTTTAAGAAGTTTCTGAGTAGTAGTTGTGCATCTTTTTTCAGCTATATCTTTGTTTTCACTTAACGTCTCGTACGTCTCTAACCAAGGTAGCTTGACGATGTAACGGCCATTTTCATCTCTCTGAGCGGTTCGAAAATGCTGAAGAATAGACTGTTACGTTTCTTCTTTAGTTCTTGTTTCAGTAGGATCCTTTATACCTATAGTATCTAATTTCCACAAATCAGCCACAGAAGAATTTTTAATCAGTAAAGATGTCACTAAAGCCCCGTTCACAAGAGCAAATTCGACCGGTAGCGAAAACCGGTTCTTCCAACGTGTCCTGTTCACATGGGACAAGCATTAACTGCCTCGCCGAATTGGAGGTAGAACTTGGTTGGATGTTCCTTACCTCTCTGGAGTAGGGCAAATGGGAAGTTTTCCCGTACTATACTGCGCGGTTCACTTAATTTTAGTTACTGCTCGCTGGACTGTCAGCGAAACAATCGCGCTGAAATACGTCTGGGGATGTGATAGCATCACCCCAAAAATTAGATAGAACTGTACAAAGATACGCAAATTATAGACAAATGCAGACAAGGTTATCTGATGCTAGGTATTCCAGAAATATCGTTCAAATTAAAACTAAAGTTAAGACAAGAGCATATCGGCTTCAACGCGACAAGGGACTCGGCATCTTTTGAATGATTTTTTTTTTTAAATTTAAGTGTTTTCATCTACTTTTTATGAATATTATTAAATGGTTTTGTGAAACAAAACAATTTTAAGCTGAAAAAAAGTTTTTGCTAGTACTTTTTTAATTTAAATTTTTGAAGAAAAATTTTACAATTAAAATGTCTTTCTTTTCCTACAATTTTCAATGTCTCCCCCCAGTTTTTTTATTGTATTTATTAGAGTGTTCTTAATAACTTCAAGGAATGATTTTGCAATTAATGAATTAGTTTCTGAGCGGAAAAGATACACTCTTCTCTAAAATCCTTAAAACAAATATGATCTCAGTTACATTTTCATTTCAAATAATTTTTTCCTTTCAGTATTTTGCAAAATCCACCCTTGTTTCTATAAAGTATATAATTTTAAATAAGCAGTAAAAATAATAAAAAAATTAGTCCATACCTGTATATGTTTTAGGACTTTAAGTAAAAGGATTTATTGAAAAAAAAAAAAATGCAAAAGGTTTCTCAGTTTGCATTTGCAGTTTAAAGAATACAAACTGTCTAAATAGACATTTAAGGATTTCAAATTTTTAAAATTTTATTACTGAATTTCAGTACACACACACATATATATATATATATAAATCAAACCTAGTGCTATTTATTTAATTGGTAAATAAAAACATAAATTACAAACCTTTTTTTAAAACCTTATGCGGCCAGAAAAATTGCAAAAACTCATAAAACGCAAGCAGAATTTTTCTTTACCTGTTTTTGTTTTGTAAAACACGTTCAAAACAATTTAATACATTAATTAATTATAATATTGTTGCGTGCGTACGGGTTGTAATAGGCTGATAATAGTTCGTAAATGATTGTCATTGCACTCAAATCCGATGATAGCTTAATTAAATTTATTTTATCAACAGAAACAATCCAAAGTTCTGGAATTTTCCACAGAAATACTCGTACAAGTGTTTAGAATATCACTAAGTATAATCAGTAGTTATGCTTCAATCTAATAAGAACGTTAAACACAACGTAATGCAAAACGCATCTTAAGAGAAAGTTAACTCAGAAATATCTCCAATCTAACGCTGAACTAACAATTGGCAACAATAACAACTTATATAGCATAAATAATGTCATAAAAATAGTGTGGTATAATGGGATTATTACTTTGATGTTTCGAATTGATGCCCAAGAAGAACCAATATTTACCATTCTCCTTCATTGCACATCTTTCAAAAAAGTAAAAATATCATCCAATTAATTTCCTGTATCATTTTTTTAAATGCGAAACGTTTGATTTATAAGCTTGTCAAATGTCGGAAGTTTGTAACCGATATATTTTTAGATATGAAATTTTAAAATTAATGAGCGTCAAGAAGTCTAAAAATATGAACGATTTTCAAAAATTCTCTCAAAATATTAAAAAAAAATACGCTAAAAATTTCATTAATTTTTTTTTCCTCCACAGTGTGTTATGGTGCAAACTATAATATTCTGAGATTCTCAGTTTATTTGTTAATATTTGCAAAAAATCGTTTCAACTTTAAATTTGAAAAAAAAAAATTGTCCTCTAAAAATCAGAAGTGTGACACCACATCAACAAGCACTGTATGTACAAAGTTTGAAATCTATATCTTATCGGGAAGCAATTTAAAAATCCATGACCATCTTTTAAAAATACCGACAAGCACCAAGAGTGAACTAAATAACAGCTTATAAAAATAATAATATAATAAAGCATTTAAAACGCGTATATTTTTCAGGAATCATTACGAAAGTTCAGGTACCAGTTGCGAAAGTCCAGATTACAAAATTAACAACAGTAAACAACGTTAAAAATGTGTAAACAGTATTAGAAATCTGCCAATTCGGAGACGTGATTGTTCACAGAGGCTTAGGTGTAAAGGGGAAGGAAGACGTTGGTCTTCTGAACGGGTCCTAAATACGAAACTCTTTCATGTCTCCTTTTTCTCCTCTTGCTAACGGCAGCTGTGCGAAGGAGCGTTGCATATGAACGGGACTTAAGTGGGATGAAGTTTCGTTAAACCTTTCTTCGGACATGTTTCCCATGATAACCCATCCTAAATAATCGATCCAGTAGAATGATGTCCTCACACCGTGGTACCTGGGTTCAAGGACCCTAACCCTGTAGAACATAAGGATTTTCGAATCTTGATTGAAAAGAAAAATATACATATATAAAGCAAAGTACATAATTTATAATAATAATTTATTATTATTATATATTTTTTAGTAATATTTATAAAAAATATATATATATATTTTACACACATATATATATAGAGTGATAGAGTTTACTGAGAACAAACAATAAATGCAGATTTCAGTAATAGGAAGGGTCAGTGCGAGTCTCTCAGTGCCAAGTGAGATACATACAATTACATTTACATAAATAAGAATACACAAACAAAAGTGAAATGTGAGCGGGCCTCAGGCCCGAATCCACGATATGAGGAGCTGTAGCTTTAGGAATTCTGCCGCTCAGCTATGCTTGTCTTAAAGAAGAGAAAAGTATATTTTACATATTCCATACATTGAGAATGGCAAGTGGCCGATTTAAATTATTAAGATCATTATAGTCATTTGTACAGATTTTGATTGCAGGATTTGCAATATTATTTTCCATCTCGTGAAAATTTTTAGCAATTTTATAATAAAACGATCTTAGTTGAACAATTTCAAGTTCCTCATGAATTCTGTTATTTCTAACATACCATGGGGAGTCAGTAATTTGCCGAAGTACTGCGTTTTGTGCAGTTTGGAGTTTTTTACTTTGGGGTTTCGAAGCAAATGCCCATACCGGGCAAGCTTAACATAACATAGGACGCAAAATGGACTTGTAAATAAGTAACTTATTTTCTAGGGATAAAGCACTGTTTCGAGCAATTAAGGGGTAGACTTTCATTTTACGCACTCGAAACTTCTGAATAATATGTGTAATGTGTGGGGGCCATGTGAGAGTATTGTTGAGGATCACCCTAAGGTAAGGGACTTGCTTAGACCAAGTCCCTTACCTTGTGCCTGTACTCAGTGCCATAGAATTTTAGGTGACAGTTGATTTTCTTCTTTTTGGTGAAAAAGCACAGTTTTAGTATTTTGAACGTTGACTTCAATTTTTCATTGTTTAAGCGAAGTCTCAAGTGCTTGTATGTGTTCTTGCAAGTGTTGGACTACTGGACGAACAAATTCACTTTGTGCTAGGATCGCTGTAATCCTAAATAAGTTTCACATGCAATTAAATTGGATTTCAACGTACATGTTCTTCCTGTAAGTATATTACCGCAATAATCTGCACCTATTAACAGATCAATATCAGGACAACCTTCTCCATAGTCAGTGAGCCAAATTTTATTTTCTCTTGACTTTGACTTATAAAGGTCTCTTCTCCACCGAGGAATGTTGCCACAAATGATCTGCTGATCCAGAACCTTTATGTTACAGGAGAAGTCC